ATTTATTGTATGTACATCAGGGCAGGGGGGGGGAGGGAAGGGGTGAACGGAAGGAAGGGGGAAGGAGAGTTCCGGGTTCCTTGATACACAGAAGAAAAATTGTTGATTGCTGGAGGTAATGTGTGGAGTCTTTTCCTTTCAGCTTTTTTTTCCCAAAGAGACGTACGTTTTTCTAAGCGTTGCATCTGAGTAATGTATGTTACTTTGTGTGTGTGTGTGTATATCGTGTGCAAATGTAGATCAAAAACTTAATCTGCTCTTTTCTTCTTTTCTTTTCTTTTTGCTTACAAGTACATACCCGGCTTACTTGACACTTCCGCATTTGGAAAGAGAAAAGATAGAAACTGCCGAACCGCGCAAATCCTCATCTAAAACTACAAAAAAAAAGAAAAGCTTTGCCTCAAGTATGTAAGCAGAGTTGTACGGCGGGTTGTTTTGGGCTGGCAAAGGTTACCTCGCCGTTCGGGCTCCCGTTTTCCCGTTTTTGCCCAGATGGGTTGATAGACATGAATAAACACGAGGTTGAGGTCAGGGGGCCTTTGCAAATCACGAGTGGTGGTGCGGACGACGTTGGGTCCCCCGATTTTCCTCCGAGAAATTTAGCGAATGAGGGTTATATGTGACGTTTTGTTAATCATTCCTCGGGAATGTGATTTGTCCTTCTTTTTCTTGTCTCTTGTTTTGGAGAGAGAGAAGGATCGGTGATAAAATTACCTCACCCAATATCACGGCAGAAAGCCGTGGTTTCAAGATTATCGTCTGTGCCCCCGCCCCCCTCATAGTGTGTGTGTGTGTGTGGGAACGCATGTTCGAGGTTGTCTGGCATCCCTTGAATAGTAAATCTCAGTTACCATACTATATAGCAGAAAACTCAAATAAGATAAAAGTCTAGATTTTATTCATCTATTTCTTCTCCACTTGTCTCGGTAGGACCATTTTTTCTTCTTTCCCTTTCTTGCATCCACTAACAATCTAGTGCCCAAAGACCAAACCCCCCCCCACATATGTAACGAAGTGGAAACAACGGGGAGAAAACCCGCACGTATTAGCATCGCATTATTACGCTTTTTCTCTCTCTTTCTTAGATCACGGCACTACTACTTAGTTTCCCTTTTGTGTTACAACACGTGCACACGAAGTACGTACGTGCTCCCCCTGACCCCCTTAACAACCTAGTCGCGCTACATCTTTCCCTGCGTAAGCATACAAACGTAGCCAAGAAAATGGGAAAGACAGAAAGAGAGGGGAAAAAGGCGATGTTCGTCCGTGCTAACGAGCATCATCATCACCGCCCGGATACCCTTTTTAGGATACGATCGTACAATGACTCGTCATTGTAGGTCAAGTGCGGTAGTAGTTATAGTGCAAGGGTCATCGTATATGGACATGGTGGTTGTTGGAGTGCCTCCGTAACCCCCCACACATAGCCCCCCCAACTCCGACTCCGACTGCACCCCCACTGGTTGGCATCGTCGTCGTGGATGGTGCGGATGAAGCCGGTATGAGATGACGCGGCGGTCGAGGGCCACGGGGTTTCCTTGTTGGCTTTGCTTGGTTCTCTGGTATAGTGTTGCGGATGACGGCATCCGCGTGTGCGCTCTCCCCTGGGGGTATGGGCTTAAATAAGTGTAGAGACATGCGCATCTTGCACTTGATTGGTATCAAAATGTGAAGATGCGAACTAGCTGATACCGGGGAAGACGGGTAGATCGGGCAGTTACGGCGTTACTCTCTCTTTCTCTCTCTCTCTTTTTCTTTTCTTCCACTATCGCGGGTTTTGCTCTTGCGCGGATGTCGGATGTCAGACGGGGAAGGGCGGGGAGGAGGAGGGTTAGTGCAGCTTCGTGTTACTTTACATATTCGGAGGATCGACGATCCCGATGGCTATGTTTCTTGTATGCAGTGTGATATCGGGGAATTATGCTTCGTTATTCTGCGGAGAGACTTGTTTGGTGGCGATCAGGGTTATTAAGTCGCGGTGTTTGATGTTGAGAAGGATGCGGGAGGATTTGTGCCGAGAGGATTTGTAAACTTGATGTTCATACAAAGGCTATATTTTTGCGTCGAATATTGTGCCTGTTAATGTGCGTTTTATACCATTACTACTTGTATTAACGTGTAGCATGACTTGGTGCTTCCGCTGTCACGATCCCGATCGTGACCAACGTGGTTCCTAGGACCCCCGGCTATTCTTGAGGGAGCTGGTTCATACTGAGACTCGGAAACTGGTATCAGCGGGAGGGAGATGGGAGGGATACGTTAAGTGCGCCGAGGACATATACCTTTACAAGGTACATGACAAATGACAGCTGTTGCAAGGATGTAGCTGAGACAAGCCAAAACCCAACAAATGGGATTGTATATTCAGTTTCCTAGACTATATGTCAGCGTCACTGTCCACGCGTTGCAAGTCTATTGTGACTTTTCTTTTCTTGTGTGTGCGGGGAAGAGGAAAACCCTTGCTGGGCTGAGAACTGGTGATTAATGCAACAGGGTCAGGGCAGACAAACCTAGATTTGTAAGAGATGTTCTTGACAGCTGCGATGAAAAGAAACGTAAAGAATAAAATTAGAATGGCATAGTTTGGCTTGCATCAAGAGTACAGGGCAACAACAACCCGATACAAATGAAGGTGATACCCGGCTAAAATAGGAGAAATGTTAGGCAAAGTCAAAACTTACGTCATCGGGGAGTTTTTGTAGCATTTCCATATTGTTATCGTTATTGTTGTCTTTTTTTTTGCTCCCCAGAAAGTTTCTCCCACCAGTATGCGACGAAGGAGAGGTAGCGTGGTATTAATAGCCGAGTGGCTGTCTCACTAGGTACAGCCCTGCAATAGTGCCACACGTAAGGTCAGCCTTATTCCATTAATACACGTTGGCAACGGCTATCCAGACGGAGCTAAGGTGGCTGTAAGGAGCACTGGTCAGATTCAAGGCGACAGAGAATTATGCGTTGACGAGATGAAAAGGACGCGGTGGCTGAGGGGACCATGATCCATGTGTTTCGCATTGCAGGCAAACATGGGGCCTCTCTGGGCTATCTAGTCTAGACCATTGCTATGTATCAAGGTTCTCTTTAGTGTAATCCGAAAGTGATGCAATGCCATAGATTGACAGGTCGGATCTACAATCGATCCAAATGCAAAGGTCGTCTTTGAGGATCGGGACTTATCTTGAACAGCTGACTCGGTTAGCGAGAAGCGTTAGATCTAAGTGAGTGCGATGGCTTGCACTGTTGTCGCATCGTCATACAGTAGATCGACATTAGCTAAGCTTTGGGCGATGGTCAACCGTACGTAGTCGATAAGCAACGAACGTTACATGGAGTGCGTGCGCATTAAGTTTGGTCAGCAAGAATATTGAACCAACAAGGTTTGCTTTTCCTCCGCACACGTGGCGGGGATAATAGACTTGCACCATCGATGCCAGCCCTAAGTAATCAACGGGTGCATCGGAGAATTTCCATGGGAAGCCTGCAAAGCTTGGGATGAGTGGCAATGGAATCTAGCATGATACAGCTGTCCCCCTCCCAAGCTCCCAGACAAAGTCTAGATTTTGCACCAACGTTGCGCCAATCCCTGAGACCATTATAGACATTACAGGGACCTGTACATCGCCAACCAACTTGGGTTTGCGTACAGTAAGCATGGAGAGATTGTTGGGTGGCAGTGCCAGGGCTGAGGGTCCGCTTTGGGCTAGTGCCTTGCGATTGAATAGCAGGATGGGTGTAGTATTACTACTACTACTACGACTTTCACACTTGCGTGTGCAGGCTCAAGACTCAAGAATGAGGATGAAAAGAGAGTAGAGCCGCTCTCCTGGTGATTGCCCCGACGTATCCCATGATGTCGGGTTCCAAGTGCCAAACTTTACACTGTCATGTTGCATAAGTTTTTCTGCATTACCTGAGCCGTGTGGTGGACATCGGACAGTAAGCTGTCTGAGGTCGGTCACAATACTTCAGCTTTGGTAAATCCAGCAGCCTTGGACGTGACAAAACGCTACCGCTGCATACGTGCTGTGTAGTCACGAGTAGTAGCTGAGCCATGTATGTTTGCAGTCGCCATCACCACTACCACCGCCGCTTGTTCTTGGTGACTTTGAGCTATTCCTCAACCGTACATCAATGCCCAAGAAATCTACACCAGATGATGCCCGTTTAGGATACTCCTGAGTCTCGATTCCGCAGTGCTTGTGTAAAATGTTGACACGACCCCTGGGGGTGGTACCTAGGAAGACGATTGGGCAGTCGAACCATGGTTGAAAATTGTAAGCGGAGTCGTCTCCGACCGTATCTGCTGAACTAAACGTTCCGTCCCGGAACCAGACCATACCCCTCTTTCAGAAATGTCCGGTGGCTGCCTAGGCATGCAGGGTCAGCCTAGTAAGTAGCCCAGAGGCATTGCTGCAGGTGCATCGTATTGTGCTGCTCCCTCGAAGCTCTGCGTCTTGAAAGCAAGGGACACCTGGGTTAGTTACCCCACTCAGATAGAGAATTTGAAGCTGCTGAGGGTCCAATGGGGCGGTTGTTTGGGGGAGTTGCAACTGGCGTAGTGAGTGGTAGCGTTGGTTTTGGAATACGAGTCACATGGGATGTATGCGAGCACCGAAGTGACACCGGTATTGTATAACGGCACACAGCCGTGATGCTGTACTGGTGTACCGATGTTGCGACACCCGCGCAAGGCCCCTTTTCAGTCGGTAGTGTGTCGTCTCAAAAGGCTAATATCTCAAGCGATAAGGCGCCATTACAAGATGACATCAGATGTGTCCAAATTAGGCCAAACGGCCAAGCAGCCACGTGGAAAACGCTCGGACCATATGGCGCACCTGATCCTGTTCTTTCAATAGTGATCCCCTTTTGACGTGATAGTAAATGTGTAGCGAGGACGCCAGGCTGTCCAATGATGAGTGCAGTATTGCAGTAAGTCGGTTAATGAAAACAAGGGACGCGGCATCAAGGAAGAAGCGGACACAGTAGCACGAGTCTAAGGATAGATGCCTGCCCTGGTTGGTAGAAGCTCTTGGAGACTAGGTTTGACAAGCCGGCTTCCTACTAGTTCTGCGTTGAACGGGAAGAACGGTTGTGTGAGAGAGAAGAAAGTAGCGGCGAGTTTGCTTGACGATCACGATAGTGCCATGGGCGGTACCGGCACCAGCTGGATGTGTGCAGGTAGTCGAATTCTGAAAGTGGCCCATGTCCTGGATGGCCTTGAAGAACATGTGCCCCGTGTTGGGCAGAAGTGCTTGAAAGAGTCGAGGAAAGCATCCCGAGACTACTGTACACATCAGTTCGGCAGAATGATCCGCAGCAAGCGAGGCGTGCCGCATGTGCGATTCAGATATCGTTCTGGACGCTGAGTCGGTTTGTCATTGAGAAAACAGTCGCTAGAGTGCACACTGGCGTACAGTACACAGACACGTAGGCATACGGTAATAATGTAACATGGACCTTGTCTCGCTTGTGCATAGCCAATGAGTCTTTTTGCGGACGATGAGCGGTTGGCTCTGCATGGCTCTAAGTCTACAGCCCACTTGCTGGCGCCAAGTGGATGCCGCTTGAGCAACTAATGCAGAGAGCGAATCGGCACCAGTCCCGGCGAGAAAAAAAAAACAGGGCGAAGAAGGTTCTCTCATTAGGATAGGGCGGAGGAAGAAAAGAAGAATGCATGCATTACCTGAAGAGGGTACAGTTTGGAGATACGAACGAAACTAGACTGGCGGCGGGGAGGATACGAGGCAAGTGGGCGGTCGGGGTGGGGATTCTGTTGCGTGCATGACTTTGAACAGAGGATAGCCTGAATCAAGGCGAGCTTGGAGGTTGGGAGTGGAGGCCTAAAGGTCGGTAGTCGGTGATGTGCCCTGCTGTAGATCCGAAGATCAAGTTGTTGCGATAGTGAAGTGGTGGGTGAGAGAGCAGGCTGGCGTTGGCGATGGCGGCTATGGTGATTCCGTCATCATGTGCACGAATCGAGGAGGGCGCCAGAGGCTGGCGACTGCGCGAGGACCCGCACGGGGCCGGAAGATCCAGGGACCACCACCACCACCACACCACACCACACCACATCGTCATCGAGGGGCGATGGGGCAGGTGTAGAGAGATGCTGCGATCGATGGCAGCGATGTCTATGTAAGTATGCAGGAGGAGGAGGAGGAGGAGGAGGAGGAGGAGGAGGAGTAGTATGTATGTATGTATGTATGTATGTATGTATGTATGTAAGCAGTCAAGGAGGTCGCGTCACCTGACTTTGTTGCTTCGCTTGCTTACTTGGGAGCCGTGTGTGTTGAGTGCAGGATGGGTTTATTGTCTCTCAGGGATCGAGTCTGTTCTCAGGGACGGGTCTTGGGTGAAAGACGGGCGTGGACGGGCGTGGTTTTCTAGAAGCGGAGCTTGTCCGTCGTATGCACGCCCAAGGCAAAAGTTTGCCAGGCGAGCCTGACTCGATGGCGAGCCGGCGGGAGAGGAGGGCGATTCCAATAAGCCGACGAAGGCTTCTAGCGCCATGTATAGTGGCAAGCCACAGAAGCAGGCAGAGGAGGCCAGGAGAAGGTGCGACGGCGATGTGCATGTCGCCTGTCTGTCTTGTCGTGTGTCGTAGTCTGTGGGTGTGTCTGTGTGTAGGCAGATGGTCAGTACGGTGTCTGACTGTGTGGTCGCCCGTCTGCGTCCGCCAGGCTGGGGCACACGAGGCTCTTGGGCGGGCCCGTCTCCTGACTGGGCTCTCTCTCCTGTTGCTCGCTGGCTCTGCCGCCGTCGCGGGCCAGTCGAGCAGGCCGAGGGGGATTCGCACTGCGAACGGTCGCTGACCCGCCAGCATGGGCATGGGCATGGGCATGGGCATGGCTTTGGCCACGGACGAGGGCAGCAGGGTAGCGGCTGAATCAGTGGAAAGGGAATGGAACATAACAAACGAGGAGTCCCAATCCTCCCTATTGCCGGCCCTTGGCAGGTCTTGCCCATGGTTGGCCTCGCCCGCTAGCCGGCACGTCGTCGCTCGCCAGGGCCCGGGCGCCGCCGTCGAGCCCCGTACAGGGATTGGGTGGGTAGATGGATATGCGTCGGGCGGTGGTTGCAAACACACACACACACACACTCATTCACTCGCACGCACACCATCACGCACACCACACATACATACAGCAGGTGGATGCCCACAGGGAACCCCCCCCACAGGCACAGACAGGCCCGCTGCAGCGCTAGCCCTAGTCGAGCTGCTGCAGACAGCAGCATGCATCCGCTTCGGGGCACTCTCTTGTGCGCTCCATGGCTGCATTGGCCGTCGACTTACTCCATGGGCGTCCGTGTGCCACGGCTCGAATCGCGTGTCGGGCGCAATGGCAATACCCCGGTTCACGCAGCTTGCCGGTACCTGGAGCCTCTAACCTAAAGGTCCACCCAGCCCGCCGCCTCTTCGACCATCCTCCGCCTGCCCTTCTCCATGCTGAAACGTGCGTGAGGCGATCCAGCTGCCAGCCCTGCCCGTCCATGTCCTGCCCGTTTACCCTTTCTTTGCCTGCTGCCCGCACCCCTCCTCCAACCTCCAACCCTCGACCATCTCCCTCTCGACTGCCCCAACCCACCTCCCACCACAACCACCACTACCATTACCACCAATACCACCATTACCGCCCGCAATCCACCACCGGTCCTCCACTCGACGTCGCCTGCTAGGCCCGGCGACTCCACCGCCTCCCCGACTTCCACCACGGCCTGTCTGGGGGCTCAGGCGCGCCCATGTCGTTTCTAGGGTTCCGCCCCAACTCGCGCAGCGGCCACACGCAAAAGTCTTTCAACTCCCACGGCCATCGCTCCGACGTCAATCTTGCTTCGCAGGCGCCCCCTCCCCGCTCTGGCCGAGCTGGCACGGGCGCCATGGACATTGAAAAGAGTCGGACCCGCCGCGAGAGGACCTTTATTGGCAGCGAATGCTGCGTCTGCGAGGAGAATCTTGAGTACACGTTGCGGGGTGAGCGCATCCTGCAGCTGTCCTGTGGCCATGTGTCGCACGAGGCATGCTTCTACGAGTACATTCGCGAGTTTGAGTCGCAGCATTGCCCGACATGCGACGCCGCCCTAGCGCTTGACACCAGCAGAGGTGGAAACGTGCTAGATCTGGGTAGGCCGTCGCCAGAAGCTGTGCCGAGTAGCCATGCTGATGTGGGGACAGAGAAACTCTCAACCATTGTGCGTTCCGTCCAGAGCGACCCGGCCCCGTCCCAGCACTCGGACGGCCACCGGAGCGCTTCAAACACCCCCACCCCGTGGGACAGCCAGACCGTCTCATCCGACCGGCGGCATGACGACGCGTCCCATGGCCGTCCCCGCAATGGCAGCAATGCCTCGGCCTCGTATTCCTCTATCCACCACCACAACCGCCAGCGGGATAGCAGTCACAGCCGCGACCGTGGCTCAGATCGAGGTGGCTCAATCTCCCGTGCTCATGGCCGCAGCGACTCGGGCGCTACAGGACTTGCTTCATCCAATGACTATGCCCCCACACACGATGGCCGGCGGCATGACTACGATGTGCAGTCCATGGAAACCAGCCTCAGCAGCCCGCGCGCCATGCTCAAGAGCCCCATCCCCGCCCCAACAGTCACTGTGCGCAGCGAATTCCCCACACTAAGCAGATCACGACAGCAGCAGAGCCTTACTTGCCTCGTCACAGTCGAGGTTGTCGAGGGAAAATGGCGCCCAGACCCGGAGGACATGCGCAGTGCTCCTGCCCTTCCCTCAGTCGCCAGTGTTGCTGAGAGCAGTTATACCCGTAGCAAGTCGCCTGTAAACAACAGACCGTCCGAGCCCCAATACGAACCAGCAGAGGTCTTGGACGAGATTACAGAGGATCTCCATGCCCGCGTTGACAACTGGCACGGCTTGGACTTTTCGCGCTTCGGCAAGTTGCGACTCCACGGCCACATCCGTGTAGGCAAGGACCGTCAGTCATGGCAGGAACTCGAATGCTATCTCTTCTCTGAGATGCTCATCTGCGTCAAAGAGAAGAAGATTACCCAGCCTCAGTGGGATGGTGCATCGCCCACCAAAAAGACAAAATGCACTCTCAAGGGTTCCATCCTCATCAAGAAGCACCTCAACCAGGTCGAACACTCGCCCGACAACTTGATCCTAACACTCAGCCTCTCCGTGGCAGAACTTCCGGCCTTTCATCTGCAGTTCCGGGACCCCAGCCAATTAGAGCTGTGGCGCCGCGCCCTCATGGACATTCGTCTGGACTTTCCCGTCGCCAACCGCATGCCCGAGTACGATCAGGACAACTCTGGAACAGAAGAGGACGACTACCGTCGACCGAAGCGAGTTTCATCCATCAATTCCTCTTACGGCGCAGCCAGGTCGACCATGACGGCACCTACAGAGTACAGCACTTCGCGCGCGGGCATGCCAGAACCCCGCCTTGGTGCCTCGGTACATGTCCCCGTCGACATTGTCGTCGTTATCCCTGTGTCTTCGTCCATGCAAGGCTTGAAAATCAATTTGCTGCGTGACACGTTGCGTTTCTTGGTAAACAACCTCGGCGAGCGTGATCGCATGGGTCTAGTCACCTTTGGTTCAAGCGGCGGCGGCGTCCCCATTGTCGGCATGACCAGCAAAGTGTGGAGAGACTGGTCAAAGGTGCTTGACTCCATACGCCCAGTCGGACAAAAGAGCCTGCGTGCAGATGTGGTGGATGGAGCTAACGTGGCCATGGACTTGCTCATGCAACGCAAGTCGAGCAACCCCCTTTCGTCTATTCTCCTCATCAGCGACTCGTCTGTCTCAGACACCGAAAGCGTCGACTTTGTTGTGTCGCGCGCCGAGGCTGCCAAGTAAGTCCAAGTCCCCATATCATACCGAATACAACCTTGCAGTACTGACGTGCTCTCTCCAGGGTCTCCATTCACTCTTTTGGCCTAGGACTGACGCACAAGCCTGACACAATGATTGAACTTTCGACACGGACCAAGGCGTCTTACACCTACGTCAAGGACTGGATGATGCTTCGCGAGTGTGCAGCCGGATGCTTGGGCTCTCTCCAGACGACTTCGCATCAAAACGTGAAGCTGAAACTACGACTACCAGAAGGCTCTCCTGCCAAGTTTGTCAAGATCAGTGGCGCGCTGCACATTACCAAACGAGCCACTGGACGAGACGCCGAAGCCTCGCTGGGTGACTTGCGCTTTGGTGACAAGAGGGACATTTTGGTGCAATTGGCCATTGCGCCAGACACTGGTTCCCCAGAGCAGGTTCCCCAGGATCCTTGGGAGACGATTGTATCCGGCCTTGAAGCCCTTGGAGGCCCACTTGACCAGGACGACTCACGCACACTCAGTGTTGAAGAAGTACCATTGATCCAGGCTGATCTCACATATGGTGATATTCTTCGAGAAGGCTCCCTAGCGCACCTGCCGCGGCCATCACTACTAGCCATTACTTTACTACCTTCCAGCACAAGGAAGAACTCTACCGCGGTTCCCCCGACACCCCCGATTCCGCCTCATCCACATGTCGTGCAGCGACGTATGGAGTTGCTCACGTCAGACATGTTGACACGCGCACTGACGCTTGTCTCACGAGGCCAGCACGAACGAGCCCATCACTTGCTCACGGAAACACGCAGTATCCTCAAAGGACTGGGCAAGGGTGGTCTGCCCCCACTTCCACCCCCTGGCCACAGACGCAACGACCCATCCAGTGCAAACGGCAGCACAGGATCAGCATCGCCCACGACGCACAGCGCCAGTGGGGACCCTCGGGCACGAACACCTTCACCACACGCTGACAGCCCCTTTACGCCCGCCGCCGGAATTGATGTACGAACCATGCATGCCCTTGACGCCGAACTCGAATCCAGCCTCGAGTGGATCAACCACCCCGCTGTGTTTGGGCGGGATTCGCGCAAGGCAGTGCTTCAGGCCATTGGCGTCATTTCATCACAACGAGCCTATACATTCAGGTCTCCAGCCGAGTCTCTCTGGGCAGAGCGCATTGCTGGCATCAAGCGTCTGTCCGAGCTCTCGCGCGACTGGCGCGAAACCGGAGACCAAGAAGCATTGATGGAGGAGAACTAATGATGTGCAGTCCTCTTTAGGAGCACTATGTATTTGCCTGCATATACCCTGTACCATTCTCTATCCGTTTTCGCTCTATTATTCACGTTGCGATTATTATTATTTCCTTTTGTCTACTCTTCATGGCCACACTATTTTTTTGTCGGCGATTGTAGGATCTAAGCTGACTTTTGGCGCTACCTTTTGGGAGGCTTTTGTTTCGTTTGCATACCTTTTCGGCTTCATGATACCAACACGGTCTGGATCTCCTTGTATTGCGCGGATTTGCTGGGCTTGACAAAAAGTAGGACTTGGGCGTCACCATCAGCACCATTATGTTTTAGAGGATACCACATGTGCTTAGCGATTGATTGGCTAGACACAAACACACACACTCACACACACCAGTATTTAGATGCACACGAATATCACATCCCCCTGATTGTATAGAACGAATCGCATGCTTTACCTTTCTACCTTGAATTAAATGCAATGTCTGGGCGGGATGTGGCACGATGAAAAATGATGGTGGCAGCATGTCTTAGTTGGCGGCTGTATGCGTACATGCTAAATGCATAGGTAGCATTCGCCGCGAATCTAGATCTTGGACGCGGCGACTGCTTGGGAAGGCGCCATACGGCGACAGAAGCACCTGCCTCTCTCCATCCACGGTGACTTCCGCTGTCAGGCAAGTTGACACGCACCAAATTCCGGCAGAATTGACCTGTTCGGCGCACTCGGCGGCTTTTACCCCTCACCCTGAGTATGTCGGCCCCATTATACTCCCTATAACTTCACTCGGATATAGGCTTCGCATCCGCACCGTGTCCACGCAGCCCGTACCGTCTTCCTCCTCCCCGCTGACGGGCGATCTTACATTACATAACTTACACCATTAGGCTTTATGCACACCGCCCGCTCTATGCACGCAGCCAAAAAGCATCTGTTTGTTTCTTTGTTGATCGTACTCTTGTTCCATCTTCTCAGCCACCACTGCCTATGCCGGGAATCCATGGAGAGCGGGGCCTTCGTGCATGGCTTATATTCAGATCAGCAATAACCAAGCCAAAGTGGACGCCGACTTGACTTGGGGTCTGCAGGCAGGACGTGTGCGACACGATAGGGCAAGTAATGGCAATAGTTCAAGACCTGCCATTTTTGGGATTAGTCCATCCTATCCGTTGTTGGACGGGTCGTGCGGTCAGAGCACACTGCAAATGCAGCGAGTCCACATCGAATACCCGACTCGTAATGCCTGTGTTACGCTCACAAATGCGTTCCTGAGACATGGTATTCATTCCAAGTTCCGGCTGCACGGGCTGTGCCTGGCATCTACCGGCTTCCCACATCGCGGCTGGCCGTTGTAAGCCCGTTTGCACGGCCATTGTCACGACTGACGTCAAATCCACTGACCTCCTTTGCCAAGATCCACTCCAACAAGCCCACTCACTCATGTGGGTGCTTGTCCCACTTTCTTTCCTCTCACTTTACTGGCTCCATCCCGGCTGCCCACGCGGCGCATGCAGCATGTCCGAGGGAACATCAAAGCCGTCAAGACAAGAAGGATGCCAGGCTGTGAAACTGTTTCATCCCGGCCTTTTGACAACCCCCCCCCCCTCGCCCCGTTGAACTCCACACAAGCGAGTTCCTCAGCCCGCTCAAGTCACCCGTGACCCGCGACAACGGTACCGCGTTGGCTGGCCAAATCTAATTCTCCAAATCCAATACTCCAAGTCTTACATACCGTACTATCCATGCGAAGCCTCGATACGCCATCTTTTCTGCAATTACGCAAAGAAGTCGCCGCAAATGACAACCAAAGACATCATGATTGTGCGGAGGTGGGGGTGTATGTATTTCTTTAGGGACCGGCCAAATCCCGGGCCAATTCTCTCCAACCCGTTACAGAAGAAGACGCAGATGCGCCTCAAGAGGAGGCCCGATTTCTGCATCCCTGCTTCCTTATTTTCGAACTACTTGTCCCGCTCCTTAGGGTGGCAATGCAAAGCAAATTCTCGCGGCACATGTTGGAAAATCCAGATGCACAAAAAAAGTAAATTGGCACCAGATGAACGGTTCACACATATTGGCCAGACGAGCCAATCAACGCTCACATCTATACGAAAGACCCTCCAGATCAAAACGCCAAACACTTTCCAACTTAGCTTCTCCATTACACGTTTGATCGTCATCAATTGTCTTCCGGTCTTGATTCCTGTAGTCTCGCTAATCTTTGTTCCCCTTGCCCTTGCTAATATCTTTTCGTTTGTCTAGGCCTTCTGCAAACAAGCCCTTCGGTATCGACAAGTGCACGTGCATTGAGACCCTGGGCACGGCGTCTCCCTTCCATTGCGAGGCGAGGCGGACGGGATTTCGGCTATGATCTTCAACCATGGCTGAGTTTCGACAGGGGGTATGAGCGTGTGCATGATAACAAACGGTCTTTTCAAACAACTATTCCGGTGTAGTTACACGAGTCGTCTATCCCGCGCCTTTGTCGTCACAGAATAGTCATTACAATATGCACCTAGGCGATCCCAGAAAACATTGCCTCGACAATTGTCCGCTGTCCGCTGCAGGTTCCGATGATGCAGGGCACAAAGTGGTGTGCTATGTTGCCAGAATGCAACAACAGCTTTGTGCATTTTTATTCTTCTCTTTCCGCCATGAGCACGACACATATCGGAAAGCATTGTTGTGGGGATGTGGTGGTTACGTTATTTCCTTTAGTTTCCTATTTGCGTCTTGAGTGCTTCGTTATACTAATCATCGTCAGTTGCTATTCTCATTACGGTATGTTATTTGCTTTCTCTTCTTCTTTCCTCGCCTAAGGCGCCCGCCGTAGGATTCGTTCACCGCATCATTGCTTCCGATCGAGATAGCCCTATACGCTAGCCTCGAAACAAGTTCCATCCCGACTGTGCAGCAATCAGGTGCGCCAAAAAGCTAGATCCATACGTTCCTGCAAGCTCTCTTGTCCAATCGCCCTGCTTTTGCTTGAGAAAAGGCAAACATATGCACGCTAAGTGCCCTCCACGGGGGCCAGGGGTTTGCATGCATCTGTGCATGATACGAAGCGATTATTGGATTGTTACGTTAATTTTTTTTCCTTTAGTCTACGAGTCGGAATGCGGGGAAGGGTAATGATTAAGTAGGTGTATAGACAAACTCGCAGGGTAACAATCATGCTACTGTCTGGTAAGTTTTAAATCCCAGTCCCCGGAACACATGTTATACAATGTCTGATATTAATATATAGATGCATCGCTATCGCTTTTTTTCTTCGTGTTACATAAATTAGGAAACGATGAACGATACTCAATACCCGGTATCCACGGCCTCACCGACAAGTCACACACACACACAAAAGAAAACACAATGAACACCCCAAAACAGATGTACATGCTGAAAAAGCAACACAATGGCGCTCTACAAGTCCACTTGAGGAACCACAAAAGTCGTTCCGCCCCCAAAAGTCTACCTGCACGTACAACTGAAAACAGGCAAGAGAAAATCGCCCAAATGTATTAATATCCCACTCCGGCACTCTACCTATTTTCTTTTCCCATCTCGACTCTTTTATTTTCATTTTTCTAGTAAGACAGACGTAATCGTCTTCCCAAAACTCCAAAACCTACCTACGCGCGCGGAGCAACATCGGTCCACGACGTGCTTCCCGTCCGCCATGGCGGGCCGCTAAAACCCCACAAAAGTAGTCATACAATCCATATCCAAGCGTCCCCCTCCCACCCTTCACAGCCACTTGCTCCGTAAAGTACTCTACTCAACAACTAAACCTCATCCTTGCTTTTTCCCTTTTGCCATTTTCTTTTTTCTTTTTTTCACATCTGCCGCGCTCCCCGAGCGGTTCGATCTGCGACTCCCCCCGGCCTCCTCGAAAAGGTTCCCTTGTTTAATAAGGCTTGGTTGGGGCTTGGAGGTGGGTGTGGCCCACGGGGATGGGGAAGCAGAGCGGAAGGACAACGGCGTATTGCCCCAGTGTGGATCTTGGCTCGCATGATGTTTCCCCGCACACCTAAGATAATTGAAGGTTTTAGCTAAGCTCCACAGTTGAAGGGGTGGTGTGGTCGTCGGTGGAGCTTGGGGGAGGGTGTCGGGTCTGGCAGCTGGGGCTGTGCTGGCGACCGGCAGAGGGTGCAGGTTATTTTCTTTTTTTGCTTTTGCCGCGGGAGGGGCGTCGGCGTTGGGTGGCTGGTTATCGTGACGTATCTCAAGATGTAGGTAGTTGGTGTGATGATGTTGCGTGAGTTCGGGGTGTTTTATTAGGAATGTGCACTACATGGCCTGACGTGGAATGTTCTTCTTTTTTTCAAAAAAATAAAAAATAAAAGGAAATAGAGCATTTTTGGTGTATCAAAGCGCACAAAACTGATCTTTACGTATTCTAGGGTTGTATTTTTTCAAAACAAACAAAAAGGGTCAAGCGAGATACACACACTACTTGGCATACTTTTCCATAAAAGCAATTGTATGCTCCATGACCTCATTTGGGTTTGAGGAATTCAAAAAGTGCTCGCCGCCTTCAATTAGTTCGAGCCGTGCATCGGGCGAGTTTTTGAAGAGCTTGATTTCCTCTTGAGCATTTGCAACCGTGTATACCACGTCGTTTGTTCCCTGTGAGTTGTATAAACGTCAGCAACATATATCACGTTTGGGACATTGCCAACTCAAATGCTTCGAAGAGAGCTCCGGTGAAGCAAGCATATTCCAGCTTTTGTAAACAGATGAAAAACAAAAACAAAGAAACGCCAAAAAAAAACTACTCACATGCAGCCATAGGACTGGACAAAGGACATCCTCAGCCCTCAAATGCAATCCATCTCTATCCCTCAGATTAATCGCCGCCATCCTAATCCTCTTCCTACCTTCATCACCCGTATAATTCTTCTGAAGCTGCTGCGTCCAGAATTTCTTCGTCTCCGCGGAGCAATCCTGGCCAAAGCCCTGCGCTATGAGAAACTCGGCGAATTCCTTAGTAGGCACGAAGTCAGGCGTGGGCTGATTGTTCTTTGTGCCGAAGTCGCCCGTGATGAGGTTGGCGAGGGCATCCAAAGCCTGCCAGCAGCCAAGTTGGCGACTGCGTTCGGATTCAAAGTCGAGAGATGTTCCGAGGGGAATTATACCTTGGATCTTTATGTTGCAGATTTCCAGCGTGTCAGCTACTACTTCCTTTTTTGGAGGGGGAGGGGGGTAAACGATTTCTTCTTTCTTCACATCACACTTCCCCTACGTCCCACCCTTCCCCCCACCCAGAGATATCTTAGGAGAATGTCCAAAAGAAGAAGAAGAAGAAGAAGAAGAAGAAGAAGAGAAAAAAAACTCACCCTCTTCCCCCCCAAAAGCGCCATCCTAACCGTAACCCAACCCCCCTGACTCGTCCCCATCACCACTGCCCTCTTCACCCCCAATCCCTCCATAACCTGCAAATTCATCACCGCAGTATCCCAATACGTCCAGTGCTCCGCCTCATGCGCTCTCGTCCCGCCATGCCCCAGCAGCTCAATCGCCAGCAGATTCATCCGCGAAGTGAGTGCATCGTTGGCGAAGAAGGAGTCGAAGAGGGCTGAGGTGGTGAGGAAGGAGTTTACGAGGACGAGAGTGGGTTTGGTGGTGGCGGAGAAGGAGGGGGAGATGCGGTAGGAGGCGGTTATGCCGCCGAGGTGGGGGACGGTGATTGTTTGGGTGGTTGACGACATTGTTTTTGTTTTGTTTGAGAGAGAAAGAAAGAAAGAGAGGGAGAGAGGGGGGGGGATTTTTGAGAATCGAGTTGAGGAGGGGTGTGGGTTTTGGTGGGAAATAAGAGTCAGTTTGTACATGAATGGTTGCTCGGTTATGTCATGGTTTGGGGGGCCTCATGTGATACTATTTTTTTGGGTGGGCGGTGCTTTGATCTTACACCAGTTATTGGTTCTTGGTTTCTGCTGGTAAGAGTCTTTTTAGTTGCCGGGGCTTTCGGACATGGTCTAGAAGGGCTCTCTCTCTGTATGTCTTGGGTACAGGGTAAGACGGTTGATATCGCGGGCTGATGTCCGACTTGTCGAGAGTTTAAAAGAGCGGCACGCGTTTCAGAATGCGGAAATAAAGCTTCGTAGAGCGGTTTGCACGAGTCTTGGGACGGCATCTTACAAACACTTGTTCTCAAATCTTGGTTTTCGACCGTCTTGCGTGGCTACCAAGCCGGCGAAATGAGGATTACATGGCTTGGTGTTGTGTGGACCGTGCGCGATTTGCTCGGGGTTTAAATTGATGGATGAGATGCCGGCACATCCCGCGCGATAGATTGCTATGTGGGGTAAGGTAGAAGTATCAGTAGAGGAGCATGTTCAGATTTGGACATAAGAAGCTAATCTCGTACTGGGGTCCTGTGCTACTATTCACTCCTTTATAACGGAGGGGCTTATGTTTTAGTTAGAGGCTTCCCCAGAAGGAAGATGAGGGTTCGGTAGGACAGTTGTCTTCCTCGAGATGATTGGGTCAAACATCATCGGTGATTCAGCAGAAGAAGGGCAATTCCTGTATCAAGTGTATGCCCGGAATATGTGATATTCTGAACATTTAAAGAGCTATGATACAACTAGTATAGCACGCCGGTAATGACTATTCAATTTGTGGTGTCACTATGTATCTAATTATCTATCAATTAATTAGATAATTTGTAGCTAGGTTCACGCTTTATGGCTATGTCATAGCATTGACACCATTGCTATTGAAGACCAGTCAACGTTAGGTTTGATCAAAATTTGAAATCGTAGCTATATTGATTGAAGCATGAAGATACTAAAACCCACTGGTGCGATCAACTTCATCGAGGTTGACTGGATAGATTTTGAGAATAACCCAGCCTAGTTTTGGTAGCAACCTCTGTAGTAACAGAGATGGGTGATTGCAGCTAAAGCTGCGAAACTTCTTAGTACCGCCTACTGGCTGTAGTCATGATATTTTGTGTCTCTAGTGAGCGAGATCTGTAGATTGATGTCGCCTGCTTTTTCGTCTCACGAGCGACTAAAGTTGGAGTACGAGCAGAGATGGATTACTCATGTCGAGGAATTAAGGGGGCTTGGAAACAAAGCTACTCTGCATCTTGTGCAGAATTACGGGTTTGCACAGTAGATATGATCAGTGGGTACGCATTGCCCAATACACTGTGTTGATGAGATTTATCCATCAACACCGGTGCTGGCTACGAGTTTCTTACTACCCTCTAGAATACCGCAAAAAATCGGTGTATGCCGGTTTTTAAACTGCTAAGAACAACCCCTGTATCATTGTTTCTTCTAAGATTTCATCCTAGCGTTCTCACTTGGCTTTGACAAAAAATAAGCCATACTTTCAAGCAATAGTACTTAATGCGCTACCAGCACCTTGTAGTCAATTGACTTAGGAATTGGATTTGTCATGGTATTTGTCGAGTAATTCCTTAAATATCTCATTGTACATTCGACAGCCCTTGAACGTAGTCTAAAGAAAGAAACTCAACACTGACCACGACGCCTTGCAGGCCATCAATATATCCAAAAACAGTACGCAAAGCCACTTGAAACCGACAAATTCATGCAGAGAAGGTGAAGTCAAAACGACAATTCTCGATCATCAGACAGAATCACGTATTGATGGCATCAAATGGCTAGGAGACTCGCCTTGTGATCTCATACATAGTTGCATAACGATCCCTGGAAATGTCGTCCCATCATCAAACTCGCAGCGTAGACTGATGAAAAGCCAAGCTGTTGTGCTTGTGGGCTTGGAAATGTAATGATAGATAAGAATGGTGGAGCGGATTTGGTTGGCAAGTATTGGTCCGCCAAGAAATAATGGCAGTAAGACTGAATAGCACATGATTCAAGGCTATGAAGTTTTAGCCTAGGCTTTTGTACTTGGTGTAATTTTCGTCTAGCGTGATACAATGAGAAGAGTGCGTATGTTTCATGTTGGGTTGGTTTTGTTTGTATTCCAATTTTTTTATACTGGAAGTCCTGGACCTCCAGCTTGCGCTTCAGCGACCCTAGGATTGCTGTGTTTATTATCTGCTGTGGATGAGGTGCTTGTCATATGAGCGCCGTTACTCCTGCATTCTCTTGTGATACTAAAAGCGGTAAATGCCATGACGCCTCTAACCTGAACTTACTTGCAAGTTATATGTATTCATCAATGACAAGAAGTTGATAATCTGACGTAGAATACACATTTCGTTTCATGAACATTCCTTGCTTGTATCCAGCCATTGGTTCTAGATCGGGGTCTACCTCTATAAGAAACCGCGACACTCCATCTAGCCAGCCCTCTAGTTCTCAAGAACATATCTATACCTCGCCTTTCCAGCCTCCATATCAATAATCGCATTGTTAGCGTCGCTCATAGGCCTCTTCTGCACCCACGGCTTAATCTTCTTCTCAGCCGCCAACTCCAACATCTCCTTAATCTCCCACGGTGCACCAACAGCACTACCGGCGATACTAACTCCCTTCATGAGAAGCGTAAAAGCGTTGATAGGAGGCAACTCGCCCTTATCAGGGGCACCGACCTGGACGAGGGTACCGTGAGTCCTAAGGAGTCCGACGTATCCATCCAGCGGCATCTTTGCGCTCGAGACGGTGGAAATGATGAGGTCCAATGTGCCGGCGTTGTGCTTGGCCCAGTCTTTGTCTTCGTCGGTTGCGATGTAGCTGTCGGCACCCAGCTTGAGTACGTCGTCGCGCTTCTCAGCTTTGCGGCTGATTCCTACGACTTTGTCCGCGCCCATGGCTTTTGCGAAGATAACGCCGAAGTGGCCAAGACCTCCGACTCCGACGATTCCTACGGTTTTTCCAGGGCCACAGCCGAATCTTCGCAATGGAGAGTAGACGGTCTGGTTGTGGTATAGTTAGCATGTGCTTCATATTCGTGGTGAATCGGAGTTGTAACTTACAATTCCTCCGCACAGCATGGGAGCGGCATCGGCACTATCCAGGCCTTCAGGAATTTTGAACACAAAGTGTCCATTGGTACGGTTGTGCGTTGCGTATCCTCCGTAAGACTTGCCCTCGTCACCGGGGTAAATAGAACCATAGGTACTGATGCCTTCGCGTGAGCAGTGGTTCTCAATGCCATTTGAGCATTCAGGGCAATCTGGCTTCAAGCAGGAGCGTGCTTGAGCTCCAACACCGACACGGTCGCCCTCCTTGATGTGCTTGACATTCTTACCAACCTTGACGGCTTTGCCAATGATCTCATGACCGACAACGCAAGCTGCGGTAAGTTAGCATGCAGGATAATCGATAGCAATTGGATATGCATACGGTATGGGCAAGGTGACCAGCCAGAGCTTAGCGTGTGCAAGTCTGAACCGCAGATACCGCAGTGGGAGATTTCAATGTCGACATCGTCCTCAGTCCACTTCTTGGGATCGAATTGGCCCCATTCCATCTTTCCCTTGACGCTCTCCTCGTCTTTTCCAAGCCATCCCTCAAATTTGGTGTCTGTAGCCATTGCGCCGCTGATGTGAATGTAATACTTGGTGTGTGTTTAGATATGTTAGTAATAGATTGATTGTCGTAGGCTTGAAAATGGGTGTTGCTAGAAGGGCGGGAAACCCCTCACATATATGTACATATGTAGAGCCCTGGCCATGACCTCTGCCGATGGCCCATCATGACGTGTCTATAGATTTTTATCTATCCGGAACAGCCTCCACGGAAACTTAACATGTTGACTTCGGAGCTGTCCCACAAATTTACCTGTCTCTTGCAGCTGATCGGGCCGTTGACCAGCCTCGGTAGCAGGGCGTGCGTCATTGGCTCGATTACAGGCGGTATACTAATCAACAGCGGCTACCTTATAGTGGTAGCAGCCACCGAGCCGCACGTTATGAAGAAAAGAAGTTACCCACTATGTCACTACCACGCGGAGCGGAACTATGCTCCCTCTCATTGGCTGTGTGTCTCGCGCTAACAAAATGGCCGGTAGACACCGGCCCAAGGCCGGATTCGTCGGGAAGATCGACTGATGTAGGTAGCTGGCGTGGAAACTTTATTCAGCAATATTAGAGTTACAATGCGGGGATAGAGAGAAATCCGTTGAGCATTGTGTGCTGAACAGTGTAGATTGAAGCGCACGAAGGCTTGTCTCGCATCCGCAAACTGCCGGCAGTCGTCCGGGGTATAAGCATGTCTCTGTCTCATATCGATCTTTTTTTTGGGATAAAAATGGAATATTGAGTTGATATTTTGTTCATCAAGATACTGTACATACATGTGTAGTAGAGAGTTTCTCTTAATTGGGGCTCTAAACTTACCGGAAGCGCTCGAATCGCTCTTCCTCAGCCATTCTCTTATTCACGCGTTCAATCGTTTCAGCGCTATATAAATCTTCGAGGCTTTTTTCTCCCTTCAATATCTCCTTCTCGTGCTTGCTTGCCTCTTCCTTGGTCATGAGAACCAAATCTCCCATCTTGAGATGACTGTTCTTTTGTCCTGGAGTGCTTTGGTCAACAAAGCTTTCAGTTGGCTTCCTCCATCTTGACAATATCAAGCGTGTGGACAAGCCGCTGATTATGCTTTTCCCATTATACACTTCTTCAACCAAATAGCCAACATCGTCTTGTGTGATGGGAATCTTGAGACCGAGGGGATCTTCACTGAACACTGCGCGAGCTAAGCGTTCTTCGGCACCTTGGAGAGCGCCTAGAATACCATCGTACATCTTGTCTCGAGATTTTGATGGAAGATATTCATGTGGGTAACCAGAAATGGAGAGAATGACATGGTTGGCAACAGCCAGGCCAAAGATTGCTGGCATGGTGCCTAAAACAGGCAATATCCGTACCCGGAAGTCTGCGAGAACACCCAATTCCCCCACGTTGCCTTTTGCGAATTCTTCTTCCGAGAGCGGTTGAAGCTCAGCCTTTCCAGGTCCTGGCCTCTCGGTCGAATAAACGACCGGTATCCCGTCTTTTACGCCTTTCAACCGCAGCTTTCGTCTCGTGGACTTTGAGAGAGGGTCATCTGTGCTTGCTGAAATGTCGCCAATGAAGATTCTGGTAGGATCGGACTTGCAACCTGCACCCATAGAGGAGATGACCTTGATGTTGTTCATGTAGCAGTAGGCCAAGAGGGCAACTTTGCTGTCGATGTTGTCGATGGCGTCTATTACAAAATCTGGTTGCTGGCCATTTAGAGGCGCCAATTGAGCAACTGCAGTCTGCTCACTGAACAGCTCGTTTCGGCATTCGAAGTGGGTCCATGGTGTGATTTGTTCGAGCCGCTTACGGAGACAGTGCACTTTGGGTGTTCCAACATCTGCCAGAGTTGCTACTGCATGTCGGTTCAGCGAAGACAAAGTAACCTGGTCAAAATCTATGAGACGGATCTTAGAGCATCCTGATCTTGCAAGAGCTGCTGTTGCATGCGATCCTACTCCACCACAACCGACTACGACTACGAAAGCGCCCCGTAGCTTCGCGAGTCCTTCATCTGTAAGAAAGACCCGATTTCTCGCCAATTGCTCGAGGATAAGATCTAAAGGTTCCGTGAGAACTCAATGTAGTCGTGTTTTCAAAGACAGTGACGTCTTACCGTCGTCATAGTCGCCTTTTCTCGCTCGCGCGGCGAGTGCCATGCTGCGCTCATCTTCTTTACTTGGAGCAAATACATGTGAAGCCGCGCCATATTCAGTCAGCTGTAAAGCGTCAGAAAGATTATGGATCTCCAAGAACGAGGCCGTCATGGCAAAAGTTAGCCGGCGCAATTGTTGTACTTGCTCTTGACGGACGATGGTCTTCACTGAGATCTGGAATAGACGCTTTCAAGTCTGCTACTCTCGTCATGCGTCGAGCCTTTTGATAACCAAGAATAGCACTTCCAACTACAAGGCCCGAGACGGCAGCAGTCGCCACAAGCTGTGCATGGTGGGACTCGGAGGCCCGCGATATCCACGAAGGCATCCTGGTGGGGTTTAGTCGCACAGCGTGAGAACGTGCACTCGATCTATAATGCTATGACCATACAGGAAGAAAGCAACCAAGGAAAAAGAAAAATGATTGAGAACTCTGCGAACTGAGAATGGCTGGGATGATTTTTAGTCATATTGAGAGTGCTGGCAGGCTTCAAGTTGTTGACGCTAGTGCGTATGCGGTAAGCGCCAAAGTCTGCTTTGAGAAAACGCAGATGACCACCACCATGTAAAAAGCAGCCAGCAGCGAACCATACGGGGACAAATATACGCGTTTGAGACACTCTTCACGCGCCAGACAGGACGCTGGACTGTGCGGGTGCCTTGTCGCCTACAAGAGGCCTCCACGTCCACTTCTACTCCTTGCGGCCCACATCTCCGAGGACTAAACTGCAACCATGTCGAAACTGACATTCGCCTTGATCGGCGCAGGCGGTGCTGCTGCCGGAGCTGCAGTAACAGCAGCGCTGTACTCTACCAGGAGAGACAATTTTCCGCACGCGCCAGCTGTCACGACAACGACAACGACAACTGTGACTGGATCCACACGAGCAGGCCCAATTCCCTCAGCCCCAACGGGCCTCGCAGTTCACGCCCCTGCCGCTGCTGCCGCTGCTCGCAGAGCGGTTGTAGACCCCAACGGTCTCTTCCAATATGGCTTCCCCGGTCCGGTCAATGACCTCCGTCCTGCCGCCTCTCTCACATCGTCGTACGACCGACGGACGCGAAACCCAGCATGGGTAGCGGAGCACATAACCCCAGAGTCGCTAGCAAACAACAATGCGGATCGAAAGCACAGCGTCTTTGTTGAGGATGTCTCAATCCCTGAGATGTTCCGCGCAAAGCTCAAGGACTACCTCCGCAGCGGCTATGACCGAGGCCATCAAGTCCCCGCAGCAGACGCAAAATGGAGCCAAGAAGCCATGGATGACACCTTCGCGCTGAGCAACATGTGCCCGCAGGTAGGCAATGGCTTCAACCGCGATTACTGGGCCCACTTCGAAGACTTCTGCCGTAGACTCACACAGAACTATCCCTCTGTACGCATCGTAACCGGTCCCTTGTACCTCCCCAAGCGCGACGAGGACGGCAAATGGCGTGTCTCCTACGAAGTCATTGGCTCACCACCCAACGTTGCCGTCCCTACCCATTTCTACAAAGTCATTTTCGCCGAAGACGGCAAGCTGGGCGGCAAAGTCGCACTGGGAGCGTTTGTGCTGCCCAATGCAGTCATCTCCAACAGCAAGCCCCTGTCGGACTTTGAAGTGCCCGTTGAGGCGGTGGAGAGGGCAAGCGGCTTGGAGTTTGCAACAAAGCTGAGCCCCGACAGGCGCAAGAAGTTATGCCAAGAGGTCAACTGTGGTCTCATTGTTAAGGAATATGCACAGAGACAGAAGTCGTTTGGCAAGCAATAATTGAAAGTCGGAGTTTGGTATTCAACCACATGTCTTATCTTCATACACAGCTCGTGTTGCTAGTCGTACATTGTATAGTACATTTTCATATCGATACGTCGCCCTACTCGTACAGATGGCATTTCTCATGTTACCCATGCGCCCGGAAAAGCGAGACTGTCAGTCTCGTCTATTCCGTGTATCTTGCCATGGCATCGTTCCTCTCAAGCCTTTTTCTTGTATCCTCTCTGCAGACTTTAAAAGTTCTGCACCGCGCCGCCCTGGGCGCTTTCACGCTGTATCCTCGCGACGTATTGCTTGCTAACAGTGTTCCATGCGCTCATGTACTTTTCCATGCATGCAGTGAAGCAGTTTTCTTCGCCTTTGGAGAGGGATGTGCCGGGCTTGGGGACGCAGCGTTCAAAACAGTGCTCGTTGAGTTTCTGTGGGTTCATTAGCACATGTAATTTTTCAAGACGAATTCAAAATGTATAGGCGTACCTCGACAAGCATGCGTGCATTCTGCATGGCGGCCTCTTGCTGCACCTGGCGCATGACGGCCGTCTTGGGATCGCTGGGGCCTAATGAATTCATTGTGAATTTTGTATGTATTTTTTTGGTGGAATTAGGGTATCAGAAAGTAAGGTGTGTGAGTCGTTGGGCAGTGGCTCCCGCGTGGAAAAGTTGTCGACGTCAAGAGCGGCGCTGCTCGCTAGCGTGGTTCCGCAACCCAAGACCCCTGCATTGCACGCGGAGGTGATAGAGTGGCCTTTCCAAACCCCAAGTCCCAGCTTTGAGAACTCCAGCACGTCCGAGTCGCCAACCCGTGCTGCCATCTTCCTTGCACAGCTTCAATCTCCCGAGGCTTTATTCCTTGTCAATTCCAAGACAAAAGTCATCTTCCATTCTTTCTGCGCGTCAATTGTCGCTTGGTATCTTGGGGATCGCCCGTCTCAGGCAGTAAGAGGGAACGTCGTGCAACCATGTTGCTCGCAAAACCATGGACAAGCTTGTGTTTGATGGCGGGGAGCTTGACGGGCGCATGGGCGCGGTCTGGAGGATTGACCGAAGATCCTGATATCAAAGCCATCTCGGTGCGTTGTTGCTACACGATGAGTTGAGGGGCCGCTGTCGCTAATTGGAACATAGCTGCGAACACACACCCTCGAGCCCGTAAGTCGCCTCTTCGTACCGTAGTTACTGCTCGAGGCAGAAAACTAGACTTTGCTCTGACACTAGCTATAGCCATATCTTGACTCGGATATGCAAAGCCGTTGGTGGGACTTTGGCGGAGACACCATTATTCGGACTGATAAATACATTCGACTTGCTTCGGACAAACCCTCACGCGATGGCTGGATCTTCTCGAGAGTCCCTCTTACAGCCACAAATTGGGAGGTTCGTGCAAAAAAGATAGCACTGCTAAGATAGACACTCACACGAGCAGGTCATGTTTGAGTTCAAGATTCACGGACAAGGAAACCTCTATGGCGACGGCTTTGCCATGTGGCTCACCAAGCAGCGCGCACAGCCAGGAAACGTCTTTGGCCATACCGACAAATTCGAGGGTCTCGGTATCTTCTTCGATACCTACAAGAACAACCGCCCAGGCACCGTATTCCCCTACATCATGGCTATGAGCGGCGATGGAAACACTGCGTATGACAAGGACAACGACGGCAAGGCCAATGAGCTTGCCGGATGCTCGGTGCGAACGCCCAAATGTTTGGAATATATGCATTCTAATAAGTGAATTAGGCCCGCGGCATTCGCAACGCGCAGATCGCAACCAAAGCCCGCCTCACGTACTTTCAGGAGCAGTTCCTCCGCCTCGAGATCCAATACAAGGCCGAAGACGAATGGACCATGTGCTTTGAAATCCCTAACTTCAAGGTCCCGCCTGTTGCATACTTGGGTTTCTCTGCCGAGACTGGTGAGCTCTCCGACAACCACGACATTGCTTGGGTCAGGTCAACAAACCTCTACAAGAAGAGCCCTGGTGCGATGCCATCGACAGGAAGCACCGGTGGTAAGACCGCTTCGTCCATGAGCCGCGAAAGACCTAGCGAGGGAAGCTGGACATGGACTTTTGTAAAATTCGTGCTGTTTGGTATGGCACTGACTGGTGCATACGTCGGTTTCACCGTCTACAGGGCCAGGCAAAGAGACCGATTCTAGGGGAAGAATTCATATCTGAAGTTCAGTGGGCAGAAAAGTCGAAGCGTCTGGAAACGTCGGAGATTACAGGTCGATGGGTGCGTCGAGATTGGGGATAAGTACGATTGGACAGCATTGTACAGTGTTAGATGAAGGAGTTGATGGTGTGAAAACGGCCTGGAAAAGGTCGTGAGCCTTGTTTACAGTTCCCTAGCATATTTCTGTATTACTCTACACCTGGTCTATACCGAGTCACAATCGCACATACGAAATTTATTCGAAGTAAATGTGTTGTCTCCGCTCATAATAACAGATCTCTGCACTGGAGCACGCAGGAGCTGTCGATGAAAGCAAGTGGAGTGGGTTGAGTATTGTTCTGGCATCCAATTTAGGTGGCCTGGCGACATGGAGAGTAGGAAGCGACCATGATGTTGGATGCACAAGTTTTGAATAAGTGGTATCGATATTTATTCGATCTTCTCGGCTCAATCACATGTGCTTGTTGTAGATTCCTAGTGCAAGCTTCAGCACCAGTTGGTGGAACCTGAAGACATGATCCTTGCGATGGATAGCGAGAAGAGAGAGAAGCCCAAGGTTTGGAGGGGAAGGTGCTTGTCTGGAGAGGTCGGCAATACCGCTTTTATGGGGCTACACTTCGCCAAGATCTGGCTTCCCATTTGGGTAGGTTTACATCTGATGTTGATAACAGGCTTATTGACATGCAGCTTACGTCACTAGCGTGCTATTAGCGCGGTCCCGTGATTGCGCGCCTGCTCAACTTTTGGCGCGTTCCATAGTCGGCTTCTCTCACCACCCACAACCCGAACTGCGAGTAAGTAACCCTACGCCAGTATTTCTTCCAGACTTGCTTGTTTCCTTGGCGCTATCGAACAGTTTCAGCGAAAAAACTACAATTACGCTCTAGCTAACACAAGTCAGACCCCAATGAACGACAAACCTTCGTCACAAGGCGACGCTGGGGACTAATCCCCCCCTGGTGTCTCACTGCATGACAGTCAAGAACGGAAAGCGGAGGGGGTGCGCCATCATACTAGATGAAGCCATACCACCTGCCACATCATTGCACCGCGATGGGCCACAGGTGGTTTCGCAAAGCTACTGGGTTCACCTTCACGACAAGCCGCAGCCTCAGCCTTTCCCACCGCGCACTGAGGACAAAGTAAAAGAGTTGAAGCGCCGTGCTGCCTTGCCTTAAAAGCTTGGAGGACGTTGTTCGCTTATGACAATTTAATTGTAGTTTTCAATCCGAGCGCCTTTGCCTTCGAGGCATCGCAAGTGGGGAAGCGTGGTCTTTGTCGCTGGGGCTCGCTGGTTTGCGAGGCGGTGCTCCTGTAGGTGGGTTGTTCTTTTTTCTTGCCAAGAGCCCGTTGTGCAGACGGATGAAGAAAGGTCCAGTGATGATGTCCCTGTGGGGCATCAAAGCCAAAGTCGAGTTGAGGAGCCCGTTTGTTGCCTGTTAAGAGGTCGAGAGACTGAACAATGGGGGACAGTGAGGTTCCTTCTGAGGACAGCAGGAGAGCTAATCTGAGGACCAAATTATATGGCATATATTTTCTTCGAGTCTTTGCCATATTGGGCTGACGTGATTGATTATTAGGCTTTACAAAATATCTTGTTCAATGCATGAAAAGTCTAAATTTTGAAATTAAACATGCGCCTACTTTACTCGTAGAGGTAGCAAAACGGCCCGTCGACTGTACTGACTAGGTCCTTGATCTGTAGTGGCTTGTCGGTCCTGAGTATGTCCATATCGATGGTGTCATTCAAAGTCGCCCGTCTACTGTCTGTTCCGTTCCAGAATAGCGTACCTCCCGAAATAACCTGCTGCCGATTCGGAAAATCAAGCGCTTGCCAAACCGCATACACCAAATCAATCATGCCATGATGGAACCAGAAATAAACATCTGCAACACAGGGTTTATTAGTAAATGATTGAGTGGCAGCAGGGAAAATACTGAACGTACCACCAGGTGAAGCGTAAATATCGCTTCCCGGATCTACACCGACGCTGTAATGGCCCATACTGTGAACGCTTGGATTTCCCTGCATGTGGGTCTGGAACGATCCAATATCTGTGTTGTTCAAGATGAGACCAACAACCTTTTCCATCGTGCCATCACGTCGTGTGAGATAGCTGGAAATATCACGTCTCACGCAGCGAGGGTTGTATCCGAAGCCATCCGCACGAGGGTTCGGTCGGTCAGGCAAGTTAGTTGCGAGTCCACGAGGTCTGGGTAAGATGTGTTAGTTGGGGTTGCTATAGTAAGAGGCACAACTTACCCAAGGTTCATTTGCAAGCCCTTGAACGGTCCACTAGCGATACAACCGCCGCCTTCACCAGCAGGTCTCTGAGCCGTGCCGTTTACTTTCGTCTTGTATCCCTGGCCACCAAGACTTGTCGGGCTGCCATCGAAAAGTGGGCTTGTCTCCAGGCTTTGGGACCATTTCGGCCAGTTCCAGTATGGCTGTGTGCCATTGTAGTGGCACTCGTTTCTCAGCGTCTCTTCAAACATAGCCATATAGTAGCGGTGCCAGGTGAGGAAGTTTCCAGTGCCGTGGATGAATGGCGTCTGCTTCATGTGGACAACGATGAAGTCGTCATAGCGGGATTTGGCGCCAGGGTAGTCGACAGGATCCAGCTTGGATGGCTTCTTCATGAGGCATTTTACAGCAGAAATGTAGCGGAGTTTGGCTCCAGCGGACAAGTCACCCCTTGGTATCGAGTCAGTATTGCGAAAAAGGGGGAGATGTGAAGTAGACGACGTACCATTCTCGACGAATGCGCAGCTTGTCCTTGGTACAGGTTGCGGATTTCTTAATCGCAGCGTTCATGGCCGGTCGGCCACGTGCCATCAACGCATGGAGAGGATCTGCGGATGCCAATACACTAAGAAGCGAAAGTGAGACGAACAACGCATACAACGCTCTGAAGTTTAGTGCCGCCATTTTTGCCGTAGGAGTCAGAAAAGGAAGTAGCGATCGACAGTGAGAGCTGGACAACACACTTTGATAGAGATCAATTCGAGTGCCACAAGGGTGAATCTTTATATACCAACTCCAAGGTCTTGTCGTCGCAAGCTTAGCTGTCTCCCAAGCATAGTGAGTAATAGATGAATAACGCCGGAGCCCAAGCTTACAAACGCTCTGATCATCTGAAGAACGGCCTATTACATTTTGTATCTACATGGAGGAACGCCAGATGGGAAAGCACCGCCAAGGACTGCGGCTCATGAAGCTCTGAAGGGCCTCCCATGTATGCTGTTCGGGTATCGAGTCAGTTAGTCAAGCGGCTCACTCGCATACACTAACCCGCACAGTACGTAAACCCGGAAGTTCTACGGTAACACTTTCTAGAATATATGAAAGCTAAAATTACTGATTGGAAACGAATCCGCAGGAAATGTAGCAAAACCATTTGCGATCGACCTTGGATAAATCAACCTACTTTTCCCTTCGTAAGTTTCTGGATGTTTGTGAAACAACTAGAAACACTAGTTGCCTTTTGCTGGGCAATGCAGCCTGCAAACAATGCCTTATCGTGCTCAAAAACCTGACACCACGTAGCGGTCGGGATACCCTAGCTACAAATACTCTACTGTACATCATGTAAAAATTAATAATACCTCCAATCAAACATTGCCAAGATCATCGCGTTTAGTCCGTTTCAACTCCGTACGCTTGGCTTCTGTACGAGTCCAAGCACTCGGAGCTAATAATATATTACTAGGCTCGACTTTCTCTTTTCGAATAGCTGCAAATCGCATGTTCATGATCTGCAACCAAAACAGCGTCAGACCAAGGATTGCAGGGAAGCGAAAGAAAAGCTTTTGCCAATTGCGATGTGCGTTTGATCGTCTGCGGTTTCTTTATTATTACAATTGGATATAGTAATAGCATGTTAAGCCTATAAGCACAGTACACAGTACACCCAAAATAAGCACTGTCTCAGTTACATCATTGCTATGTGACATATACCGGCTGTAAGCACATAAGCCAATGACAAGCGAAACCGTCTCAGCTACGTTCATTTACCAATCAATGGCATCCCTGGCGTTCATTCATATCTTGGCATACTGCCAGTTTTTTTATCGTCCGTTGTTCGGAGTTCTGAATTGCGTTATTGGTAAGTATGTAGTTGAACTCTTGACATGGGATGATTGTAAGCACGTACGCAGGTAGAATTGGTTGTTTTTTCTTCTCGATTTCCATTTCTAAACCGGCGATACTAGTAGTCCCGCGTTTATATGGGGTCGGCCCTTTGCTAGACTAGGGGAGTAGATCGCTATTTAGTTAGAGGCGTATAGATTACCTGATTTCTGGGATTGTTTGCTGTTTAGTCCGCGTTGGCTCGCGGCCCAGGTATATTGCAGCGTGGTTTTTTGTGGGGTTCATCAGGGTTGAAGGGCCGAGAGAGCGATGTTCTTAGTGTATTCTAGAGTTGCCACCGTGAATTGACAGGTATATTGGCGTGTTATTAAGGACGAAGAATTGGTTTACATAACCCAATGGATCGTTTTAGTAAGTAGACTTGCTGTTGGTGGTGCATGAAATACTCCGGTTGCTACCCGAACGGACTTGCCGTGCCGTGCTATGTTCGTATTCGGAGGAGCTATGTCTTTTATACTGTTTTGGGAGTTTTCCAAGCCAATAGTTCGGTTGATAGGTAGTTGTATTACTAGGGTTCTACCTTAGTTCGACTTCTGCGCCATTCTTCGACGAGCAAGAGTAGGACTCCTTGTTCAACACGAGTAAAGAAACGCCTAACTGGGTCGCGAAGTGTCTACAGAAATCATTTCGCGCTGAAAGATGCAATGTAAACTTTGCAGATTGGCTCATGATATTACCTTATTAGCAAATTTTAGTATCAAGTGCACAATACATGACCAGCTAAGTGTAGAGCCTGAAGATCGCTAGTAGTCGAGATGACAATTTGCACCACTCAGAATCACGATCACGGCCTAAGCCACCGATCTTTTTACAACTCGTGTAACAGTTAAGCTCTACCAGGTCTGAAGATCCATAAGCCCAGGCCGGATGGTGACGGTTACGGAGCTTGACGAAAGACTAAGCCCGCACCGACGAAGCCTTAACATTGAAGCTTAGCCCAACAGAATATTCGGTCGATAGTATTTCCGAATGAGTAGATAAAAGCTACATTCGAGTTCTATTCGAACTCGACGGACAATTCACCACTTCTTGTCCCCCGAGCTTGACTACTCTTCTAAAACATGTTATTCACAGGCTACATAGCCCGGAGAACTACTCGACGAGACTGATCAAAGCTCCCCTATAGCCTCCATAGCCTCTCTAATCCACCCCCAGAAAATCTCCGAACAAAGTACATAGTCTCCCTAGATACCGCACAGATCCAACGCAATCCCAACCCATCATCACTATCACGCAGTATCATCATCTCACACCACTTATCTCGCGTATGACCCTCCCAAAATTTCAAGCCCCACCTTCTCCCCATATCCTTGAAGTGTAAGCGCACCCGCACATACTCTTTACCACTTGATCTCACAACGCGAATACAGCCAGCCCTTGGCGTCTGATATAAACAAGCATTTCACTTTCGTGAAATTCCCACCATCGTATTCACTTGGTAGTATTTTGGCTATTCTGAGAGTGTAAAGAGGTTGTACGGAACGATCCATGGGACCCGATTAGCTGGATTGGATACTGAGTTTGTGGTACAGGGCTTGGTGGAAAGGGGTAAAAGAGTGGGAACAGCTATGAAGTCTAGATTTCACTGGTTCCATCGGACTGACTCTGCCTATGTACATGGCACTGTTCCACATACCGATCATACCACACACAAATATTGAGACCGTAAATAGCTAGTTTCTCATATCTTCATGACAATCACAGGTGACCGTACGTTTTTGCGAGGAGGAAAAAAAGGTGGCCTATATGCCCAGTGTACGATGAACAGGGTTGATGCATCAGCGACTCTTCGCAAGTGCGGCTATCTACATGCAGATATCCCAAGTAGCCCTGATGACTTATCAATAGGGAAGGATCAAAGACAGATGTTCATAGCGGAAAGATGGACGAGGACGATAATTGTGAACAGAAGAAGTAAATGTATTTTATCAAGAAGAGGAACATTTCAGCTTGGTAGATGAGATAACCACTACTCGTCTTCTATTCGTAACACATATCACTGTCTACCCTCCCCCTCACTTCGTCGCCTCAACAACATTCTTCTCAACCCCCTTCACCGCCTCCCTCACAGCGGGCGCAAAATGCCTCCTCAGAATCTCCCCCTCCCACACCGTCCCCGCAAAAGGGTTACTTCCCTCGATCTCCGGCTTCAGGGGATCAAACACGCCGTCGCCACGTCTCTCCTCCGTATTCCACAGCGGCGCCACCTTCTTACCGTGCGTCTTTGCAATGCGGTTCAGCAGGCCGAGCATGGCGACGCAGGATTTCTCAGGAAGGTGCATGGAAATGGTCATGAGTTGTTTTGCAAAGGCTGCGACACGCAGAGGGGGCACGGCGCGGATGGAAGTTGCAGGCAGTAAAACGGAAGAGAGAGAGCGGATTAAGAGGACGATGGTGGTTTGGACGTTGATCTTTGCTGTGTCGGCGTGCGAGGTGCCGGCGGTGGGATCGGCCAAATGAAGCGATTTGGAGCTGAGCTCGATGTCTGGGTTGAGTGCGACAGGATGCAGGGTGCGGTAGAGGTGAGTGATGAAGTAGCTAAGGTCGAGTTTGAGGGCTGAGGCGGTTTTTGCGCCTTCTTGGCCTTCGAGGAGGGCAAAGGCGGTGATGACGCAGAGGAGGGATTCGCGCGTGAGGTTGCGCTCGGGGGCTTCGTTGTCGTCGTCTTCGGAGGCGTCGTCATCGTCGTCCATGGCGGCGGCTGCAGCTGTGAGTTCAGCGGTCGCGATGATGTCGCGTAGTGCTTCGAGAATGTCGCCGAAGAAGTCTTGGTTGATCAGGTGTGCGTATCGTGCTAGGCCTTCGAGCACGGCGCCCATGAGCTTTGCTGAGCGGGCCTTGAGGATTCGGAAGTATGCCACGAATACCATCTTGAGCGTCTCGGCTTGCATCCGATCACGCTCCTCGTGGCTAACAGCAGCATCAGCCTCCTTGAATTCTTTCTCAATAGCCTTCTTCTCTTTCAACTCCTTCCGCAGCCTCTTCGTCCTAAACTCGCGCTTCTGCTTCTGCTTCTTGCCATTGACCATTGGCTCCTCCGCCTTGTCTACAGAATGGTAAGAGGCCTTCTGCGCGAACTCGGAAAGCAAACGAAGATGCAGAAAAGTGTTCAGCACACTCTCATCAAAGTGATAGTTCCGACTCTTCATCATCTTGGTCAGCATGGTAACACCCTCTAACGAGACATTGCCATCCTCGTCGTTTTCAAACACCTTCTCCATAGCCTCTCTACACCGCACAAAGTCTGCATCGACTTTCCTCGTACTCAGCTTGCCAACCAGAATCTTGAGTAGCTCGCTGCGAAAGTTGAAGTGCGGTACTGAATTCAGCAGATTACACGCGCAACTCACAGCGACAGTAGCCAGACTAGCAACCTGCTCTTTATCCGATCCACTCGCCTTTGCCAGTTTCGCTAGATGCTTAACATAAGTCTCGTAACCTGACACGAGCTTCTGCTCGAATTGCCGCAGTTTCTTGACTTCCTTTGAGATCTTCTCCTGCATCTTCTCCTCGGACAGCGGGCGTATCCTGTATCCGGGGATGATGTCCTTGAAAATCGAGGCTTGCGTCGCTAGTGCCAGTTTTTTGACCGTGAAGTTTTCCGAGTCGGCAAGCGCTTGTAATGTCTTCAATGCTCCAATGTGCTCCTCTGGATCCTCGTTGATCAGACTTGCTATCCGAGCAAGTTCCTCTTTCGCCTCTAGTATTTGTTGTCGCGCTGGTATCTTTGGTTTTTTCTCCTCCACTTCTTCTTCGTCGTCGGTGCCCTCATCTACCTCATCCTCGCTGCCCGACCCTAGAAAGCTGTCCGAGTCTTCCTCCTCCTTGATGTCCTCCACAGTCGGCTGCGGCGCTACCCAACCTTCTGCTGCCCTGACAGGCAATTTCTTGTTTTCCTTCTGCTTCTTCAATTTGCGCGGCCGCGTCTCGTAGTCCTGCTCCAAATCCCATTTCGCCGCATTCTTCAAGAACGTCGCCTTGTGATCAATCGTCGTTCCGTTACCGCGCTCTCCATCCTCGGGCGGCGACAATCTTCTTCGCTTGGCAGCCGGAACGCGGGACATGATGTGATGTATGCGAAACTAAAAAAAAGAACTCAGGACTGAGGAATGCCACCTGTGTTGGGTAGTGTCGCAGCAGCAAAGAAAGAGGAATGCGCATTGGAAATTTTGGCCGCGGCGGAGACTAGTCCCGCTTTTGCGCTCCACATTTTTTTCCCGGGCAAAAGCACATCTCGACTTTGCGACCTTGCGCCAGAACCCAGCCAGTTCAGCAACAAGCTTCCCTCCAACCCAATCTACACCTGGGAAATACTATACATATACATTACAAATTCGCCCAAAATGAGGCCCCTCACCGAACCAGAAACAAAAACTCTCTTCGAGAAACTAGCTTCCTACTGCGGAAAAGGCATCACAAACCTCATCGCCGACCCAGCTGGCGGTAACGACCGCAACGTCTTCCGCGTCCAGGTAATCTTTCCCCCTTCCCCTTTACAAACCAAACCCCCTTCCCAACCTCAAATACTCATACAATCGCCAGGGCTCCCGTGTCTACTACGTCCGCGAATCTCTCGCCAACCTCGCCACAAGTGTCGCGCGCGACAACCTGCTCTCCCTGGGCATCTGCCTCGGAAAATTCACAAAAACCGGTAAATTCCGCCTCCACATCACGGCGCTGAGCGTCATTGCGCCGCACGCGCGCTACAAGGTGTGGGTCAAGCAGAATGGCGAGATGCCCTTCTTGTATGGCGGCAATGTACTCAAGGCGCATGTGGGGCGGTGGAGCGAGGATTGCCCGGAGCATCAGGGTGTCGTGGTGTTGAGTATGAATGATACGCCTTTGGTAAGTTTTGAGAAGAATTACGTTTTGTTAAACACTGTTTTGTTGTTTGTTGTTTTTGTGGAGAAAGAAGTTGGGCTAATAGAGATTTACTAGGGATTCGGTGTGAGTGCGAGGTCGACGGCTGATGCGAGGAAGTTGGATCCGACGGGTATTGTTACGTTTAGACAGGCGGATATCGGGGAGTACCTGCGAGAAGAAGATTCGCTGTTTACGACTTGAGTTGTCAGAGGGTAGAGGGAAGAAGCTTTTATTCTATGTGCTAGGAAGGTGGATTGGAGCGGAGGAAAGAGGAAAAACTAAACGCGCAATGAGGTTGAATGCCTGTGTCAAGGGAAACACCATGCAGCACGCGCAGAATCTGGAAAAAGTGCACAAGCAACGGGGTGGCTGGCTTGCTGTAAGAAGAACTCTACAAGAACAAATGAGATACCCTAAGTCCTTCCACCGTCACGCAGCGAACATGTAGATACGAAGCTCGCCTCTTTCCACATTCTAAAAGCACCTTGCCTTACAAAAAAACACCAAATCTTGTTTCTTCTATAAAAACGTCTTGATTCATACACTCTAGCTCCAGACTCGCTCTTGCTCGTCCGCCAATGATACTGATATACATGTGAGCTTTATAAAGTTGTTGATAGGCCGAATTGTTCAGCCCAAATCAAAAAAGAAACGAAAAAGGGTATATCGGTCTTTGATCCTTTTTTTTCTCTCTTCCTTTCTTCTTCTAGCCTCGAAGAAGGGTACGCAGAAAAAAAAGAGGATTGTCGGTTGGAGGAAAAGAAAACCAAAACCAAAAACTAATGCTGCAATCTGGTGTTGTACAGTTTAACCCGATTTCTCTTCGCGCTCTCAGCCTCTCAGAATGATTCTGCAGGAGGATAAAAAAAGAGAGGGCGTGTCAATATGCCAATCGTCCAATCATCCCAACTTCTCAAGGAGCTTCCTCCTCCTGCGCTCGACAAGCTCGTTATTGACCTCGTCGAGGGTAGGTACTCGCCATCGTACACCGTCGCCCGCGTCGCCTGGTAGTTCGATCCATTCTTTTTGCACTCTGCTCGCTTTCTCGTCCAGTTCATCGCCCAGTAACATGAAGTTGTCCCAGGCCTCGCGCTCCTTTGCTTTCTCGTATGCTAAGAGCGTGCCATCTTCCTCGTCCAGATTGTAGCCATAATAACCCGCATCCACCTTTTGCCTAAGCTCGCTCCTCTTTTCGCGTCCTTTGTCCATATCATCCTCTGGGCGACTCTGTCTTTCAAAGAGCTCCTTGACACCTGGTAACTCTTTGGCTCGCCCAAAATACCTGTACCCCTTGCCACCTCCAGGCACCTCACGCCCTTCCTCATCTAACACTCTTCCGCCTCGCATGTAGTTGGGCCCTCCTAACGACCTGATCTGGCTCTCCCACATGTGTTTCTCTCGCATAAGTTTGTTGATCTCATCGTTGAGATCGCGAATCTGGTAATCCGAGAGCGCCTCGTCCTGGATCTTTGTGACTTTGCGCGAGATCTCCTTGAGAACCTGGCCACGCCATTTTTCACACACGGGAATCGAGTTGACCGACGTGATGAGCTTGGGGCGGCGCGTGCGCGAAATGTCAATGATTCCCGCTTCGGCAGCCTGCGCCGCGCGAAAGCGGAACAGCATCGAATGTGCCTTTTCAGAGTTACGCGCCATGGTTGCGGTTGTGTGCTGATATCGTTTTTAGTCGAAGGAAGTTTTGCCGTTGTCGTTGCGCGGCGTTGCTGTCGTCGTCGTCTTTGAAGTCGTGCGAGATGGTGTCGTGCGCTGGGTCGCGCTTTGGCGTGTTTGCGTAGGTGTGATTAGAGAGGTCAAAAGTGTATTATAGGTATACCGGAAGCTGCCCGCAGTTGCTGAAACGAAGGTGGAACAAGGAAATGGGATGCGCGATTGATTTTGTATGGTTGTAAAGGAGGGAATAGACGAATGGGCCTCGCGTCTGGCCAGGAGCGAAAGTTCGGTCTACTACTTCAGTTTAGCGGTGACGCAGATTCTTGGCATTTTGCCCCCCGGAGAATACCGTCTTTGCGACCTGCGTCCTGCATGAACATGATGCGAGCATGCCCGCTCGGGCGCCGTCACGCGCATCAAGAATAGTAAATAATTAAAACGCCGTCTCTCTCCACGTGGTCACGAGCCAGGACACATGTTTCAATTTACGTCTTTCTTCATTGGCCCCCATCGTTCTAGCCATTCGCCGTCACAGTAGTTCTATCACCACCTATCAAGCATTATCCAACTCCGATATGCTGCTAGATCAAACATGCGAAACTTGACAACTCCAGAGTGAGGAGAGAATGAAGGGTCTAGTTACAAGCTATATGGAAACACGCCCCGACAAACACAGCGAAGTCGGAGCCTAGTGCGAAGGAGAAGCGTTAGGTCGTCTCAGTGTACAGCTCCATCCCCACTCAAGCACGCTGCGCAAATCGGACAGGCAATGCTTCACCGCCCAAAGCCATGCTCTAGGCTCCTGCAGCGACCACTCGAGGTTTATTTGTTGTTTGATGCGAATCCAGATCGAACTGTAACGTCCAAAAGCCGCAAAACGGACAGAGATAGACATAGGAAAAAGGGACCGACTCCCACGAGTTATACAGAATGCTAGGAAAATAAAGAATGTCAGTCAAATCATATGACTAGTGCAAGCTCGCAAAAGCGAACCGTGTAATGCTTAGGAATGGGTTATAGGTAGTGAATAGAGTTTTATGCACCAGCTGAGTAGTTTGCTGCCTCCATCTCGGTTTGGTGGCGGAGTTGTTCGTTGCGCATCTCTGTACGTGACTCGGTCCGAGACTCGGTGCGCGATTCTGTGCGCGACTCAGCTCGAGACTGAGCCCGCGAGCTCATGGAACCGAAGAGCGAGGGCCGCGAACTAGAGGCCTTGACGTATCGACCTCTGATCGAGTGTTGATGAAGATGTCCAACATCGTGTTTACCTTTGCAAACGTTAGCTCATATATGACGGTTGTATAGGAGGGGAGGCACTTACCATCACAGCACGCTCGAACATTGGGCATGAAGTCTTCATCTTGCTCCAAGTGCTCGTGGATATCGCGACTAAGATCCAGGTGAGAAGCGCTTGGCTCTTCATACATTGTCGTCTCCGGCGCATTTGCCTTGCTGCTTCGCCGGCTGGAGAAAGATCCTCGCATGGCCGAGGCGCTTGGTCGGAGCATGCTAGTGAATCTACTCGCGACAGAGCCATGAGCCGGTGCCTCGGTTGAAAGTGCGCGTTGCTGAGAATAGTTTGATTGTCGGATCGTGGGTACTTGGCCAGGTTCGCGAGATGATGCGCGCCTAGTAGCGTACGACATCACTGAAGCTCTTGATCGACCGGTTTGGCGCGAGGAGCTTCTATATCCGCCGTTGAACTCGTCTTGAATTTCCTCAGCAGTTGTAGGCCTATGCTCTGACACTGGCGAAGACTTTTCTTCAACGTCTTCAACACGCTGGCACAAATAGTTCAGAGCATTAAACCAGGTCTCGTGTCTCTGACCCGTAGTCGCAGTAAACTTCATTGACCTGCCCGGCGTGATGACGAGTAAACTCTTTTGGTGGAGCCCGGGAGGGAGAGGGTTGGGGTCGTCGACCTCTTGGACAGATTCAATAGCTACACTCTTAGCTTTCAAGGTCGATTTATCGGCACTCTGAGGATCGCGGTCACTCCAGTACAAGGTCCTTGTGTAAGGATGGATCCAGAAGAAGCGTCGATGTCGGTTTTCAGACATGCCTTCACGGCCAGTCTTGCGGGTATACTTCCATAGGTACTCGCCAATCATGGTCTGAGTAATGGCTTGAATCATCCGCGGGTCTGTGGCACCGGCAGCTAGTCCACCTGGAGCAAACGATGGGCCTCCAGGTATATTGAAGCGTTGATCAATCTCCGAAGTGAACGAAGACAACGACGATCGGTGGCTGAGAGGCGAAGACGCGCCGCTTCGCTGCGACGGACGACGCACACGTGGAGTAGTACCGCCTGTCATGGGAGTGAGATTGCTGTTGCTTGTCTTGATGGTTGGCGTTTGCGGTCGTTTCTTGTAAGCTGAGGCAGGGAGTGAGGGCGGTCCCATTGATCCAGGAGACATGGGTCTGAGCGATGCAGCAGCGATGACTTCTTTGTGGTCCCGTGGTAGTGGGGGAGGCGTCTCCAGGCGCGAACGCACGCTTCCAGAGCTGCTAGGACGTTTTGGAGTTCGGAGAGGATCGGGTGTTGACTTCCTAGGTGATCCAGGAGATGAAAGGGTTTTCTCTGACCCTTCTACGACCGCCGTGCCGCTCCGTAATTGACTTCGAGCAAGGAGTAACTTGTCAATCTGCTCGGCAGATACCATAGTCTGAGTTCCTCCGTCAGTCATTTGTATTTGACTTTTCTTAACAGGAATATTGGCGCTTATGGGTGCAAGGGGTGCGCGTGTCTCTCGGCTATCATCCGATGAAGGAAGCATGTCGATTGAGGCATCCTTGCTCGTAGTTGGACTGGCAGCAAAGTAGTTGATCTTGGGCACTGATGGCTGCTTGTTCTCAGTCGTCTCAGTTTGACTAATGGTCGATAGTGAGAGAGGTGGAGTGTCCCTGTGTGCAGTCACAGGTCTTGACGGCACCACTGGTTCAATACCTTGAGTTGCAACAGATGACAAGCTCATGACAGGGGCTTGCTCTCTGTTCGCTGTGGATGGCCTGCTTGTGGGACTTGGGAGGAACGCTGGAAGCGTTGGCGACTCAGGCTGAGTATCGTGGATTGTTTGTACGTTGGACACGTTGAGGACAGATTCCAAAGGAAGAATTGGCGAGACGGGTTCTGTTTCGACAGTGTCAACGGTTGAGAGTTGCGATGGCGCATGCTGTGCCGGCTTGACAGGATCTGTGACTTGCGATTCTACGCTTGAGAGACCCATAGAAGCTGGTGTCTTTGGCGCCATTGGTTCGGTCGCCTTTGACAAGAGACCAGAGAAAGATGACAGAGCTGGTCTTGAAGGCTCCACAGGCTGTGATGTCTCGAAAGACAATGATGAAAGCTGCTGTGGAGCTGGCTTGGGCGTCTCGACAGGGTCCGTGGACTGGACCGAAAAGTTCGACAGCTGCATGTGCGGTAGTCGTGGTGCAACAGGCGCGGTAGCAGCGTGCGAGCAGATTTCAGAAAACTGTTGTCTCTCTCGGCTGGGCGTTCGCGGTTCTGTGGCTTGGGTCAACGTTGTCGAAAACGCTGAAAGTGGTGTGCGGGGCGCATCCTTGGGTGCGATTCCGTTAGACACCAGGGCTGATATCTGCAGAGGTGTCTGCTTGTGCGACGCATCTCTTGGCTCAGTTGCGTGAGCAGCCACCTTTGACAGTTGCAGCGACTGATGCTCTTGTGTTTGAGGTGCCTGCTGGGGTTGTACTGGGGCAGCCTCTCCAGAAGTCGATACGGACCTGAGAGCCTCAGCAACAAACTCGGTTCTTTCTACAGGCTCTGTTGACTGAGTTGATATGGCCGATCTCAACAGCTGTAATGGAGCTAGAAGCTTCGAGTTATTGGTTTCCTTTGGCTCAGTAGCCTGGTGGGATATGGAAGAAACGTCCAACGAAGCAACGACAGGCTCTCGCACGTGTGGTGAGACGGGCTCAGTGCCTTGAGATGAGAAATCTGACAGGGCAAGAGGTGGTGGAGTAGATTGTCGAGGCTCCGTACCCGCTGACGAAAAGCCGGACAGCCCAAGAGGTTGTGAAAGAGCATGTCGAGGCTCTGTACCCTCAGAAGAGAAGTCTGACAATCCGAGAGGCTGTAGAGGAGCATGTCGGGGCTCCGTGGCCTGAGACGAGAAACTCGACAGGCCAAGAGGCGCTGGAAGAGCATGTCGAGGCTCTGTTGTGTGGGCAGACACCGATGACATGTTCAAAGGTGTGATGGGTGCAGCACGTGGTGAAGTGTCTAGCGAACGCAAAGAAGAATATGCTGACAATGGTACCAAGGGAGCTTGCGGCTCGGTCCCTTGGGCAGACAAGGAGGATACAGCCAACTGAGGCAGCTGTGGTGCACGAGGACTGGTTGCGTTTCCAGAAACGCTAGAGAGACGAAGCGTTGGTGGAAGCACCTGATTTGGCTCTGTACCTTGCGAAGAAATTGAAGACACTTGGAGGTCTTGTGGGCGCGGGGCCTGCGGGTTTGTGTCGTTTGAACGCAAAGAAGACAACTGAAGGACCGGCATGCGGATGGCCTGTGGTTGAGTATCCTGACTAGAAATTGAGGAAATGGTGATGGGCTCAGGGATATCTCGTTCGGTCATGGTACCAGAGTCTACCATAAGTGGCCTGGGCATAGCAGTGATGGTCCTTCGCAGTGCATCCGTTGACGACTGACGCGAGTGTATAATACTAGAGCGGCTTGGTGTGCCTTCGACAGTACCTTCAACAGAGCTGCCGTCATCGTCACTCAAGTCATTCAGCTCCGCAAACAGACTCTTGCCTTGAGCAGGCGTATTCTCGTTGCTACTGCTGATGTAGCTTGCAGGAGAATCCCTAGATGCAGGAGGTGTACTAGCGAACAAGCCCGAGCCGATCTTGGGTGTTGACTTGGGTGTTGACCTGCGAGAACTGCTTGGCCTCAATCGGATACGAGAATTTTGATGGTGCAAAGGTGTCCTGAAATCCGGCTCACTGAAGTCATCGCCAGACGTAGATGCCGTGCTCTGGTAGGAGGCAGCACGACCCCGACTTGAGAGCGAGGGTCGACTACGACGCTCGCTCAGCTTAGGAGGCCTGGCCTCAGTTTCGGTTAACTGATCACTGCTGTCTCCATCAAGTGTCTCTGCCCCTGTTTGGAAAGCGTCCGACTCGGTTGCCATGCCGTCACGTTCGTTTGCAGTCTCGAAAGCAGCATCCGATGTCTCGTTAGCGGTCTCAAACCCTTCGAACGCGCTTGTCTCTGTGGCAGATTTGTTTCCGCTGGAGAAGATTCGAGATGTAGAGACAGAGAGGTGCGGTTGTCGACTAGGTGTAGCTGGCATGCCTTCCTCCTCTTCCCACTCGTCATCCTCAATGATCTCCTGGGTGCCACTACGCAGAGCGCCAAGTCGATCTGGTCGAGGAGGCTTCTTAAAGATGTCCTTTTCGCTTCTCCTTCTCTTGCTAGCGCTGCCAGGTGCAACTTGAGCGCGGGCTGTGTCCAATTCATCACGGGTATCTTGCAACACTCGCTTGAGCTCGATCTTCTCGGTCTTTTCACGGTGAATGTTGTTCTTGAGTTGCTGGATCATACGGTGGGCGTGTTGAAGGGAGTGCTTCAATGTCTCGGTCTCGAGCATGCCGTGGCGGGGAGTAGCCTTGCTCGGTGAGGGAGCAGGCGAGTGCTCTGGAGTTCCCGATTGTCGTTCCACAAAGCTGTCGTCTTGCGAGGAATCTTCAGAGCGACCACGCTCTTCGGACCTTGCACGCCAGGCAATTGCTTGTGCGAGCTGCTGGTTCTTGGCTGTGAGCTCCTCCATTTTACGCTGCATTGCACCCTTTTCGGTCTCGGTCATGGCCACATTGCGGCGAAGAATGGAAAGTTCTGTCTCGTGCTGCTTGATCTTGTTGATGTGGTCGTCATTGAGCTTTGTGTACATCTGCTTCAACTCCTCCAGTTCCCTTTCCAAGGTTGACCTTTCTGTGCGTGCGAGATCCAATGCATGGTTGAGACGGTGCTCCTTGTCTGCCGCTGACTTGGACTGTACCTCAGACTCACGAATTTGTGTTTCAAGACTCCAGTTGACATCCTTTAGCCGCGACTCACTCTCGTCCAGGGTTCGTAAGCGCTGCGACAAGCCCTCGACCTCGATTTCGAGTTGGGACCTATCCAGGTCGGCTGCCTTGAGGGCCTCATCCTTCTCAAGTAGAACAGCCTGGAGCTCCTTGAGCTGGGAAAGCAGAGACGTCGAGATTTCGGTTGCTAGCGCGATATCGTTGATGCGACTGGGCGGTTGGTTCTTCTGCTTCCGCGACGGAACGCTGACTTTGGTAGGCGACTGGAGGGCTTCGCTCGAGTAGACTGAGCCGCCGGTTGCAGCGTCAGTCTCTCCGCTCGGAACGCGGGATTTGGGGAGGAAGACGCGAGCCGTCTCCCGTCCGACCTCGTTAAACTCCTTCTCCAGCTCAGTCAGCCTGTGGCGCAGATCCTCGCCAATATCATTCTCCTCTTGCTGCTGTTCCACTTCCTGCAGCCTGTCTTCGAGTTCCTTCCGCTGTTGGACAAGAGCATTGCCGAGGTGGGATGTCTCCTGCAGCCTGCGAGTTGTCTCTGCCAAGTGTGCTTCGAGAGCGCGCTTGGCTTGGGCAGGCGATCCGTTTACGTAAAGGGAGAACTGCGAATTGTCGAAGGCCGAGTATCGCCTCTGGCCATCCTGCGGGGGCGCGAGAAAGGGATCTGCTCCATTGAGGTGCTCCACCGGCAAGGCGCCCGGCGGAGGGTTTGCTGCGGTCATTAGTAGTCGCGAAGGCCCGTTTTCCTATTGTCCCATTGCCCAGGGGGGAAGTGTTGGGGTAACGACGCGTAGGGAATAAGTTTTTTTATGTAGTTTTTAGATAATGGAGTAGAGGTTGTGGAAAAAGGTATAATTAAGGAGCAGACAAGGGACGTGGATCCGGCGACGAGTGGCGGCAGCGGTGGTGATGGTGTGCTGGAGACGAGAGCGACAGGGAGCGTCACTTGGTCGAGGCGAGGTCGGAATGCACAAAGGGCTTGGTCGAGGGCGACGCGCACAAAGCCGACTCGAGACACGGCTGCGGCTGCTGGCACTGGATCGCGTTTCGGTCACACTATAGAAAAGAAGCAAATGCGCATCGCTGGGCGCAGCGACGGCGAAGGGTAACGAAAAAAGAAACAAGGGAATGCCGAACGGGCTGGAGGGGCGACGGAGGCGACAAAGGCGACAGAGGAGTGAGGTTCAGCAGAGGCGGAGGGTGTGGTGTGTCGACGAGCGAAATGAAGCGGCCGTGCACGTCAGGGCAGGCTATGGCGAACGAGGCAGCGCGGCATCCACAGCATCAACAGCGCTAGCGGCAGAGGGCAGTAGTAGCTGAGGCCTCTCCACCCTCGCCCAGGCACATGCATGTGTATATCCATCCAACTGCAGCAGAGCACACCGAGTCCCCACCGCTGCTGTGCGGCTCCCCCTGGCACGGCAGCCATTCACAGGCGGCACAGACAGGTGTTTACATGTATCCAGTCATCCATTCACCAGTTCCCCTTGGCCTCTGCTCGGACTCCGCTGGCACCACCTGCGTCACAATACGCACCCCCCATTTACTTACTTAACTACTTACATACCCCACGACTGCGGCGGCCTCTTCTCCCGCAGTAGGGGTACCGTGGCATGCCAGATAGGGGTTGCCGAATCTCCGCCTCGGTGCGCGCATAATGCAATCGTGGCCTGTGTAAATATCTAGCACGTTCATGTATATACTACTACTACTACTACTACCTCATGTATTTGCAATACACACATGCGCCCCTTTGCACGGGAGGCTGGCAGCCCCGATCCGAGTCCCAATGATGCGGCATCCCAGGACTGATTATGGTTAGTCAGTGGGTAACTATGCACTCGGAGGCTTCACCATCACCACACCTGCCTATCCACTACCTACAAACTATGTGCGCCAAACGTCCCGCGCTCAAGCCGACTCATCAACTCGGTCGGATCAGCATCATGGTGAGCGCATCTCCACGTGATTGGCCTAGCGGTCACATGGCTGGTCAAGTCCGGCCTGGGTATGCCCGGACTATCTCCCGCTCGCCTCCCGGCTCCTGCTACCTGCGCCACTACCCCAGATCCCGTCACGTGATTCTCGATTTCTCAGCCACAGCCTGCCTCTGACTTTCTGCTCACCTCGCCGCTCACCTTGCACACCCATTGCACACCCAGCCACACCCCTACCCACCTCCACAATCGCCATGGATGCGCCCGTCGTCAAGTTCAAGAAACGAGGAGCCAAGGCCGCGCCTCGCAAAGTCGCGCCTCCGCCACCGCAGTCTGATTCAGACTTCTCATCCGGTTCCGACGCAGAAGGCGACGACGGCCGTGTAGTGAAGCGGCGAAAGGTCAACGACAACGCCCTCAAAGCTTCTACCGTAGACCAGAAGACGAACACGTCCATTGAAGGCACAACACAATACGCCGCCAACACCTCTGCGGTAATCGAAGCAAGCAACGATGCGACAAAGCAGTCCAACTGGTACGAGGAAAAGACCGACGATGCTCTCAGCTCCAAGAACCTGTTGGGCAGTACGCGCACGAAGCCCTCTTCGCTCATCGAAAAGAACCCCGACGCGCCGACGCGCCAAGTAGGGCCTGTCAAAGCATCCACCAACATTCGAACAATCACGGTTACCGACTACACGCCAGATGTGTGCAAGGACTACAAGCAGACGGGTTTCTGTGGTTTTGGCGACAACTGCAAGTTTCTGCACGCTCGTGAAGACTACGCAGCAGGCTGGAAGCTTGATCGCGAGTGGGAAATGTCCACTAAGGGCAAGAAGCCTAGTGGCACCGTTGTCGCGTCGGCCAACCGTGACGCCCAAGAAAAAGACGAAGACGGCATCGACCTGGCACTTTTGGAAAAGATACCGTTCGCCTGCATCATCTGCAAAAAACCGTACAAGACGCCTATCATCACAAAGTGTGGACACTACTTCTGCGAAGCATGCGCTTTGAAGCGATATCGAAAGGACCCGACATGTGCAGCGTGCAGTGCAAAGACATATGGAGTCTTTAACGGGGCAAAGAACCTACAAAAGCTTCTAGAGAAGAAACAGAAGTGGGAAGACAAGAAGAAGGCCGAGGCGGAAGAGAAGGCAAAGGAGGAGGAAGGCGGCGACTGAGTACGTGGTGGACGAGAATAGAGCAGGAGAAGGTGAATGCCAAAGAGTCAGGTGCGGCACGGTGCGGCGGCGGAGCTGCCATTCTGACCTGAGCCTCGGCTTGCCTGTCTAGTGTACCGGTGGTACTTTCCGCTTCCAACGCCACAGAGTTCGTTGGTCACGCCGTGGTGAGCAACGGCGCTGCTTTTAGTCCATGTCAACGAACCAAGCAATGCCGCCAGCGTTGGCTTCAGGGTGTTTCAAGCTATGCACTAGTGGTGGAGAACACCGACTGTTCGATCCACGCGTAGTACAGCTAAGCACATGGTTCGCGCATCGATCGAATATAGGCATAGCGATATTGTCGAGAGCATATCGTCAGAGGCACGGGAAACAGGCGTTGAGACACCCTATCACTGGTCCAGGAGGACGTATGTATATATGTGTATTATGTAGAGCGCGCTCAACAGGTCAGACGCGAATAGCTATTCGACTACAAAGTTCCAACAAAGTTCAGACATTGTTCCCAACAAGAGGTCTAGCATCCAATCATGCAGTGTCTCTCTATCCTCCCCGCACTTATCACAGCCACTGCTGCAGATAACTCATTGCGAGCATGTGAAGTGGGTCTAGACACATGGCTTGTCTCTCCGCTGAAGTGGGTTCCCTCTGCTTGTCAGCACTGGTGCATTTGTGTAAACCGAATATCGGGAACACCAAGCAGGGCCTCGAGAGATCTGGCAAACCAGAGTTCAGAGGCCGGAGAGATTGATCGGTGTAAATGGGAGTAACTTGGCTTGGGGGATAACCGGATGAGGAAAGCCATGCACGCTTGACATGCTAGTGCACAGGGGGGCGCATACACAAGGCGTCGGTAGCGACCATGGCGGATTCCCGGCCTGCCCTGACGCGAGCAGACCTGTGTATAGGTATTTGGATATACGGACAGGCTGTTGCAGGCACTCGTTGCGTAGCAGCAGCAGGGCGTGTGGGTTGGGGTGGTGAAGGGCGTCAGCACAAAGGCTACAGTCCTTCTAGAAGCGTTGATCTCTGCGCGTTTGGGCGAGGTGCCCCACCGCACTATGCCTCGTATGAGGTCTGGCGGCTGTTCGATAATTAGTAGAAAGCGTTCAGTTTCCAACTTGGGCCCCCTCATGACACCGCGCGACAACAGAGATTTTGCCGTTTTCCTTGCCGGCGCCAGCTGAAGCACGCAATTGACTGCCGCCGCCGCCGCTGCTGGCTGTGCCACCCTCTGCTGGTCAGTTGCCCATTGCCCGTTGCCTGGGGGTAAGATCAGTCCAAGGTACGGTATAGCCGTTGAGCCCTGTGACCGCCTGGACCCAGCCAATCGCCGCTAGGCGAATGCGTCACTCGCCGACACAAGGTATGCCATTCCCACTGCCAAATGCGACAATGGACCGCCTGTGCTGCCTCTGCCCCCAGGCAATGCCTCCCACTGACACTGACACTGCCCAGGTGCAGACGATCCAGTGTCGCCAAAGCCTGCTACACGCTCAAGGCTGCAAATCCTGCCCACCGCACGCCCAAAGCGGAATCTCCCGGCCGATCAGAAGACTCCCTCGTCCACCGCCCAGTCCATGCTTCTTCAATCCGACCCGAGCCTGGCCGAGGTTCCAGGCTTCACCAAGGAGCAATTGGACACCCTCGCCCGCAGCGTCGAGCTCAGAAGGCAGCAGCTGCAGCAGGACATCAACGACTATATCAAGTCAAAGCAGGACGAACTGCGCGACTATGGCCACCAGGTATGTCCTTGACTATTAATACCACCACTACGCCTTTGCCTTTCCTTTTTTTCCCTTTCCGCCGGCGGCTTTTCCACTGTTTCGCGCCCTGTCCATGTTTGTCAGAGTGCTGTTGAGGACTGATTCCGGCCTAGCTTATAGACCAGTACCGCTCAATGCAATGCCCTCAGCAATTAAGTTCTGCCCAGAAAACTTGTGCGAGTAATGCTGAGGACACTGCTCCCTCATCAGCACCGCAGGAGCCCTCTGCGCACTCGCCGCCCCACGCAAAGGCGCCCGAGCCCGAGGAAAGAACTAAGCAGAAGAAGCACACAAAGGTGCACAAGAGAGAGCAGGAGCTCTACGGTTTAGTCACGCCCGTCTTTCTGCCACTGCTCGACGCACGCGACAGTTCGCCAGAGAAGAGAAAGAGACCGACGCCAAAGCCAGACACTGCCTACGGCGCAAACAGCGTAGCAGGCACGCCCGTAGCAGGAGCGTCAAGAGATGCTGAGCAGAGTAAAGAAGGCCGGAAGCAGAGGAAGGACAACAAGGACATGGAGAACCCAGCCTTGGGCATGCTGACGAGGGAGAAGCAGCCAACCGAAGCAGCCAAGAAGTCCAAACGCTCGACAATGAAGAAGTCGGCACTGCGACACAAAGACAAGGCCAAAACACCGCGCAAGAGAGTCAGTCTAGTCATTGATGGCCAGACGGTCCATCCCTCGGACACTGTCGACGAGCCATTGCTCACCTCGCCCAGCAGCGAAACAACATCAGCCTCCAATTCCATTGCCTCGCTTGACGACATGATTGATCCGCGCCTTACATCGGAGAGTCCAGTTTACATTGAGAACCAGGATGCCGTACACCACAGCCTTCCCCTCCCAATGGCCAACGCCATCCGGTCCGCCAACAAGGCCTTGACAGAGTCTCAGACGCCAACACCCGTAGCCATTGCAACCGAGCACTCGCCACCGCTTCATTCGCCACGCTCACCAAGCATACCCTTTGGGACCGCACAAACCGCATCGCGCACCTTCCTCGACCCTTCGCCTACTCAACCGCCCCACTCAATCCCCGAAACCGCTGGTCCCAATCCAATCTTCCCCAACTCAGCAGTCGCAACCACGGAGCTCGAAAGCGATGGCATTGCAGATCAAGACCAAGATTTCGACACCTATGTCGGCGGTCTGCACGGCTCAGGCGTCGCTGATGTGGATCAAGCAGGCAGCTATGGCTACCCGAGCAGCCTCGGCGCAAGCTACATGGAAAGCTACATGCAGAACCGCCCGTTGCGTGTGCGCATGGAAGCAGCGAGTAAAGCGGGTCTCAGCGAAGCGGAAAAGAGAAGGTTGCTAGAGGAACGGGTTGAAGAAGAGGAAGACGAGCATGGTGATCACCACGACGACGATATCGACGATGACGACGAAGAAATGTTTGAGCACGATGATGTCCCACATGCGAGACACCGCGGCCGCGATACCGGCGATGTGGATAGCTTCATGGGTGATATGGACGACTTTTGACATGTGACAAGCTTTTTTTTTCTCGGCATTAAATCCCCTACTATGACTTTTCTTAACTCCCCCCGTTTTTAAAGTAGTTTTTTTAGGTGAGGGGGGGGGCCACACAGTTCGGGTTGGCGCCTTATCACGAGGCGCACATTCCAGGCTTACGAGGACCTCGGTGTCCGATTTTCCTCCCGATGAAATGGTTCTTGCTTGCTCCGTCATGTGCCTGCAGATGAAATATTACATGAGGAAATCAGGCACATGTGAAGAGAGGGGTTAGCTACGTGGGTCTTTCGGGGGAGATAGGGAAACTGGCTTTGTATCTTTTTTTGGGGGAATCTTCCGGGGCTAGCTTGATGATGATGCGACTAGCTTAGCTATGGATATGGGTCTTTTTTGTAAATATGGGCGGCTTTTTTGAGTTTTTGATTTTGAACTTGTTTCTTTCTTCCTTTTCTTTTTTTTCCAAGGGAAAGGGAACTTTTGTATAGTAGATGTTGTTGTTCACGCAAATATACGTATATATGCCCTATGATGGAAACACATGAAATTCACCTCATTCCCTATGTGGGACTCTGTTTCCTACTTGTTCCTTCTCTTCTCTTATGATATATTACGTATGTACACTTATTACCACGATCCCATCTTCGTACCATCGATTCTCAATCTCGCTTGCTCACCTGCTGCACCCGATTCACCACTCTATCCAGTAAACTCACCATTTCGTCGCTGACAAAGCGTGGATCGTCTCTTTGGATAAAGTGGCCGCAGCGGACCGCGGTAATGGGGCCAATGGCCTTGCCTTCCTCGGTGATGCGGCATAGCTCCTCGTTGTAGCGGCGCCATGCCGGGTTCGCATACGCCATTGTGAGGGCTTTGGGAGTGTTGAGGGGAGGGTTGGCTGTTATGATTTTAAGATTAGCCTGTATAACAGACATGTGATGGGGGTGGAAAACATACAAGACTGCTCAGCAAACGTCTCCCAATCATGACCCACAACCGTCAAATAAGGGCCTCGACCCAGATACCCCTCTAGTTTCGGGGCCCCAGCATCCGGCAGCAGTTTAGCCAGGTTCCTGCGTGAAAGACCCTCGGGACTCGGTACCTCCGGGTGAAACATGCTCCTGTACTTTTCCCTCATAGCGCGGACCTGATCGGCTGTCACGTCGTCAGGGAGCATGTGGGGATCAAAGTCTGGAGCATCTGGGTCTGGCCAGAACTCCTGGTAGTCGGAATTCGCAATTATGCTGTCGAGAAAGAGGAGGCCAGAAACGGTGCCTGGGTAGCATTGGGCGAACAGGCGGGCAAGGGCGCAGCCTAGACTGTTGCAGACAAAGATCAGACAGGGGTAGTGGGTTGGCTTGTTGATATCGAGGTGTTCGCGCCAAATTTGTAGGGTAAATTGCTTGAGCGCTTTGACGGCTGAAATGGCGTCATGGCCGTGTGAGGGCGGGGGGTGAGGGTCGTCGGGGTCTGGGTCAGACTCCCCTTGACCATATCGATCGTAGCTTAGTAACCCTGGATACGGTAGTCGGCCTGTGATTCGTTTTTCCAGGAAGCTGCGTATTGCAGCGTCCCAGGAGCTTCGTGGCATCATGGCCCCGTTGAGAAAGACGACAAGCGTCTGGGAAAACGGGTTGGGGTGATTGCCCTGCGGCTTTGAGGCAGGGTAATATGTGTAATGTATCTGTGCGCCAGGTTTAGTATCGAGGGCCAGTGAAGATACCTCCGGCTCCGGAAACGGGGGAAGGTCATCATCTTCCGTGGTCTCCATGCCTCCGGGAAATGGTGTTGGGTAGCTGCGGGTGCTCATGGTGCTGTGTCTCCTTGCGGTGTTGAGAGGATCCGCTTGCGACAAATTGGTCCCCGGGGAATTGGCCTGGCTCAAGAAGGTGACGCTGGCCTTGGTGCTGTCACGTCCTTTTTCTGCAGCGGCATTTCTATCTCTTTCTTGCTTGGATAGGCCAGCATATTTGAGATGTGGTGGGATGTATGGGAAAGCATCCATGGCTGATCCTAGCTGGCGCGGCTGGGAGTGATAACGACGGTCAACACATGCGTGGGTGTGGCTAGTCCTCCGGATTAGGAAAGCGCACAATCTGGGGCAGTTGGAGAACGCGGGAGATGTCGGAAAGTAAAACTGCCGTACCCAAGCAGGTGGGCTGGAGATGGTTGAAACCAGGGTAGGCAAAGCAGCTTGCTGCGTTCTAGACGTCTACCTTTGGGTTGTGATGTTTTTTTTTCCAAGAAGACGGGTTACCCCTCTTCAGCCCCGCGACCGGGAACGGATGGATGGCAGGTTTTGGGACTTGGGCCTCTTGATGACGAAGTGCCAATACCGTCTCACGTGCAGGAGTCTACTAAGTGTTATCGTGCCGCCAAGAACTGGGGATTCCAAAGCCGGAGCGGTCTCGAGTTGCTGGGGGCCGGGGGGATCTGGGAGGGGAGAGGCTGCGAGGTTGGGCCGGGCATGATGATATCGGGGCCCAGCTCAGCCAAGAAGGACCTCATGGTGATTGACTGGCTAGCGGGCGGACTGCACCAGCTCGCAAGCCACGTTTTGGGGGTGGCTTGGGAGGGGGAGTGTTTGGCGGATGCGGATGCGGATGCGGATGCAGGAAACATGCAGCAGCAGCAGGACAAAGCCGGGCCCCTGGGGATGGGGGAATTTGGGAGAGGGGGGGGGATGGAGGGGAATGCAAATGCACGCCGCAGCCGCAGTCGTGGTTGCTGGGGCGGGCGCGGGCGATGCACCACACACAAAGCACCACGCAGCGCCAGGCACGAGCGCGGCTATGACGTGTGACATGGGTCGTTGCTGGATGCACGTCGCGATGCAACCACACGCCTGCGTTTCGCTTTGGGGCACACTTGATCCACCCACCACACCACGCTTACTCGTGCCCGTTTTTGAATTTAATTAAGCCAGAGCAGGGCGCCCTCAGCCTGGGCTGCCGCCATTCCTCCTCTGCTCTCGCCAACACTACATATCTGCATCTCTGCATATCCCTCCGGCCACCACGCACGTCACGCACCCCTAGGTTGGTCACTAGGCCCTCTAGAAGACGCAGAAGCCAGCTAACCGCCTTCTAGCGTTGCAGTAACCTCACCATGACATACACCCATGCAGAAACCCAGACCGTATGGGCGGGCCTCACCAAGATGGACATTCCTCGTCCTGACCTTCTCTTCACTGCCCCAGACACCACCACTCCTCCCGCCGAGCTTATTCCAGACAAGCAACACGACATGGTCGCCATTACAGCCCCTAACCCACTGGGCTCCCTCGATGCCCACGCTACATCCTTCGGAGGATTGCTCCAAAAGCGGCAGAAACGCCCAGAACTCCCAACACGCATTTCTCTGCCCAACTCGGAGCTAGACGACGAGGTCCTGCCCTCCCCGCCGCCCACACACGCTATCCTCTCCCCGCTACCCGAGGCAAACAAGCTGCATGCCGGCCACACTCCACTGATCCCCCGCGCTCTCTCCCCAGTCCACTCCGACAAAGAGCCCGCCGCCCCTGAAGAAGCGCCTGCTACAGAGTACTACGAGCCGGAGCCAAGCATGCAAGCAGACGACCAGCCCCTCATCGGGCCCCTCATGCTGCCCACGAACCCTGTGGAAGGTGCAAGTGACCACATTGCCCTCGACGTACTCGACGACGTACTCGAAAAGGTGGCAAAGGACCAAGACAGATTCAGCAGGCTCAAGGATGCACCCGAGCCCGAGGTCGTACCAGATCCCCCCACTGCACCACCTGCAGCAGATGCAGACCCAGGTCTACCGCTAAGCCGAAACACATCATCCGACTCGCGCAAGCCGAGTAATAACAATACAGAAGTCGTCGACGGCGTCAGACTGAAGACTCCTCCTTTGAATTTTGGAGTCCCTATAGGACAAGTATAAGTCCATTGTTGTTTCAACAGGGTCGTGAACATCTCAGGATATATTTCCCAACGAGATTTTCTCTCTTATTTTCATTTCGCATTTTTTGGACATTTTGGAACTTATAACCTGGACAACGGGGAATATCATGGCATCAAATTGGGTGTGGGTTGGGGGGTTGAGGGGAGGGATGCGTTTTGAATAAACACCAAAACAAAAGGAAGAAAGAAAGGCACACTTCTGAAGAAGAAAAGAAGAAGACAGACGGTGGAAGATGAAGAAAGCAAAAAGAAAAAAAAAGAGATGCGATACCCAAAAAATTTATTTCCCATGTATGGCCCACCAGGAGGCACCCGTCATCCATATCCAGAGCCCATTGTAAAAAGGCTACATAGACTTTACTAGCCTTGAGCGCTATGCAAAAGGACAACAATAGAATATCAAGCCATGATTTAGTTAGACATGCTTTCTGTCTCAAAAAAAAGAGCCCACTATCGACCTGTGTCACACAATGGCATGGTGGAAACGAGGTGGGGACTGAAACACATCCATTTCAATGCTTTGATGGCGTCTAGCCCTGGTCATTATACACATGCTATTCGTCACACCAATTCCTTTTTTTCTAGTCATCCTGGTCCCAGTTGCCCTGCTGTGCCTTGCCCGGCATCTTAGGCCCACCAGCCTGCTTGGCCACAATGATCTGGTCCACGCTCAGCACCGTCCTTGCTGCCTCCGTCGCCAGCTTGATGGCCCACATCTTGCTGACCCACAGGTCCAGAATGCCCTCGGCCTTGGCATCAAGCGTGCCCGTCTCGTCGTTGTTCTCAATGTCCACACCCACCGTCCACTCGTCGTCCTTGCGGTTTTTCTGTGCTGCGTGTGCGACGTACAGCTTGGCCAGCACTTCGGTTGCGTCCAGACCAGCTGACTCGGCGAGCGTGCGCGGAATAACCTCGAATGCCTCGGCATATTTGCGGATCGAGTACTGGGCCAGGCCTGGTGTCTTGTCTGCAATAGCCTTGACTCTCTCGACCAACTGCATCTCAGTTGCTCCAGCACCGGGTACTAACCGTGCGTCGCGGGTAATGGCCTTGACTACGTTGACACCGTCGTCAATCGCTCGCTCTACATCGTCGAGGTGGTTCTGAGTGGCACCGCGAAGTACCAGAGTGGCAGTCCGTGTCTGTTCGTTCTCTTGCCTGAAGACAGTGACGCGGTCACCACCAATCTCCAGTGTCTCGACCACATCAATGCTGCCCATCTCATCCGGCATGGGTGCACCGAGACGGGCGAGCGGTGTGGCTCCAACCACCCTGCACAACCGTCGCAGCTCGAACTTGGAGAGAATCTTGATGACCAGGATGTTGTAACGGTTCAGGTAGTGCATGGCCAATTCGCCAATTGTCGATCCAGCAACAACCACCCTCAGGCCAGAGTCGTGGAGCTCCTTGATAGCCTGCTCCACTTGTTGCTCCTCGCCCTTTGTGAACTCCATCATTTCCTTTGCGTTGTGTAGCAGTACCGTGCCCTTGGTCTCGGTTTGCGAAATATCGATTGGGCACGAGAAGACTCCGACCTTGGCCTTGGTTGCCTTTTGCACAGTACCATCGGGCTGTCTTGCGAAGACCATGCCCTTGACCACCTTGCTCTGCTCCAGAGCTCCACCCATGATCTTGACCACGCGGACATTGTCGACATTGAAGTTTACGGGGTTCTTGGGGAGGACGGCGAGAACGGCTTCGGCGACGAGGTCAGCGAGGAAGTCTTCGCTGCCAGACTGTTTAGCGGCAACAACGGTGCGGATGGCCTTGCTCAGTTGCTCTTGTGACCGGATGTCCTCGACCTTGTCGCATACGAGCTCTGAATTGAATCAGCTTTGTAAGTATCGGGAATGTCTGCAGGAACACACACCTTCAAGTGTTTGAAGAGCGGCAAGTTGTGCCTTCTCGTAGCCCAAGACAATGTCACTTGTCTTGAGACCCATCCTGATCAGCTCCTCAGCTTTCTTCAATAGCTCACCAGCCAGTATAATGACAAAGTTTGTGGCATCGCCCATCTCTGCCTCCTGCTGCTGGCTGGCCATGACCAGGAGCTTGGCTGCCGGGTGTACAACCTCGAGTTCACGCAGTATTGTTGCCGCATCTGAGGTGAGGATCATCTTCTGGAGGTGGTTTATGACAATCTTGTTGCGGCCATATGGTCCGAGAGATGTCTGGACCGTCTGGGCAATCGTCCGGCAGGCATCGATGTTGCGGATGACGGCTCCATCTTCGGCGTCGTAGCTGTTGCGGGGTGGTTAGTTGAGTGTTTACAGTGATTGCGGGGTTGTGCAAAAGCATACTTTTGATAGCCTTGCTTGAAGAGGCCGGCATTGGGGGCGTTTGGTATCGAGAGAGACATTTCGGCGGTATATGAGGGGTATCTTGATTGTGGTGGTTACCTGACCCAAAGGTCTGCGCGGCGAGAACGCGTCCAGTCCCAAATTTCGATGCCAAGACTTGGGGATCGGGGGAAGAAATGACCGACAATTCACGACATGGACAACTGTCAGGGTTGCAGTTTGGACATGGATTTACATGGACCTTCTATGGCTCAGATGCAGCAGACAAGATGCCGTCACTTCTGATTATTCTGGGGCCTGGCTTCGCATCGGAGGGCAGGGCAGATGCCGTTACTCCCTCTATCATGGGCGAAGGCAGTACTTCAGTACGTAGACCACAAGCAAAGCTCACGCACAAGTAGACGACTGGCTACGGAGAAGCAGTCCATGTCTTTTCTTCACGGACAAAATAACCGTCCATCTCAGGCGCGTAATCATCACGTCTTGGAGGGCATGCAAGAATGTGAGCAATGACTATCTAACTGTACTCTGGAGAGTTTGTAAGGGTACCGCTAGCGAATTTAGATTGCTCGACTTCCTCTGGGCACCATAATAATGGCCAACATCTCATGAGAGTGCGAGTATGCTGGAGATAAGGAAAAGTGCCGTGAAGAAGAAACGATGGCGCCCGCGCGCAAAGAAAAGTTATTGGCATAGCTGCTTAGGTAATGCCGAGCTAGGCCCAAAGCACTTCCGCTCCCCGAACTTTTCCAACGTCTGGAGATGGCTGCGCCAGCATCGTAATTCGGCCACGGCCTTGGGGAGATATGAACACCGGACAGCAGGCGACTAGGCGTCTGGCCTCGAGAGCCGGTATGAAACGCAATTGGCATTGGGCGCATCCTGGTTGCTGACGAACAAAGGCCCCTCGATATGTCGCTCATGTAGAGACACAATCACCCGTACCTACGCATCCGCCGCTGCAGCTGTACAGACCCCGGACCAAACCACTCAGCATGTTCCCCCGGTTGCTCAAGCATCTCCTTCAACCGCATACGCTGTCAATGCCGGTGTCGTCCTGTCCCGCCCCCCGCAAATAACACGCGACCTGCATCCATTCGAGTCCGCCTTTTTTCTCTACCAAAAACGTCTGAATGAACGACTCGCACTCCCCTTTACACGATACTTCTACGTCAAGAAGCGAACCCCGGCCGATCTAGAATGGAAACGGAAGATGAAGCAACGGCTGACCCCCGCCCGTGATATCGGACGGTACAAGGGTTACGGAGACGAGGCCTGGAATGATGAATTGCTTGTTGGAGCACCTGAGAGTGATTTCGAACATCAGGTTGGAAAACTGCTAGAGGACGCTGAGCAGTCTGGTCTGGAAGATGCACCAGACACCACTGGCGCAAACAAGATGGAGCGTGAGCCTGTAGAGAGGCCAATGCCGAGAGTGACAGAGGCAGACCAGAAAAATGACACAAAGAGTTTGAACCGCGCGCTGCAACGGACGCTGTATCTTCTTGTGAAGAACAAGGAGGGGCAATGGCAGTTCCCACAAGATCGCCTGAAGGATGAGCATCTACATGGGGTATGACCCCACCCCCACTTGGACGAAAGAGAGGGTGTGCTAACAAAGTCCTAGGCCGCAAACCGTATCATTACCAGCACCGGTGGCGTCAACATGAACACCTGGCTCGTCGGCCACGTGCCAATTGGCCACTACCAACTGGAGTATCGCGAGCCGCGACCTTCTGGAAGCCTCAAGGAGTACGGCGCAAAGACCTTCTTCATGAAGGCGCGCATCATGGCTGGTCAAGTCGACCTGAAGGAGAACAAGCTCGGTCTTCAGGACTTCAAGTGGCTAGCTAAGGAGGAATTGCAAAAGGAGGTTGACGGCAGTTACTGGCGATCCATCAAGAATATGCTTGCCGAGCGGTGAGATTGCTTCGCCTTTACGATGTATGGCATGATGAAAGTAGATGACGTGTAGCATGCACCAATTCTTGTAGCATTATGTACATTATTCAGAAATATTGGGCAGTGATTGTGCAATTGATCAATCAAAGCTCGATCGAGAAAGCGTGCTATAGATGTCTAACAAATACATCACATGTATCATTTTGCTTGGGTGAATAGAAGAGAACGTATTTTATAGAAAAAGGTAATACGAATCTGCTCGACTACGACAAGAAGACCCGAAAAATCGACATCACTGACACTTCCCAAACTCAGCCAACCAACCCCCCTTTCCATCTTCACTCACACTTCTCCCAATCATAACTAAACCCCTGCTGCGTCCCATAATACTGCCTCCCCAACTCCACACTATCCTCATACTCGCTCTCCACAACTCCCACCTGCCCCTTCTCCCCCACCACCCACAGCTCCGTACGAAAAATAAACAACCCACTCCCGCATTTCTTCTGCGGAATAAGTTGAGGCGGATAACTAATGTTCGAATAGTGCTCTTGGGCATGCGGTCCGGATTGCAAGGGGCCCGTTAGATCAATCGTATCGGCAACCTATGTGTGTATCAAGGTCAGTTACTCTATTCTGTCATACCTCCCTTCTCCCCCTCCCTCCGTCACACGATCGACAAGCCAAAAGGAAAGAAAGAGAAATAGAAGAGAAAAAAAAGGGGGGAACACCATACCTCCCTCCTCCCAACGCCCTCCCCCCCCCCTCATAATACGCAAAATCCCAATAAACCCTCACCCCCTCATCCAACCTATACGTCAGCAACCCCTTGGTCCCATTCTTATGCACCCTCAACCTATACCTCTCCGCCTCCGCCTTCCCCTCTGTATCCGCAAATTCTTTGTACGAGACGGTGGCTTCGCACCAGGTGTGACGCGGGCCGGAGGCGAGATCGACGCGGAGCCAGGGGTAGGCGATGAACCAGTAGTAGATTTCTGAAAAGTCGATTGTGTTGGTGCCGTGGGTGGGGCGCGTGGTGCGGATTGTGGAGGAGGATGAGGTGTTTTTGCTAGTGTCCGGGCAGCCTGGGCCGAAGAAGGAGGAGAGGGTGAAGGACCAGTTTGGAGGGAGGATGCGCTGGGGGTCTGTTGGGGCAGAGGCAAGGGCGAGGGTTGTGAGGAGGGAGAGGGTTGTGGTGGTGTATTTCATTTTGAGGGTGAGGGATTGAGGGGGCTTTTAGTTGGGTTGCTTACTGTGCTCTTGCGTGTTTTTTTTTCGACAACATCGTGGTTGATGGTGTGTTCATGGGGCTTTTATACTTGTCGACGGGTATGGTAGAGATGCCATTTGGATAGTCTGGGGAACTCTACTGTAGGCAATATGTGTGTATCACCTGGATATCTGTTGGAGAAGCCCGCTGGACATATCGTCTCACACGTTCATGTGAATCGTTACTATATCGCTCTTTGATCAACGTCAAGGATTCCGTGGAGGAGGCATAGCAATTTCGATATCGTGTCGTATCGTATAGAGAAGAAAGTCTGTTGCGAGCGTGGTTGGTGTTTGGTATGAAGTTGGTGAGCAGAGATGAAGTCAGGCGGCCACCACTCGACGTGTAACCAGTGATCTACCCACTTATTTCTGGATCCTATGTTGCTTGCATTCTGCGGCCCGGCTGATCATCACTGTCCTGCAGTCTATCTCCAGCACCAATCCGGATCAACTTGGGGTTTCTGTGTCAATATGTGGTTAAACAGCCCCATGTGGGGAAGCCTGGAATAGGACGCATGCAGCGGCTCGTTAAGGGGTTGAGGCTGTGCAGTGCGTATTGTGTCCGTCAGTACTGTGAAACTTGACGAATTATAAGCTTCATGTGAGGTAACGGCTTCCATATATGTGCAGTGGGCATCATTTAGCCTATAGTGATTGCTGAGAACAGAAAGTAATCTGCAGACGATAGAACAGAGACTGTAAGGGGATGGGTTCATACGAAATATCGCGATCTTCTTCACCCATTCCATCGTTGTGCGAGATCGGCTGACTCTTATGGTATTGATTGACAATTTTGATGCGAGATTATCGAGATATTGTGAAAAGTGCGCGATTTTATGGATCCTCATAAGGCTGCGTTTGGCAAAGAACGTGGCTGGCGATTGCTGTACTTCTGTAGACCGTCTTAACATGAGAAGAGGCTGAATCACTATCAACCAGCCAGTTGTTGGTTCTCCAAAGTTGGTTCTCAGAGTACTGACACCATCTCTTTTCGTGAACCCTTTCTAGGCAATAGACAGATTTTGTGTTTACATTGTATTCGTAGCTGTCTGGTTTGTACGCTTCGACTATTAGAGGAGAATCCCGATCTTGGATCCTAAAAATAACAATTGCCAAGGTAATCTTTCTCTATTGCGAGTCGCGTTCTAAAATCTAGTGCCAAAGAGAATGAAACCCACCCCACCAACCCGTTCTAATAATACATGAACGCTCCAGAGATCTCATACAAGCCGCTTTTTTTCATGGTAATAGGACCTCGTACGAAAGAAAACAACACCATGTCTCCAAGTAGTTCTATTCGCGACTCCGAAAACTCCGTTAACATGGCCAAATTCGTAATCATGCTTACAAAGTAAGCCACTTACTCTCAATAGAGAGTTGCAAGGGAAAACCCTGATTCGGAATGCCGATACCTCCGCGACTGGTAGGATCGTACGTTGCCTTACGAATATCCGGGAATACTTCGGCGCAAAGATGATGCTGGGCCGACAGAACAAGACTAGCTACCTTGTGAAGCTCTACAATTGCGGTGTCGCTTGCGGTATCGATTGCGAGGTCGTCTAGGATCTCGCTGCCGCGGACATTGCGAAAGGCCGAAGAAGGTCTTCAAGGAGGGGCGTGCGTTCAATGGACATCCTTTTGATACCTATTCGTTATGATACTTCAAATAGAATGGTTGATGTCCAGTCACGTGAGGTTATCTGCAGGGACCCTTATTTTCCAGAAGTCTCAAGTGATCTGACTTCTGATGGTGCGGTGGTACGCTTATACAATTGTTGCCAGATCATCAAGTGATTGCTTGTACAATGATGAGGTAGATTGAACTGGTTACCGGATGTCCTAAAAGAGTATCAAGCCGCGCTAAGAAGAGCCAGGATCAACGTATCTGAAGTTTGATAGGTGCTCGACGCGAGGTAACCGGACTACCAATGATCTTTTTTATCCTTGAGACGCGGAGATTGGTATGATTTGGTCCGTGACAGGAGAGAAGCCGTCCCACTTGAGATGTGGCCTCAGTTTCAGGCTTAGGATATCCATCCGTCAAGGTGAGCTGTCTGATGGAGTCATTGGCTCGAGCTGCGGTCCCATACATTGGCCAGGTCATTCAACATACAGACCGAGGGGAACATGCCGATGCTCAAGACTTCTCTAAGAATCTTTAGTATCTCGTCTTGCCTTTCTTTTGTCTCAGCACAAAGCGCAGCTAGTATGTTATTAGTGTTCGATCAACGTGAACGCATCGCTGTATACTTACCTGCATATAATGCTTGAAAGCTAACAAAAGCTGATGGCAGATTTTGCGATTGATCTGCTACTGCGATTCCACATATGATCAAGGTACTTTCGTGAAGGAGCTTGAAGCGTGTTTGATACGTATTGAGACCGCCAGTAGAAGGTTGATTAAGTAGAACGACTATCCTTGCAAAATGATAAGTTTGAATGGCAGCAGCATGCGCTGGAGGATGAATCCATATGGGCTGGATCTGAGTTTTTCCCAACGAGGGCGGTGGCGTTACTTGAGGTGAGGATACAACAGGGATAGGATCGAATGATGGTGGAAGAAGCTGTTTCCATGCATCAAGTATCCGAAGTAGGGTTTCTCCAGCTTCGATATAGCCAGCGATATCATCTTGTTTGGAAGTTGCCGCATATTGTACACATTTGGCAGCAATGTATACGATATGTGTCGTCAGCCCCTCTAATGTAAGTTCTGCCATCGGTGTAATCGGTTGGTGGACAGTAAGTGCTGGTCTCCCAGTCCGGAAAGCTGCCCATACATCTTGTCGTAGCCATGCCCACCAGACTGCACGCTGCAATCCGTTTGCAGACTCTCCGCTCGTGCCTGTGTTCTGTTGGATCCAAAAAGCTCCTCTTAGATGGCGATCCCATTCGCTGTGGTCATAAATTGTACCTGCCCCAAACATCACCCATGTCGAGAGCATGATACCAGTTGTCAGTATTTCTAGAGAACTTGTATACGACTGGTATATCAAGTTTTGCGATATGTACTGTAGTGTCTCCAAGAAAAACCGCTCAGCAATCATTCGCATAGGTGTTGGCACACTACGACGTGCTCTAGATGGTTGATGATGTACTTGCGATGCGGACTCATTACCAATGTTGTGGTCCGGGTAGAGACTCATGTGGCGTGCGCCAACTGCCAGGATGGACTTGAGCAACCCGACATTGCGCAGAGCGAGATGTGGCACAACATCGGCAAAGTGCTTCTCGGTATCGAACAGGTCCAGTATCGGCGCTACAACAGTCACATAATGTGAAAAATACACCATCTCTTCACTGTTCAGTTCGAGCCTTGTGTGGGTATTCCACGGCTGGGTCGAGATGTTCATTGATTGGATATTCATATTGCTGAAACGACCACCCCCGGGTTCCAAGGTAATGGACTGTAGAGGGGATTGTCTTCTCGACAGGGTTGCGAAGTCAAAATTCCTGAAGAAGGTTTCTCGAGGTGCCTCCTGCATGCACATGATCGCGTCTTCTGCTAGCCGGTCATACCTGCTGAGCGTCAGTTTCTTACTAGCTTTACAAGTAGATTGATATTACCATTCATTGGGACCAGAAGTGGTTATCAAACTATCTCTGAAACTAAAAAAGCTATCATTGAGAAGGAATCCCTCGTCGGGAATTATGTTATCAGAGAGCACTGATTGCCCGGTGGGAAATGGTATCCATGATTGGATGGGAGCCACAGTCTTTGGACTTAGTGTGCTCCCTGATATTGAACAACTCGCTTCTGGGTCGCTATCTGGCGGCACCGATTCGGTACCAGTTGACGAGCCTTCTTCTGGCTTGCGAGCACTCAAAGCCCTGGGTTGCCGAGGTGCAGATGATTTCTCGGCATAGACACATTCGCGGGTGACCCTTTCGCAATTCTGGCAACTCGGTCGGCCTTCATCGCACTTGACCCGGCGCTGACGGCACGTCAAGCTACCAGGAGTTAGTGAATGTGAGGAATCTGATTACGCCACGGAAATTTAAAGCTGAAAATATGTGCAAGTCGCGGCCGCACCAGACAAGGGGGCCATCTCAGCTTATTTTAGTAACAAGATCCTTTACGTAACATACCAACCCGTAGAGGTTCTTAAACCTCTTGATTTGGAAGGCATCCCTCCAAAGTCGTGCGATGGGTACACGGGAGCCAATGTTTGAAGGGATCGTGTCGAGCTGGAGATAGGCGGGCTCGATGCGGGCGACTGGCTCAAATACGATCTAGGTAGCCGCACGGAAGCTAACCGCAGTCGCGTGCGCAAGTCTGCGGAGGTACCCCTCGCCCAGCTCGGTCCAGCATGACTCGAAGTGTGGAGAGATGATACGAAAGCACCGACGGTGTAGGATGTGTTGAGGAAGGGTACGATTGACTGCTGACGTAGTAAAAGCTCAATTTTCACGTGGATGACGTTGGCGTCGTTATCGGCGTGTAGAGCAGCGATTTTGACACACAGACAGGCTACACACGTGATAAGGAGAAGCACCCCGAGTTGTGTTTTCACCTTCAAATGACGATCCAAAATGGCCTGTACAAGAAGATAAAGGTATGGTACGTATTGTTGGTCTACATTGCCATGGTGAGAGGCTTTTTCCATTCTAGTACCAACGCGCTGTCTGGGCAGCGGAATCCAATGGGATACAGTATAGTATACAAGGTTTGATACACAATATAAACGACACCCCTGTTCATCCCCTCCACAAGTCGCCCCCTCGACCACGGAACCCACCGCCTCTGCCTCGTCCTCTGAAACCGGCTCTGCCACCTCTGTATCCTTCACTCCATGGGCCGCGATCTTCACCAACCTCTACGATACGATCATCATCGTCGAAGCTGTACTTATATTTCATCTCTGTCTTGATGCCTCTTCCTTTTCTGACCTCGCCTGGTGCCCAGTCTCGACTTGTCTCAGCATCCAATTCCTTCAGTCTCATCTCAGAAATCTCATCCGAGACAGGGAGGTAGAATAGTTGTGGTTTTGACTGTGTCGATTCGAACAGTTCGTGGAGTGTCTTGAACGAGGCCTCGGTATCTTGACGAGCATCCTTTGTCGGCACTGAGGGCCGCTGATGGACGGACGGACGACGTGTATCTTCACTTCCACGTGGGCCTCTTGGTGCATTTGCGGGAGCGCTGGAACCAACCTCCTGGAACACTGCTGTGACTGAACCATCGCTAGATTCGGGATACACAACCTCAAAGCGTTTCGGATTAGTAGACCTTCCACTGGCACGGGCCTCCTTTTCGGCAGCTACTGCATCTTCCTCTTCTTTGATCCAGCTCTCGACCCTTTCTTCAGGAATGAAGTCGACCCATAGTTCCTTCCTCTTTCCCTCTGGTGGCCATATCGAACCATGCAATGACGCTCGTACTCGAGACGCGGCAGTCTTAGTACTGAACAAGACAAGAGCGTGTGTTTTCATTGCATCCAAGAAGAGAGCTTTGACAATTGTGGAGTCGGGTGAGCTAGAAGGTGGAGAGGCGAGAGAAACCAAGTGTGCACGCAATGGTTCCGGACGCAACGGGCGCATAAAGTTACGAATATACAGAGCTGATGTTACTGGGTGGAGTGCGGGCACCGTCGGTCGATCGTCTGTCAAGGCTTCCTGTAGTGTTCCGTTGTCACTAGACTTTACCAAGTCTTTGTATCGAGCTGCCTTTTCTTTTCTTTCGCGCTTTGCATCGGTCTCGGCCACTGGAGAGTCTGCTTCTGGTAATACAGCGTGGTGGCCATTCGTTTGATCCTGTTTGGCATCTGTGACACGATCATCTTCCTCCACTAGTCTTTGCTCCATAACAACATCTTCATCCTCTTTAAGATGTACCTCATGCGCAGGGTTTTCGCTTGATCGATGCTTTTTGGCTCTGATATCTTGAGCCTTCATCTCCGGTGTCTCACTGCGCCTCTTTCGCTTCTTAGAGTCGGCCTCGAGTTCTTCGGTGTTGAGTCTAGATGTCTCGTCTGGGGAATGCTCAGACTCAGTGGCAATATCCGGCTTCTCCACTGATTCTTGTTCATTGAGTGTAGCCGAAGTTGGCCTCTCGTCCATTGTGATGTCTTGCAAATCTCTGGGTGCTTCGGGGTCATGGTTTGCCAATCGCAGGGCCTCAGCAGCTGGGCCGGGAGCTTCCGGCAGTTCATCTTTTACAATCCTCTCTTCGTTTCCATCCTCAACCTCCGCATCCGCAGGCTCAGTAACCGCCGGGCCCACTACACTGTCTGGATCCGTAGGGGGCGCATTGAAGATTCCTGCTGGCTGTATTGAACCCGGCTCGTCGGCTTCAGTGACAGCTTCTGCTGGGTGCTCAATTGCTTGGGTCCGCTCTGGCGATGGAACGTCGCTGTCTATGTGTGATACTGTTTCTGGCAGGGAATCTGTCGTCGCTACGGGTACAGGTGTAGTGTCAGATTCGGGTTCAGGTTGCGCTTCGGGCTCTATTTCTGGTAAGTCGCCGATCCCATCAGCTCTTTGAGTATATAATTACCTCCAGCTTTTGCAAGCGCGGGTCCAGGTACTTCTGGTTCGGGGGTGGCTTGCTTCGCGCTTACTTCCTCCTCAACCTGTGGGGTTGGCTCAGTAGGCGTATCGGGGGTTTCCAGAGCACCGTCTGTCTCCTCAAGTTTCTCGATAATTTGCGCCTTTCGTGTCAGGCCCGTACTTGGTATACCTCGGTCTTTTAGTATCTGTCGCAGCTGCGCGACTGTCTGCTTATTGTAGTCCGCCATTGCCGGGTCGGTCTGTTTAGCAGTGGTCAATTTGGTAAGATAGTGGTCACATAGACAACTAGTATCTGATGGGAACCCAAATTTTTGGAAAAAATATAGGTGAAGGGAGATGTCAAAGTTGCGACCAGGCTGGCTGCCAACGTCACAGTCGAGAGATTCGCGCGCGTCGCGTTAGTGTCTTGGCGTTTTGGAGGTGGCTCGTGCGCAGCCTGCAGATGTGGAGAAGGCTTGCATTAGGGGCCTGGCCATTGTTATTGAGACTCGTGGGGGTCAACATCCTAAACCCAGGCTACCAGGGCTTCTCGTGCAACGTCAGACTGGATTCAACTTTGGTAGGGCATACTCTAGTATGGCATAGTGTATTTAAATGTTAACGAAGAACGGCGCTACAACAAGCACCTCTCTAATTACTATAGCGTAGCCCAGGTGCCATACTTTTACTTGAAAAAGCGGCCGGTAGAGTTCCATTGCAGCACTAGGGGAGGTAGGCAGCCAACAAGGCTGACAGGTAACCAGACACCTCATTTTACTGGTACTTAAGGCTAGGTAATTCGCCAAGAGAGCTGAGCGGTACGATTAGCTCAATGTAGCTAGGATGCAGATCATAACGGCACTTTGTGCGGTGTCATTCTCTAGAAAGGATTTCTGCTCAAATTTACCATTGGTCAGCCTCGTCTGCTCTGAAGGATTGAGGCTTGCTCTCCAGTATTGATTAGACTATTTCTGTAGCTTGCACCGACTTATGCGCGTGCGGACGTACCACGTGAAAGCATCTATTGACGCAAGCGATGGTAGTGGTTGTGTCTGGATACATATGGCTCGGAATAGAACTCCGCGCTGCTAGTATATACATGATAGAACTAGGGGATCTTTATCTTTAGGTCTCTTCGCACCTATATTACTGCAACAATGAATATTGTACCTTTTAACGGTCTTTCTAATGCCAAAAAGGAAATCCGTATCCTTGAACTTAGTGCACAACTTCCTCTAGATGGTCATTTAGTCAGAGCCTCGTTACACAATATACACATCAACTATGTAGCGCTATCATACACCTGGGGCGACCCTATTACATACAGCGCGACGAACCGTTACCATAAAAACCAGTCTGTTTGCATCAACGGAATGCAGCTGAGTGTAGCCGGGAATCTGGCTGCCGCGTTACACTATCTCCGGAAACGAAAAGTCAGCAATATATGGGTAGATGCACTGTGCATTGATCAAGGAAACATACAAGAGCGAGGGGATCAAGTCAAGATGATGGGTGATGTGTACCGAAAAGCAACACGTGTCTTGGTATGGTTGGGCCCCGCGACAAGTGACAGCGACCTTGCGATGAGATTTCTTGCGCTCTTAGCCCGCTGTGACACAATGGCAAACCCGAAGCGGGCATTCCTAGCCTATGCTGAAATGCGATACTACGACTCATGGATGGCATTAAAGCATTTGCTGAAACGCACCTGGTGGAAAAGAGCGTGGGTAATCCAGGAAGTCGCATTAGCAAAAGAGGTGGAATTCGCATGCGGAGATGAGACGATCTCAGAATCTGAATTTACGAACGTCGAACGACTGATTACCAAATACTGGGCCTTTGTATTTCCGACTGACCTCAATAAGAGAGTCGGACTGACAGGGCGTATGCTGGATCCTTTTCTGTTCCTGTCGCGCATGCGCATCTTCATGCAGACAGGGAAGAAGCTCGAAGTACTTCCTCTATTGTGGTTAACTAAGCAAACCCTTGCCTCCGATTCTCGGGATATCTTGTTCGCAAAATATGGCCTATTAGGAGACAAAGCCACTACGCTTTGTTCTCCAGCCTACACTGCACCCTTTGATGGCATTTGTCGGAGGTTCCTAGAAGCATATATTGAGAAGGAGAAAGATTTATCGATCATCTGCAATGCTGGGTTATCTTTCAATGGTCGCACCAGTAAATTGCCATCGTGGTTGCCAGACTGGGGTACTTCGAATCCGGCCTATCCTCTGCAGTGTTCTTGGGATGGCGGTTGGCCTGTCTATAGAGCGTCTGGGAACACGGTGCCTGATGTGAGATTCTCGGAAGATGGAAGCGCTCTCTATGCAAAAGGTATCATGATTGATACCATCGACGGTATACAGTTTGATCCATGGTGCCGTGAGAGCTTCGAATGTGGCAAGGGGCGCCAATCACAGTCGGAAACCTGCGCTTACGGAGATGGAGAAGAGCTCTTTGAAGCTCTTTACCGTACGGTCGTCGCAGATACATACCGTCAGGAAGCACCTTTTGTCCCCGAAAAGGCCCCTAGGGAGTTCGGCTACCTCTTTGCGAGGAAATGCAGGGAATGCGATGAAGATCTCGCCGTCTTAAACGAGCCGCAAGGTTACATGCCAACCAAGGCTCATTCTAACGCTTCGAACATTGAGAAGCGATGGCATGGTATGAGAAATCTTCGATTGGGAAAAACATTCCTAGCTGAGGTTGTTGGCAAGGCCTTGTTGGAGTTTCCCGGATCCGAGTCCGAAACTATGGGTGTTCATGATGAACCTATCGCGAATCACCATTTATGGGCATCCTTTGAGCATAGTATTGGACAAGCTATGATGCACAGAAGAATCTTTACAACTCGTAACGGATATCTTGGTCTGGGTACTCGTACGCTGATGACGGGAGATAAAATATGCGTGATGCTAGGCTGCGCCACACCGTTGATTGTCAGAGCAAGCTCGAACAAGGATCATTACATGCTTTTGGGCGAGACTTATATCCATGGTATAATGAGTGGGGAGGCGATTGAACGGTACCAAGTGGGGAGAGAAGTCGAAAGTTGGATTGGGCTTCGCTAGCTATTAGATCATGATCCTTGTCGACAAGGATCTCCTTACGTAGCTAGTTTTCTACTTTTGAAACCGTTCATATTTGCAGTAGAAATATAGATCAATAGATGCTGTAAATACATGCTTTAGTAAGCACAGCCAGGTACTCAATCCTCGATGAGTTGCAGCCTTGCAGTTGCAAAAAGCGTTGAGGGCGGGCTGTGTATGTACGTAAGCCTTGCATAGCCGACCAGGCTTTATCTTTGGTTCGCCCATCTACTTCCCTCTCTTACGTCTTCATTCGCATAGCTTACCTTGATGCTTCGCAACCAACTTCATGGCATATAATCCTTGCGCAAAACAATTCATAAGAGGACAATAATATCATTACTAAGGAAGACATAATGAACAAGCGTCGCGAACCAGTTTCCTTAACATGGGTGCCCCTCGTTGGCTCAGCCGCATGTCTATGTGCCACCGCATACCTAGCTCGATCGCTCCTAACCACCAAAGAGCGGTACGGTCCGAACCTGACTGCCAATATGATCCAGGGCTTTTGTTCCCATAATCAGCTACTCATCTCTCGCCTACCAGCCTACGGCGCGACAGAAAGCTCATACAGCAGGTTACTGCACCTTTTCCACGAACCTCACGCCTCAGTATACGTGTATAATGAGCTACTCAGGCGTGAGAAGGCATCATGGGAATCTGTGCCAGACACTGTACAACTGCTGTCGATTGAAGGGAAAAGAGGAACAAGCATTCCTGGAGTACCAATCAGCAGAACAACACTGATAACCCTCCTTCTCCTGACCAATGCACGCGTCATTCACGAGTTCTCTTCTTCCTCTGGATATCGAGCTGCACTAGGAAGCTGGTGCGGACAATGGTACATTCAGTGGGAAATGGGACAGCAGCATGCTCTTGTCAGCTTGCGGGCGCATGATTCCCACTCGCCAGCAACAGATGTCTATGCACCGGTTTTCTCTGCAAGAGTTGACGCATGTGTCAAGATGATGGCAGGCGTGGTCCAGCATCCCAGTGGAGGCCCAAACTTATTCGCAGTGGCGTTCCCAGGCAGAATGCCTGCTGGTGAGTACTACCTCGAATACCAAGAGAACGGATTTGCATTGTCGCATGGCGCACGCCATATCTACAACATGAATGGCGGAAAAGTATACGAGGTAGATTTTCTTCTGCCGCGGAAAAAGGAGCAAGACGTGTTTGTTATTTCACGTACTGGACAAGACGAAGCGGAAGTAATCCTCGATCTGCCGTCGAGCAAGCAGGAAGTACATCCTGTGCGCATGTACATCGCGCCGAACGAACAAGCGATCCTAGCACAATGCCTAGATTTTCTTCCCTGGGCTTACCTCTCCTGGTCCATTCATCGCGGCATGAGAGACATCCTACTCGCTTTTTCGCGGAAAACAATGCATGAATATCGTCAACGGTTAGCTCAGCAACTACGTGATGCGGTGCCCCAGCACAGAGAGGTACTCGTTAAACAAGGCTGGGAGCCGTCCTTTGTAGATGAATACATGGGCATCATGGCTTCTTCAGCTATCCTCGCCGAGCGCGGTAATTCGGGAGATGCAGTTCGCATAGTCACTGCACTGGCGGCCCTAGAACATTCAGGGGGGTACGAACCAGATTTATCAGATCTTGATGAAACGACCTTCTGGAGACGCAGTGTCAGTGAAAGAGTAACAGGAACAGAAGAAGACGGAGTAGATGTGGAGCGCCTGAGCAGGGATACTGTCGTGGCGCTTGTGAAGTGCTTTGTATTGGAATGGAGTGTCGACTTTGATTACCAGTTTTATCACCGCTTGCCAATTGATCTCCTCTTCGTCTAAGATAAGTAATGAATTCGATCATAGTACCGCCCAGCTTTATCTTACACATAGTTGTTTTTTATCATGCTATCCTGTTCTCAGTCCTTACAGCGGTGAAGGTCAATACATATTAGAGTATGTGTTTGAACTACCGAAATGACTCTAAGACATTTCCTGTCCTTCTAAGCCTGAATCTATGACCGTCAAACTTCTATCTAACATATAGAACGCGAGGCATCAAATCTAACTGAATACTCCCAGAACCCCACCGAGTCAAGCTCGCCAAGCCATGTAAGTCGCCTGACTCGAACCACAAAGAATTCCAACACTACATCCAAAAGTTTGAACCTTCACCACAACACAAATGTAACAAATGTCCTTCATCCCGCGCCATGCCTTCCCGCCAATCCCCTCGCTGCCCCGGTCCTACTTCCTGGGCCACCATAAATCCGGGCTGCAAAAGATGAAATCTCTACTCGCCACCATCGACCTCGTCATTGAGTGCCGCGACTACCGCGTACCACTAACCTCTCGCAATCCGCTCTTCGAAAGTGCTCTGGAAGGCAAAGAGCGAGTAATCGTGTACACCAAGCGCGATCTAGGCGGCGGCTCCCGCGACAATCGCAATGAACATGTGATTGCGCAATGGCACCATCCCACCCCAACCATGTTTGTGAGGAACGGCAAGGATGCAGAGGGCGAAGCCAGCGGTCGCAAGAGCGTGACTAAACTTTTGGATCTACTGAGGGAGCATGCGCAGAAGAGGTGGAAGTTGGTGGGCCATCGAGTCATGGTTGTCGGTATGCCCAATGTCGGCAAGTCGACGCTTCTAAACGCTTTGCGCGCCCAGGGAATCGGAAAAGGCAAAGTCGCTGCTACGGGTGCGCAGCCCGGTGTCACACGCAAAGTTAGCAGTAGCGGTGTCAAGATTATTCCAAGTGAGGACGACGTCGAGTCCGCAGATGTTGGTGCGAGAAGAAAACTGCAAGGCGTAGGTGGAGGCGTCTATCTTCTCGATACCCCAGGAGTCTTCATCCCGTACGTACCAGATGCAGAAGCAATGATGAAATTGGCGCTCTGTGGCTCTGTAAAAGATACTATTATCCCGCCAGTTATGCTTGCGGATTACTTGCTCTACCACCTTAATCTCCAGTCGCCTACGCTCTACTCTGAGTACGCGCCGCCGACCAACGAAATCATTGAGTTGCTCTCAGAAATTGCCAAGAAGACGGGTAGGCTAGGGAAAGGCGGGACAATAGATACAGAAGCGACGTCGTTGTGGCTGATTCAGAAGTGGAGGAGCGGCAACATGGGTCGGTTCTTGCTTGATGATATTGACGAGAAGAGTTTGGAGAAAGCAAAGCTTGACGAGGAAGGTGCGGTGCCGAGTTTTAATCAAGCAAGAAAGGCAGAGCGAGAGAGGAGACGAGAAAGGAATAGAGCACGAGGAGAGAAATGACCCTAATATGCAGCCGAAGCTGTAATTAAAAGATGAGAGTCTACTTCACATATATAATATGAATGTTATCATTACTGATAAAAAAAATACCTCACATGGGAAATCCATCACCACTCCACTCTCCTTTTCCCCCTTTCCCCCAAACTCCTCCGAGAATCCCATTCCGATCCTCAAGATTTCTTCTACTCATCCTGATCCGGCAAAATCACTATCGTCCTGAACTTCTGCTCTACAACAGTCGCAGTCGCAGGCGCAGCCGTGGCTTCAGGCTTGGGCGACACAAGCAGCGTCTTGGTCGCCATCGCCGTCGACGTAGACGTAGGAATCGTAAACTTGATAATGCTCAACGACGGCGAACTCGACGTCTTAGTAGACTCAGATTCAGACTGCACAACCGTGACACTCGACATGACGACAACAGGGACTTTTGTCGCTACAACAGCGGCAGTAGCAAGCGCAGTGCTCGCCGAGGAAACAGTGGCAGGCACGGGACGCGGGGAGTCGAGGTCTCTAACATCCACGAGACTGACCGTCCGCACGGGTTCCGTGGTCGTAGCCGTACGAATGTAAATGGCAATGTTCTGTGCCTGCGGCGACTTCTCGCACTTGCGGAGCTTGGGCTTGGGCTTGTTGATGCGGACTTCCTGCTTGTACTTCTTGCCGCGCCCGTCCCACTTGGCGACAGCGCACAGCGTCATGCCCGGGTACCATGGGTTATGTAGATAGACGGGGCGTTCCCAGGCGCGCTTGGCGAGGGGGCTGGCGTCGCCGGGGATGACGGTCACGACGGGTTGGACCGACACGGTTTTGGTGTAGACGGGGGCGAGGGGCCGCTCGCCGCAGTCGGTTGGGTTGTCTGGGCCGTTGCGGCATTCGAATCTTCCGAGGTTCTTGTCGTTGTGAGAGTAGCAGTCGTAGCAGAGGATGCTGCCGGTCCAGGGGTGCAGCATCCAGACGCCGCGGCGGGGGCCTTGCCACCATAAACTGCGCTTGTCGATTGTAGTGGAGTTGCCGGTTGGTAGGTCTGAGTCGTCGTCTGAGTCGCTGTCTGAGTCGCTGTCTGAGTCGCTGTCTGAATCGTCGACTTCAGTGTTATTGCGGACGACAGTCTTGTTGGCGGCTGGCTCAAACACTGCTCGCTCTGCTACTGCTCTCTCTTCCCCCTCTGGGATGATCACAATTGTCTTAAATGCGGCTGGTGCAGCTTGAGTTTTGGTGCTGTTCTGAACAACAGTGTTGTTGGCGGCTGCCTCAACCACTGCTCGGACTTCCACAAGTGGATCGATTATGACCCTGTCGTGTGCGCCTGGCTTGGCCACGACTGTCTTATTTGAGACTGCTTCACCTCGCCCAGCTGTCTGCTTAACGGCAGGCTGGGTCTCGTTCCACGAGGTCTCCTTGTTCGACCCAGGTGTAGACCTAAAGTTGAGCTTTCCATCTGCAATTGCTGGTCCATAGTGGCGAACCGTCGAGTTGCCCTCGGCGGTCTTGGGCTTCGAGCTGTTGAAGTTGGGCTGCCCGTTGATGAATGCCGGTCCGTGGTGGCGAGTGGTGAAATTTCCGCTGCCAGTCTCTCCAGTCGAGTTAGAGTTAGGATGGTTGTTGGGGACATGAGGTTCGTAGTGGAGAGTGGTCAAATTTCCACGTCTGACCTCTCGAGTCGAGTTGGATTCAGGTTTTGGAAGAATAATTGAAGATGCATGGTGCCCGGTAGTCGAATTTTCACCAGGCCTACCCGTCTCATTCAATCCCACCGTCTTGTTAACGAAGATTGGGGTATGCCATTTCAGCCCCTTCTTATTGGCATACTGGATAGTATCGTTCGTGCCATGAGTCCAATTGCCGGCTCCCAGAGAGAGACTTCGCTTCGGCGGCGCACCACGAATGCACATGTATGAGATGGACATGATTGGGGCATTGGCGTCTCTGGACGGGATGCACGAAGAAATGACATCGCCGGGATCCACAAGAGTGTCGAGATAGCGTTCCAAGCAACCGAATTGCGTGTATGTGTAGAAGTAGCAGCCCGTTGGTCCGGCATTGATTTCCTTAGTCCAGTCGCCCTTGTTCTTTTCCATGAGCTTGATGCTTGACGCGCCAAACCCGATCGATGTGCACTTGTCACGCTTGAAGTCGATATTGCCATAGATGGGTGGTCCGTTGCAGTCGGCCGAGGAGAAGGCGTAGAGGCGGAGGTCTTCATGCTTGGCTTGGGCGAGGGCTATGAAGAATGCGAAGATCGCACTCAGCAAGCGGAACATGCTTGGTCGCTGCTGCTTCGTGTCAGTTTGTAATCACATCATGGATGAAGACTAAAAGATGATAAAACTAAAAGTTTTTCCCCAAGAGAGTTTGTTGAAGTAAATGATTAGTGTACCTTTACGTTTGTTAACGTGTTCTATCAATATATTAGTGCGACTATCTCACAGTGATTGAAGGAGAAGGGAGAGAACGAGTATCATGAACACGATGCTCAGATCTCAAGGGAATTCTCACCTGCCAAGCCTTTGGTGTTCTCAGGAATGAGCCCTTATTTGTTCAAGTTGTCTGTAGAAGAAGAAGCAGGACATGGCGGGATCGAAGAGGGATTTATATGGAGGGGCAGTGCATCTCTTCCTCTTGCAAGCCCTTTCGCCAAGAAACAGGATTCGACTTTTCACGCAATCCACATGCCCAATTCAACTACTGGTGATGCAATTTCTCTATAAAAGTTGTTGGTACAAAGGGTCTTTGCAGGGTGCTTCGCCAACGGGCGTTGCGATGGAGACTCTGAGCACGGGCGGTTACCAGTTCACAGGTACGGTAGCGAACAATTTGAAGCCAGGCAAACTCAATTGATGATAAAACTTATGAATAATCTCTTATTTCGGTAACATATACATTCTCTGCTTGGAAATGATAGATGTCTATGCCGACTCGTCAAGTATGGTTGCATCGTCAGATTGCATCACGGGACGGACAAGTTGGCGGGGCCATGTCTCTGGCACAACAATACGGGTGTCCTGTAGAGAATGACTAAACCAATACTGTCATTGTGTCAGACATTTGACTGCCAATGGTTGAGTGGTACTGTTGAATTGGTGTAGTTATCATCCCCGCGTTGTTGGCTGAGTCAGTGTTGTAGGAATTGTGGCTAAATCCGTTAGAATTGAACCTCTCCTACATCGCCACAAAATTTGCAAGAACGATTTGATAATTTCAAGGTCATAACAAACTAAACTTCGTGTGCATGAATAGGTTTAGTCCATAGACTATTGAGATATACCAACAATCGCAGTCTACCCCATATGTAATAGTGGGCAGTTAGTGAAAAATAACAAAGATAATGACCACGGGAGGACAGGTGATGCAATGGAAACAACGATATACTTGCCATCTACTCGCTTTTGAGTCCCAGCGCAATGAGTTAACTCAGCAGTTCTCCTCTCCCTAACACATGCGTATTCTGAAACCCAAACGCCTTTATACAACCTCAACCAACTCCCACCATGAACTCATATCAACATGCGAATTCGTGCTTCTACCACTTGTCCCACTCGTCGTCCTTCTTTGCTGATCCACTCATGCTACCACTGCCACCGCTCTTCTTCATAGCACTTGTTCCAATACCACTGGGCTTCTTTCTTTCCATAGTCGTGCTAGTCCTTGCCTCACCGGCGCTAGCAAACTCGTCCCAAAAGTCCTGCTTGTCCTTTGCCGGTCCCTTGGGCGCCGCACCAAAGCTTTCCCAAAAGTCTTTGCGTTCGGGTTCGGGAGCGCCACGGCGTGCGGTAGACGAAGAATCGTCTCCTTCAACAAAGCGCGTAAATTGCGTATTAGCAGTCGCGACACCAGATTGGAGGGTCTGGCCTAGGGTGCCCGCGGTGCTACGGGCTTGAGCTGCGAGGTCAGCTTCGGCAAGCTAGAGAATAGTTAGTCGCAGGGATATATTGAATACAGCAGCGCAAAACATACCTTTGCCATTCCGGGCTTCACCCAGCCTTCGTAGCCTGTTTTGCCTACTTTGCTTACGCTGGCGCCCAGCCACCCAAACCCTTTGGTAAGTGCAGCGACTGGGTCCTTCTGGAAGTCGTCAAGCGCAGGCGGCGCGCCAGGTTCGTCGTCCTTCTTCCACGAATCTGGCTCGCTGCCGAAGCCACCGTATTTTCCTCCCTGATTGGGCGCAACGCCTTCTGGCCTGTTGGCATTCTCTTGGCCCATCTTCGCAAAATAGGCTTCATTCTTGGATTTTTGCGACATGGCGTTTGTACCCAGGGCGGGTGATCCCGAGCGTTGAAAGCCTGCATCACTACCTCGTGCCTTGCCCAAAGGTGTCTGACTTCTGCTCCCTGCTGCGCTGGCTCGTCCACTCAACGGCGCACCCGCNCCCGCCGTAGAAGTGTTTTCCTTTTTCGGTAACCGCTTAGGCAGGTTGCTCTTGTCAAACTCCCTGTTCTCGACCTTGCAACTAAGCCTCTCCTTCCACTCGTCGCCCGCCTCTGAATCGTACCGCTCTTGTATGGTTGACGACTCGAATGTGCGTCCTTCTTTCGTGTTCGATTCGTGGCTGTTGAAGAAGTCTTGGAAGGGTTTGTTGCCGCCAGCAGCCATGCGCACCAGTTCTGAGCCTTTGAAAGCGTCCATGGTTATGCTGCGGATGAAGGAGATGTGGACACCTAGACCGCGATGGACGCCGGAGCAGGAGAGACACATGAAGATACCGAGTTTGGGCGAGGCCTAAAACAAGAGGTATCAGTAAGTCTAGTCGCTGCTCGCGTGCCTGGTCAGAAAGCGGGCGGGTGGTTGCGTACCCATTGTGGACTGGGCGCATTGCAGTCGACACACTTGTTGTTATCGTTCGTCTTTTGGATCTCCAGCAACTGCAAGTAGAGCGGATTAGCTTTTGAATCTTCGCAGGCCCCATTATTTAACTGTGCTATGCTTCCATCTCCGCATTTGACCCCTAGCACCCCCCACCTCCACAGACTGGTAGAGTGATCGGCCTACCTTGCTCCGTGTCTCCGGATCCACCTCCCACATTTTGCTCATGGTGGGCAACTAGAAATTTATGCGATCGTACAAGAAGATATATTGTCAAAATTGATTGTGGTGTTGAGTGAGAGTGAGTGTCGTGGTCGTGGGTCGCGTTGCGGTCGAGATTCAGGGCACAGGTGGGCCAAAGTGGGAACGCGTGGCGCGTGTGCAGTTGAGCCTCAATGTCTACAAGGAACGAGCCAACAGGGGTCGCAGGCACCGGAGAATTCTCACCCCCCCCCCCTGCTCTTTGGGCGTCTATACTTTTCAAACTTGATAATATGTGGTATCACAGATGTCAAAGAATTGAAGTCAGATTTTCTGTCGCATTATTGCAGATGAAAAGGTTTGGTGCGTCTAAACGTCATTACGACCCTCGTTCCATAACTCATCGCTATTCACCCACTGAATCCATACCCAACCCTCTTCTTTTCCTTCCCAGGTAATTATATCATTTTCGTTACTCTCTTTTATGACAATATCGAGTGGCTGCCACAAAAAATCAACTCCAATCTCTGCAAATGCTAGCTGAATAGCCTTGACCTGCGTTTGGCAGGTGAAAGTACCTAGTAATGGATCCCAGTCGACGATTTTTATTGTGTGTAAGGCAGGTAATATAGACTTCATTATGGGTGCGATTGCATGTAATGCTTCAGTGAATGCAGTCGAAGGTTTCAGCTCGTCCCCATCAGGGTCGTTGGCTATGAGGTGAAGATGTTGAAGACGCTTGGGCAGGTGCTGCAAAACACTCGATAGCGATTCGACTGTGGTGTTCTGTAGATAAGAGCCGCACATCATCGTCATATCAAGAAGAAAGAAATCCATGTGCTCAAACTTGCCTAGTCCTTTCAGTGCGGTTGGATCCAGTGCTAGGCGAAAGTCTTTGAGAAACAGCGATGTGAGTGAATTTGACTGATTTGCGATGGAATGCACAAAATGCGTGATGGTCGTATTGGCTTCATCTTTGTCATGGCCTGTGAATTCAAACTCAAATGTTTTAAGATGACCAAATAATGACATCAACTGAGCTATTTCTACTGTGTCGGTGCTGCATTTTTGTAGATGAAAGCTCTCAACCCATGACCTTTCTTTCCGTAGCCTTTGAATGGCTGCATCATACTGGTACCATTTGAAGGTGCCGGGTAGTACGCGATTCCTATCGTGTGCTACATGGTCCAAAGTCAAACTGCGCAGTGAAGGTAGCAGGAACAGGGGGACGACATTCCGAATGCGCATCGGACCAGCAATATATGCTTTGTTGAGATTGGATAGAATTCGAAGATCTAACGCCGGCGTGAACCAAATCCTGTAGTAACTCCATTTGGAAGGTATCGCAATTCGGATGTTGCATACATCCGGCGCGAATGACAGGAATAAATTTAGATATGCGTCTGTCCCGGCATCCATCAATACAGAATTCAGGTCGTCCGTCTCATAGGGGTTCTTTGAGCACAAAGCTTTTGCAATATTGCAACGTTCCATTGGTGCCAAATCACCAGGGAATGGAAAAGCATCGCTAGTGACCAGAGAATTGTTGTGCGCAGGCCTACAATCCCATTCCAGACTCTTGATGCGTCGTGCATGGGCAGGCCAGGATGCAAGGGTACGTATCAACAGCGCTGGGTTTCCGCGATTTAAAGAGTATGTGCTGTACAGGAGCTCGTTGGTAAGGTGGTGCAAGCGTCGGTTCACGAGACCAATATTTAAGGCTGTGCTGAATGCTTCGAGAAACAGGTGCTTGATGATTTCCAGTAACAATTCGTTTGGAAGAGCTTCCATGATGTATGGTACAGAGACTATGCGAGGAACAAAGGCTTAACTAACGACTACTACCCTCAGGACAGGCAACGAGTTGTTAGCGTCTTGGCAACCATCACTCAAGAAAAACGGATCTTGTCAAAATCGTATGGAATGCATAGTGATGATCTATTAATGGATAGGACATGTGTATCTGCAATGAAATATTGAACGGTGATGTGTACATTCAGTTACAGACTGGTGATGCAGTTGCGTGGTATCTGTACTCACGCAACAGTCCCATTTCCCACCTAATTAGGAACAATTTATCTTTCTCTTTCTCTTTCTTTACTTTGCTATCTGCCATTGTGTTACGGCCTGTGTCCCACGTGCTATTGCAGCAAGGCGCTTTTATGTCATCTCTCCCACCTGATATAAATATGTACATTGTTGTCCAACGAAATTGCAGCCAAAGGAAGGATATAGTACATAGGCTCCAGTGCCTTAAGGATGTATAAAGAAAACAGACGGACGAGGTCCTGACAATGAACTGTCACAAGACTAAAGACGATAATGAAATAGGGTTGACGTCAGTGTATCGCTGCTTAAACATTACGCCTGGCTAGTGCGAAAAGAGCATGCTTGTGTGTTCGTGAGTCGTGCCCCAACCTTGGTCTGATGATTGCTGGGGCTAGCTTCGAATTTTTGGTGTTGTTCTGGGGGCGCTTTGCATTTTTGGTCAAGTGCCGACCCGGATTTTGCATGAAATTGTGGTTTTAAAGTCTCGTACTCTCTACGGGTCAGGATTCCGTACGTTCAGCTGACGACCGTAATCCCGGCTGTCGTCGATGCTGCCTAAGCTTTCTCGACTTGTGTTGGCACCATGAAAGGTAAGAACAGCAGTCGGGTTGAGGCGAGAGTCGACTAAAATTGGTTGACTTAATCTGCGGGTTGATGGAGTGATGGGTGTTATCGACTCTTCGTTAGATCGGCTGCGCTGTGAACCAAAAGTCGTGGTGAGAGGTGTAGGCGATTTTTCAGCACGTCCTCCGAGCAAACCAGCTCTGCTCATAGTGCTGACGTTGCGTTGGATGCCGCCACCGCCTTCTTGCTCCTCGCGCTGTTGCCTCCTCCTCTTCCACAAGACAAAGAAAACGATACCAATGATTGCGAGCAGACCAATGATACCACCAGCTACGCCACCAGCAATGGCACCTACGTTGGGTGAATCTTTCGAGTCATTGTTTGCAGGGGCAGTGGCCGATGGTGTTATGACGACAGTGCGGGTGATGACATTTCCACTTTCGGTAACTAGAGTCGGCACTGTGACGGGCTCCTGAGTTCGGGAAGGAGCTTGGGTAGACGATGGTTTCTTGGTCTGTAGCAGATGTTAGTTTGGAGTAACAGACCAGGTTGGAAGCGAAGTACATCAGTGGAGGACGAAGACGACGACGAAGTAGAGTCCGGCTCTGCAGTGACCGTCGAGAAGACAGTCTCTGGTTTCTGCGTCACAATGCTCGTTACCACTTGTGCAGGAGGTGGAGCATACTACCAGAAGGTCAAACACCGATAGCTTGTAATTGTGTACGTACAGCCAAGGGAGACCTTGAGGTAGATTGACTAATGAAAGGAAAGGGGGCAGGGCTGACGAGATAAAGAAAAAAAGTACTAACAGTTGGTTGTTGTGATTGTGGTTGCGATTGCGGTTGTTGCGATTGCTTAGAAGGTGCCGCCGCGGTAGAGGAGGGCTGCGAGCCTCCCTTGGTACCAGATGGCTGGCCGTCCATTTGAACATAGATATAAAGGTCTTTGTCCTTGCTACCACATTTTTCGTCGGGGAAGCCAGGGCAGTCCTCTAGACAGTCGCTGGAGCTTGCTGTATCTCCTGGTACATAGTTGGAACACCAGCAGTCGGTGTATTTTATAACAGCAAATGCCCATGAACCTCCTTCCTCCTTGCAATGGTTGGTACAGTTACCATTGGACTGGTATGGCCAGGTATCTGAGAGGTTAGAGGCTGCATGGCGCGCATCACGACCAGGAGAACTTACAGGCAGTATTTTGCTCTCCAGTGTTTAGTGAAGAGCAGTATGAATACGTCCAGTCTGAAGCGCCGGCAGGCTGTATGGAGAGCAGGAGGGTGGAGAAGGCAGCGAAGCCAAAGAGCGTTGACGTGAATCGGTTGTCCATTGTGAAGTCTAGAGTCGTGGACGGAGGAATATGTCGGGACACGAAGTTTGCGCAAGATTCCGGGTGTTACTCGGCGACGTGAATGAGGGTAGATGCGGTGGCGTCTTTGAGCGCAACAAAGAGGGCGCTGAAAGAGAAAAGCGATTGGACGCCCCCGTGTTCGGGAGGGCTCTGCAAGGCGAGCGAGGGAGACAGTGAAGATGGAGTAGATGAAGCGAGCGGTAGAAATGTTTTGCAGGCGGGGTGAGAGGGTGGCTGTGGTGTGAGGTGGTACAGCCTTTGGTCCGTCAGCCGGCCGGTCGCTGAATGCTGGCTGGGACTTGGCCGACGCGCTCTCGAGAGTGCGGGTACAAAGTGCAGTAAGCGGGCGCAAGAAGGTGACAGGGCGCGCAAGAGAGGGGGGAAGGTCCTGTTGTTTCAGACTGTGGTTAGCATTGCTGGCCTTGGTGGGTTGTCGAGCGGGTGTGAGGTGTAGTAGCACAGCGGGTTGTAGGCCAGGAAAAGGCTCTGTTGGGGATGGAGGCTGGTGGAGCGGCGTACTTACGAGCGCTAAATCGATACCAAGGTCTGTGCTGCTGCTTCGAGCACTATCCACGTCCTGATCCCTCCCGCTTTGGCCTTTAGTTCCTCCGCCTCTTCCGCACTGGGCACGCTGCCTGACTCGACCTACCGCGTTCCTTGTTTTCCGCCAACAATGTCCGACTCCGTACTTGGATGACGGGCCGGGGGGTGGTGGATGTGTTGGGTTGGGTGCTTGCGGTTAAATGGTGCCCTATAGCTCGTATAACAGGCTCGTCGCCGCGCCCGAATTCACGACAGATGCGAGTGCCCTTGGATGGGGGATACACAGACCGGAGACGAGTTCGGGACGGGCAGGAGCTTTCTTGCTTTTGCTGCGGTGGTGCTGCTGTGCTGAGTGGCACCGCGGCGGCGTGTTTTCCGGAGATGAAAGCACTATGTCAAACAGAAGGATCAAAAGTAACCGTCAGGGCGGCGCCGCATTGATGGCTATGTATAAACGAAGGGCTTGGGGTCTGCGTGGACAGACAAACGAGAGTAAGGGTCAAGCACGACAACGAAGGTGTGAAGAGACAAGGGAATAGATGGAATGGTTGGGTGCCGCACGGCGCAGGACTGGCAGCGTGTTTTGACTGTGTGCGATGTGTGCTGATCACCTGGCACGGCGCAGAATTAGCACGGTGTGGTGGCGTTGGACGGCGAGCCAGTCCTCGCAGCAAATATCAGAAGCAGGAGTTGGCACCATCTACGACGATTACTTTACTGACCTTCTTACATGAACCAGGCCGTTGCATGCAGCCTGCAGCAATCGCAAGGGGCCTGCGCCAGGGGTCACGATCGATGCCTCCAAAGCCCAACCAACGGGCGTATCGTTGCACCCGCGCCTCTTGCACCACCTGTCCTCGACCGACAAGCTTGACAGACAAGACCTTTGCCTACCGCGCCTCCTTAGCCAGCACACCTCTCGTGCGCGACTCTTTGCAACCTGTTGAGGCGCTCAACTGACAAGAAGGCGCCGGGCCGTTGACACTCTCAAGCAGCGGCGTCAAGCCCCGTCGCTTTCTCCACCACTCACACAGCCAATGTCCTGCCCTCCTCCAACATGGCAGGGCGACGCGCCCGCCCAACACGGCCCATAGCAGCATGGCAGCGTGGTAGCATGGCAGCATGGCATCATGGATGGCAGCATGCCAGTCTTGGGCATGTATAACACCCGGCGGTTTTGCTTATCAGCAGCCGTCAGCATGAATTCAGCATGCCCACGCGCTCCGGGACTACAGCTATGTATGGCATCCATAGGCAGTTATCTTGCCTCATTTCTCCCTTGGATTGAGTGTTAGCCTGAACGCCTAAACAAACTGGGACTGACGGCAGGCTTGGCACTAAAGGGTCGTCCGGCCAAGTCCCCGCGAGCCAGCCACCGCACGCGCACACACGCGGCCTGGGACCCATCATCTCCTTGACCACGCTCGCTCGCCCGCTCAATTCGCTTCGCCTTTGCAGAGGCTCGGGCAGATCACGTCGTGGGTGGATTATGACGCAAGCCCCCGTCCGCTTTGGGCCAATGAGGCGTCCACTGCCTCTGTCTAAGCGATGCTTCTTGCACCGCTAGGCCCAGTGCAGACTCTCCAGTATCGATAGCGCGATCGGCAGGGGACCTGGTCAGCGCTACGCGTCTGGATTAATTATGGATTGAGAGGCGATACTCTGCACAAAGAGATGAGGATTGTCGTCCCCGGTACATGTTGAAGCAGAGCCCCGACAGCCACTGCCGTCATCGACTCGCTGGTGAGACGACTGCGCTTCTACTTCCTCGGTCATATTTGCATCACGCCTGCAGCTGCGCGAACGCCAGACTCAACGGCAGAGAACAGGTCAGCACCCCTAGGCATCCCAGGCATCCCATCCTACACGCACGCGGTACCTGCGTGTCTTAGCTCAGCACGGGAATGGGCCTGCCAAGGGGTGAAAATGGACAAATTCCACGATGCGAGTGAGATACGAAAAAGGTACTGGTAGCCTATTTATTGTCAGGTCGTCATCACAAACCCTGGCACCTCATACTATTGAACGCTACCGCCCTCTCCCGCTTCCGTCCAATTCCTGCCATCCCGGCCGCCGGAGGGTCGCCTTGGCATCCTCCGCCGAACCATGCCATCCTGGCACCGGTATACTGTACTATCTATTAAACCCTGACGGCAACAACGCTCTTATTGCCGGCAGCAGATGGATGCGCAGAGCAAACTGTTTTGCATGTGTATTTTGCTTTGCGACAATCCCGTCAGATTGCTCGTAAACAATTGTAGCCTCAATTCACATGAAACAGTGCGAACATGGTTGGATAAAGTCTGGACCGCGACAATTTGCGCTCACGCCATATGGTGGCAGTTTATCTCTTGCGGTTGCCCATGGTGACTTCTGTTCTCAGGCTGCAAGGCTGCCAGGCTGAGCACCATGTCCTGGAACAGCATCCCCCCTAAGTCACGTTACTGGATCGAGTCAAGTACTTGATGCCACGACAAAGTCCTCTATTGCGCGAATATCCAGCGTGTTTATTTCTTCGAGAATCCGTGTCAGTTCGAACAAGGACACACGCTGTTTCACAGTATCACTTGGCGGGAAGTGGATATGGCCTGCGAGGTTGAAGCATGTTAAACAGTGTGCACCCTGAGAGCAAAGCAGATTGACACGGCAATGTCCGTATACGGGATGAAGATTCCAAAAAGCAGGGAATGATAGGAGAGTCCGGAACAAACAGTACACCAGTTGCCACCCGATAGCCCCAACTCGTTGCAAACCCTAAAAACATCTCCTTGTACCTACTCGGTCGCACGCATATTCTCTTCCCATACCCCTATTTACGGCATCTTTATCTTCCGTAGGCCCTCTAAGCACCATCACCCCATAGACCAACGACCTGCATTGCGAATGCCACTCCCGCTAATCCCGTCTTGATCAACTCGGTCCTCTGTCTCCTCTCAACAAACTCTCTGACCTCTTCGCCATTGACCTCCTCGCCCTGCGCCTCTAGCTCCATGACCTGCCTCTTCTCATCTGACCCTTCCATGGCAGTCACAGCGTAGTCGACTCCCGGACCAGAGATGAAGGCGAAGATGGACGTGTAGAGCAGGTAGGGGTGGCGGAAGCGTCGCGGCGACAGTACATAGGCGGAGAACAAGGTGAATGTGGTGACATGGCGGAGATATGAGGATAGCCAGGAAGACTGCCTGGACAGGTAGGCAAGTGAAGTGCGCGCGTTTGTGGCAGTGGGGAGGGCGAGCAGTGCGGGGAATGCGGTTGTGGAGAGGGTTGCGGAGACGCCCTGAGGATTGTCAGATCTTGAATGTCTCTTTCTTTTTGCTACAGTCTGATGCATCAACTCCACAAGAATGACGCCCTGGCACCTCATTGCCGCAGCGAAGCATCCGTCACGTAGCCATAGTGGCGGGCCTGTTGCACACATACCGTCGCGATTCCCAGGGTGATTGTGCCGACGAATTTACATATCGACACTGTCTGGGCCGACATTGTGATGGCAACAATATTTCCAATGGGTACAATAGTCGAGTCTTGTCTGTTGTGGTGGTGATCCGTCTGGTGATGACGATGACGATGATTCAGCCCGCTCCGAGTGCTGGCATGCAAATTGCGGAGCTGATGCGGAACCTCTCCCGGTGGTCCAAGCTCTCTCTCGTGCCCGCACACCAAACACGGAGAAGAGCACATGCGAATGCAGCCCGCCCGTCATTACTGCCAATGAGAAAATGACGCTTGAAATCACATTTTTAGACTTCGCGATGAATGTGTTAACTTACACCGTGTTTTGCTGATTCTACTTCAACGCTGAGAAGGACATGTCACGCGTGGTCAATGTCTCACCAGAGTGCCTTTCCTCGAGGATTACTAGCACTAGCTTACATCGTATGTACCTCGGCTCCCCGTGAGCGCAACATACATTGTACCGGCCACCGATCGCTGCGGCCGTAACCTTCACTCGATGCGAGCTTCCATATACTTTCAACCACTTATGTCTCTAGACGTGTAACTTCTTCTCTTCCTTCAAACACAGTTCCTGCTCATAGCGCTCTTCCTTATCCACTACACGTTCTCCTCGAGTCTCCAGGACAAATACCCCAACGACAACAAGACCAAGCTACCAGCTTGGAAAAACACCACACACCATGCCTGCGGAGAGATATTCATACATGAGCAATGTCTGGAGAGACGGCATCTTCGGTATACTCTACCACACCACCTCGTCCCAGAAACTCCATCCCGCTAACCCTTCCCACCATCAGACAACAAAGTCCTCTTCTGCACCGGCGGCGCCGGTTCTATCTGCAGCGCCCAAGTCCGCGCAATGGTCGCCCTAGGCGCAAACGCCTGCATCATCGGCCGCAACGTCGAGAAAACCGAAGCCATGGCCCGCGACATCGCAACTGCGCGCCCCGGCGCAAAAGTCCTCGGCATCGGCGCCATCGACGTGCGCAAGCCCGAACTCCTCCAGCAAGCCGCCGACCGCTGCGCTAAAGAACTCGGCAGCATCGACTTCGTAATCGCAGGCGCCGCCGGCAACTTCCTCGCCTCCATTGACCAACTCTCTGCAAACGCCATGAAGAGCGTCATCGATATCGATGTGCTGGGCAGCTACAACACCGTCAAAGCCACCCTACCGTATCTCGTCGAGTCCGCGGCTAAACACCGTACAAATGGTACTACGCAGCCTGCCAATGGTACCGGCGGCCGTATCATCTTCGTGAGCGCGACCCTGCATTACACAGCGACGCCGCTGCAGGCGCACGTCGGCGTTGCAAAAGCCGGTGTGGATGCCATGGCCATGTCCGTGGCTATTGAACAAGGACCCAAGGGTATCACATCCAACGTTATTGCCCCAGGCCCTATTGCGGGGACAGAGGGAATGGCGCGCTTGGCCAAAGCAGAGGCCAACAAGGCGGATAGCAAGGCGGCCAAGACGGTGCCTATCGGGCGATGGGGCACCGTCAAGGAAATCGCTGATGCCACCGTGTTTTTGTTCTCAGATGCAGGCAACTTTGTAAACGGAGAGACCCTCGTTGTCGATGGAGGCGCCTGGCATACCGCTGGCTTCAGCGGCGGCTTCGAGTACCCCGATTTCCTACTCTCCGGTGCCCCTGTTACCGGTGTTGCCGGAGGGAAAAAGTCAAAGCTGTAGATAACAATGCTTGTAAATGTATGACTAAATTGTTGTTTGCATAGAAATTGCAATTATGAACTTCATATCTGCTTATATGTTCCAAAGCCTTGGAATTGACCATCTTGTTCTTACATGCTCCTACGTATTTCTTTCAGCACAGTGATACTACCAGACAGCTTCCATCTGATCTCTATTTCGATGACATGGCCAGCTAACTTCACTTGTCAGTTTCGACCACTTAATTGAACAAATTGTTTATTTAGCATAACCCGGAGATATACTATCTCAATCAAAGCAGAAGCAATAAAATTAACATAATACATACTGATTATACACGAAGAACCGTACACTTGAATTAAAAAAAAAGTCCAAGATGAAAGCAAAAGGCCGAGCATCCACCCAAATTTCGTCCCAACGCTCCACTCTCAACTCAGAGCAATAAGAGAAAAGCAAAAAAGAATATGTCAAGCATAGCTGCTCTCGGTTTCGATCCGAGGTCCTCCGGGTTATGAGCCCGGCGCGCTTCCGCTGCGCCAAGCAGCTTTTTCTGCTGAACTTGATTTCAAGATGGAAAAGTTTGAAATTACAAAATAAATAATCCAAACCATTCTCAAACTGAAAATCAAGGATTGTGTAAAGTCATGATGTTAAGCGAGTGTGGGGACAGCGGTACCAACGTCTGGAGTCATACCCCACGCTGAATGCAGTTAGCGTTGGTTACATTGAAGTAATGATTGTACTACAATCTAGTTATAGGAAATAGGAAACGTCAGATGATACAATTAAAGTCGCTACTATCCTAGATCAAAATCTACATCTCTTGCAGGACCAAACCTTATTCCAAGCATCTGCAGCGAGCAGTATCGCACCACGCTTACCTGTGCTGCAACAGAGCTACATTCTACTTTTAACAATTATCGTTCTAAGTTCACTCACTGCATTTTGCGCCTCAACTTGCTGCAAATTTCTCCATGCAGGAAACCCCGCATGTGCTAAGAAATGTATGTACTACATGAAGTCACAGGGCCCCCGCATCTCCCTAGCGAAGCTGGAGCCCGATGTGATGACGAATATATTTACCTGTCGCAGAACTTTCAGCGAGTATCTGGCCCGGGATTCTCTTACAAGGCCGATATAGGGACGAAGGAGGAGGCAGATGTTGTTCGAAAGCGGAATCCTTCTTGCACTTGCTATGCTGGCTGTGCACCATCTGTTTGATCTGCCTAGCTATGCTTGAAGGGTCGTCTCTGGAGGTTATAAGGTGATACTCTCATAAAATCTACATTCCCTTACCAGGTGATCTTGTGATCGTGCTATATTAACAATAGTAAGAAGTCTTTGAAGCTGCCTATTCAGTAAGTGTAAGATACCAGTTCTCTTGCTGATTTCTTTACTCGAAGCGGGTGTCTTCACCTAAGTTATATAACTATGGGATGAAATACAAAAGGAAGCTTTGTCAACACCAACACTCTTAAAACCCAACCCACAGAACCTGCGAAGAAGAACTCTCGACTCCACCTCTACCAGGATAACAAGAACCAACGTCTCCTCTTCCTGAGCCGTAACCCTGCATCTACCCCTGACTAACAAACCTCGACTTTATCCCACTACCACCGTACGCATTTGTCCATGTAACCCTCCTAAACACACTACACTCAAACGCCACCATCCATACCCCCTTTGGCATCTTCCTCGCTGAGACCCAATATACACCCCAAGATTATCCTAAACAAATCATTCCTCGCAACCCGACACTCGCATTAGATATTGGTTCTCTAGAATCGTTGTGTAAACCTTGCATGATAGCGTGCAGAATTTAGGTGCGACATCGAGAAACCAAGGACGCTTACATACCCTATACTGGCTTTGAAGTTTAGATTACGATTTAGAAGATACGATTTCTTTGTTAAAAAAAAATCAGGAAACCACTTACAGCGCGATCGACGTAGTGAGGCAGAGTCTGCAGCCGTAGGTACAATCTATCATCTTTGCAGTAAACACTATCCCAACATCTCCAAAGTTGCTGGTAAGTGCAAGCCAAATCCCGTTTTCGCCTGTAGAGTAAACAGTTGATAGAGAGAGAGGGTTGGTTTTGGGTATTGCCCGATTCATAACTAGGAGGTAGCTTGATGCTCATTTACACATGGATAAGCTCAATAACATAGTGGGAAGAAGTAGTGTCATATGAAACCCCTCGTGAATTAGATAAGCATATCACGCCACATTGATTATAACGTTATTTCATATAACGAAATACTCCCTTAGTTACGACCGCAGGTACCAGGTAGCTCATCTTCCCACCAGGGAATGACATCGAATAATAATTGCGCTAAAAACACCACGCTAATATCCTTCAAAAAATGATACAAAAACTGCCAAATATGCATGGAAATCCTGATGTGGAGATGGCAAAAAACGAAAATCCTGTTAGTCATGTAGAAAAGAAAGAAGCTCACAGAGCAACTATCGTGAAAAAGCACCTTCAGCATCATCGCCTAGCCCTCTAAATGCTATCCTTCCATTACTCCTCAGAACCTCACACACAGTTTCGGCACTAAGTTCGTATCCGCTCTTGCGCCAGCGCGCATTGAGCCAATCCGCCAGCGCATCCGCACTACAACTGAATCTCCGCGTGTCCCATTCGTGCAGAATAAGATCGACAATGGGCTGATCGGGGAGCGGTTCTGGGTTGGGGTCCTGGAGCGGCACCGACGAAAGCGGCATGGGGAGGGCGCGGGGCGGGAAGATGTTTTCGTATGCGGTTAGGAAGTGGAGGAGCGTGTGTTCGGTATGTGGACGTGAGGCGAGCGTGATGCCAAATGGTTGGCCATTGAGTTTGAGAGCGGACAGTGGACATGCGGCAGTTGGGTATCCTGCTGCAGCTGCAAGTGTGGACAATGCGGCGTCTCCGGGCGCCATGATGATATCGAGAGAGCGCGAAGCAAAGAGAAAGTCGAGGCCCTCAGGTCCGCCGGCGGTCTGAAGGTGTTGTCGTGCGGCGTTGATTTCTTCGCGCTTGATACTGGATTGTAAGGCGGCCATAAGATCATTCTGATCTGGACATGCTAAAACGTATAAGTAGGAGATATCAATTATAGCAACTCAAATCGACATACTCGGTGGGAGGCACAGTTCTGGATGCTCCAGATTAAAATTTATAATCTCGGCCAATGAATGCATCTTGGTCACCTTAAAGTCCCGGATGAACTCTGATAAGCAATCTTTGAATTCAGCATCTGTAGCACGTTAGCATGTTGGCGCTAGTACAAAGTTCATAGCAACATACAGACAACCGGCTCGAAGCAGTTCCTACCATCAATGGTCAAGCTCATTGGATTGGGCAATTCAATCGGGTACACAACATCGACGCCCATCTCGATCATGCTCTGAACAATCATATCGTACTTTTGGGTCTGCATCGTGTCAGCATAGAGGTTCCAACAACATACTGATCCCTGCAGCAAAGACATGAATGCACATATAGCATGTGACTTATGGACTGATGTCAGCGATGTTTTCGTAAACTTACCATAAATCTCTCAGCGTCAGCATTAATGCGCCCATTTTTGCGCCATGACTTCCAGATTGACGGCTCACAGATGCCGATTCGAAGCGTACCAAAATCTGGCTTGATCTTGAACGATCTGTGTGGACTCGGTACATTCTCTTCTCTGTTGGTGGGCACCATCAAGGCGTCCATAAGCGCCACGAGATCCTTTGCAGATTTGGCCTATTGCATAAAGTTAGTGTGCCCAATACGAGCTGACAAACATCCAGCTTACCATGCCACCAACTGAATCAAACGTCTTGCTTAAGTTGAAGATCCCATCCATCGGAACCTCTCCAACTGTAGGCTTCAATGCGTAGAGGGCCGCGCGGTTTGCTGGCGTAATGAGTGATCCGATAGTATCCGTGCCAATCGCTAGAGTGCTGAATCCTGAAGCCACGGCTACGGCTGATCCTGTTGAGGAACCTCCAGGAGCTGACAGTTCCCAATGTAGTTTTCGTTTTGCAATGTGTCTTGAAACATATGGTGATTGACACTGTCCGCCCACTGCTGACCATCCTGGAGGCATTGAAGGATTCTTGAGACCACAGAATTCCGTAAGGTTCGATTTTCCAATGATGATCATTCCTCGCTTGATCAAGCGGTCGACAACGGTTGCGCTCTTCTTAGGTATGCAGCCTACAAAAGCATAGGAGCCTAACAAGAACATAAGTCCCACTGATGGCATCCAGGTTAGTTATTCGCACATACCGACTGTCGTGTCCATTCCCAGCGTCTCATCCGTCATGATGTTATCCTTGATTACTATTGGAATGCCATGAAGTGGACCTCTTATCTTGCCTCTTGCTCGTTCATCGTCCAGCTTGCGTGCTATCCTCAATAGTTCATGTTTTGGAGCAACCGAAATTAATGCTCTTAATTGTCTGCCTCTTCTGTTGTGTAACGCAATCTCTTTCAGGTACAGTTGTACTATTTGCACGCTTGTAATTGCTCGCGCATTCAGGAGTTCGGACAGTTCAAAGGCCGTGACTGTGAGCGGATCGAAGTCTGGAAGCCATGTGTCGTCTGCCGAGGAAGTGAATGATGCCTTGGGCGACGAATTATTCTTGTCAACTACCTCCTGCGGCGCGGAACTTCCAATGCTAGGTGCAAGCGCAGTCTTGAGAAACTTGAAGACTCTTGGCATGTTTGGTCGAACCCCAACACTTCGGTCGACGTCACGTGGGATGTGCTCAGTAGAATTAGAATATCAAAACGTCAATGTCGATGTCAATGTTCGACGCTGGGTGCAAGGGCTAAATATCACTAACGAGGTGAGGGGCGTGCTTGCAATACGGGCTTAGCAAGCCAAAGGGAAAGTGAGGAGAGGGCCAAAAGTGTTTGCAAGGGACATGGGCTCCGCAACGTTATGTACATTCGCCGTGACCTTGTTCAGGCTCTTGGAGGGCTGCCAGTGGCTGCGACGATGATCCTTCGACCCTGACTCGACCACGTAAACGGTGGCCCTCGGACATGTGGACGGTGGCGTCGATAGGCTGCATCCAACAGTAGGGATGGTGGTTAGCCGGTCGCCAATCGAGGAAAAGCATTCCGTTATTTGATGCTCTCCACTGTTCTGATTCGGGGAGCCGCCCCATCAGAAGCAGCTGGTGCATGATCATCTTCACACTGCACATGCACTTTACCCGGGACGCAGGACCGCACAAAGTTGCCGGCCGGTTGACATCTCGCTTACGGTGAGATGAGCTTCACTCTGGTTTCCGTCTAAGCCGCTGGAGTATTGGCGGAACGGCGCCATTCTGAGGCGTGGACCGAGTCGTCGCCAAATAGGACTCTACCGGAGGTTCCTTCAGGTTCGAAAACAGCAACTCAGCCTTTAGGTTTAGGTTTGGATCACGGAGATTTGGGCACGACCAACATGTTATCGCAGCTCGCACAAGTCTGCCGACGCTATAAGCAGGGTTCCATGCTCCTGCGTCCGAGTGGCACAGCAGATTGAGCACCTTCGATTTGGTGCATGGCAACTTGGCGGCTACAACTATCCGCCCGGAGTGGTAGAGTGCAATGCTGCACCCCGGTCTCGCTTCCAACTGTGAGTCGTCTTCCCCAACGCGATATGGTAGTACATTGCGGGGGATCGGCTCTCGGTATGCCAATCCCAATTCCACCGCCGACATCTCATCAGTCAGGACCTGGACGGCGGTACTTGATACGAGTTGATGCATGTACACCAAATCTCCTGGCAAGCTGTGCGACTCTGGTAACTGATCGTCGGTACAAGGTTGGCAGAAGCCGGTCGGTGTCGTGCCATGGTTCTCGAACGGCTCCCTCCCTGGCGCGCATGCGCACCCGCCGGTCAGGCGGCACGGAGGCCAGGGGCAGGGCCTTTGGTTTACGGTTAGTGTCCCAAGGCTACTGCTATTCGCTCTGGTGCCTTGGTGTAGAGTAGAGTATGTGCCGTATTTGACCCCACACTTTGCAATATCGTCGCCACGCTGGATAGATTGCGCGCGGGGCTGGCACGAAGGCCTCTCTGATCAAGTGACGCACAGCAGCCGCGCATTCGCGATTTGCACCAGGGTTGGCCCACTGCCGTGACCCATGTCAAGAGCCAATGCAGGCAGAATCAGGGCTGAGAGACTCAACAATCAGTGGCTCGCGGTCTAGAACTGGCGTGATGCTGTTGTCTTGCTGCATGCCCGGAGAGTGCCATGAGGCGGCTGGTTAAAGTCGAGAGGGGACCAAACATGAAGCTCGAGAAACCATCGTGGAGCAAAAGTCGACTGCTGTAAGTAGCCCCGGTCTTGGCACTCGCTCGGCCGTTATGTACCTGCACAGAGATCACCAGCACCATCCTAGAGCAAGAAAACTACACGCTGCACAGCAAGGGTAAAATGGCTCAGAAAACTCTCCTATAGGCTGCAGTGTACATTATGCCGCGTGGTATCGTGCAGTCGAGTCCATGGCACACAACTGACCATACTATCCCATGGCTTCTTTCAACTCTCCCCACAAACCAAAACAACCTCTAGAACGTCGTCGTGGCCAGCCTACTGGCCGCGTTCTTCGCATCAATCCGATCGTCGTCCTCTTCCACTCCTGCCTGGCTTCCCGCTTTGCTCGTAGCCCGCTTTCTGCCGTGTATTGTCTCTTCGTCGTTTTCGTCGGTCTCAGGAAGTGGAGCGACAAAACTACCGCTCATACTGCGATTGAGCCCATCACCGGGTCGTCGCGGCACACCGGACCATGCATCGCCCTTGGGTCCTTGAGAGCTTGCCATGGGAACCCGGCGCTGTGGTGGATGCGCTTCACGTCCAAGCCGCGAAAGACCGCCGCTGCCATCAATGGCCCGAATGTCGGGTCGTACGGATTCCAGAGTAGCTAGAGTACGGCGTTCGGCTTCAATCTGGCGCACTACGTATTCCCGAATCGCTTGCCGCATGTCGTGCGTAGTCCGATCAAACCACCTCCGCTGTTCTTGAAGAAGATTGGCAGTGACACGTTGGGCCTTTTGCATCAAATATTGCTCATGGCTTCTAGCCTCGTCTAGAGCAGCAATAGCTTCGTCAACCTTTTCCCGTTTCACGCTTGAGCTGGCCTTCAGCCGGTCGGCCGCTGACAACTTGGACTTGGTCGCTGATTGTGCTTGGAGCAGTTCGCGAAGGATGATGTGACGATTTGTCAGAGTTTCCTTTGCGATAAAAGCATCGCTGCTGTGGTACTGGAGTGGATCACCTAGGGTGGTAGCTTCAGCGGTGCCCTGAGCGGCATGAAAGTCACCCGTAGCCTGTATAATCTTCCCGAGTTTCTTGTACGCGTGGGCCAGACCAACATGCGTCTCTTGGACCTGTAGTGCTGCAAACTTGGCGCCCAGGTCAGATTCAGCAACCCCGAGGTCTAAAGCAAATTAGTCTTGTGTTCCATATGACATATGCTGACCACTCACTCCTTCGGTGCTTCACAACCTTCTCCAACTTCTGCTCGGCTTCCATTGTACCGAGGTAGAAGGCTTTAACCACTGGTCGTGCCGCAGCGAGTTCTGGCGTGTCGTCCGGCGGCGGCGCAAACTGCTTGATCATCTTGCGGCGCACTCCAGTAGCAGGTTGCTTCCTCCGCACCACGGGGCTATAGCCAAAGTCGCTCTCTACGAAGAAGACCATTTCCTCGTCACGTATGAGTATTTCATTGCTGCACACAATATTGAGCCACCGCTGAATTGATATCTTGAGTCGTGCCTCGTCTTCATCAGTTCCAGCGCCTGCCGATGTAGTCGCCGGTGGTACTGCAGGTACAATGGCTTCCGGGCATGCGGAAATGAGATGCTCGCCGAGTTTCACGAATTCAGAGTGTAGACGTCGGACATCGCGGAATTGCGTGGTGCGAAACTTGGGAAGGTTCGTCTGAATGTAGAAGTTAGCACGAGGCCACTGTTATGGATGCCATCCGCAAGTGGAGTGGACAGATATGGAGGTAGCTTTGCAGCCAGACAGTAATGCGCTGAGAGCATCAACGCCACCTTGACCCAATGCTCAATGTCCAGCACATTGCGGAGGCATGCTTTTGCCATGTTGAACTTGTATAGACGTACGTAAACATCGAATCGTATTATGGGGTCCTTCTTTCCGTTGCGCTCAAGACCTGTAACCTTGGCCTGCAGCTTGTACTGCTGCTGCTGTTGCTGCTGTTGTCGCTGTGGTCTCGTGCCGTGATACCTTTGTGGCTGCTGTCCCTGTTGGCCCTGTTGCTGCGGCTGAGGTGACCGAGGCGCGTCCTGACCGTGCGCCTGCTGTTGCTGCGATTGATCGCCATTCTCAGGCGCCGTGCCCGGCCGACTTTGCGCATCCTGCTCGCCCAGATAGCCGTACTGCTCACTGTTCTCGCCATATGGGGAAGCCTGCGCAGGCAGCGGGGATGACGGAATATCGTTAGTTGGAGGCTGGCCAAAAGATGATCGGTTCGCCTGAGGCGACGAAGCCCAAGGGTCGCCGCCCGCGGGGTGGTCGGGATCGTGAGCGCTGTAATCCATAGTTGTGGGGGAGTGAATTGAAGCTATCAACGGCTGCGACTAGCTGGAGAGTGATGCGATGATGTCGCTCCAACACCCAGCCCTGCCCTTAGCCCGGCTAGGAAAGGCGCGAACCATGCCATCTTTTGCGTCACGTGCATTTCCTACACACAACATCTTTCGCATCACCATCGCATTGCGCAGTCTTTGGCATGATAACCGGCTGGATATGGTGTGCCCGCCGAGTCGTTCGGCACAATGTGAAGACTCCTCGGCGGTTGCTGTCGACCCAGGCGCCTCAACATGACCTACTTTCCAAAGCGACCCGTAATATCGGCATCATTGCCCACATTGATGCGGTAGGTCGGATGGTTCTTTTGTGAATCTGAAGAGGCTCTAATGAATATCTAGGGGAAAACAACTACAACTGAGCGTATGCTCTACTACAGTGGTGTCACTCGTAGAATAGGAAGTATGCACGAATTCATTTTACGTCTTTAGCGCAGTGTTTTCCAAATATCTCGGTGCCCTTGTATCACTTGCGAAACAGAAAGATCGGCTTCAACAAGCACACTGACCACTTCTAGATGTCGACGAAGGGTCCACAGTAACTGACTTCCTTCCTGCTGAGCGAGCGCGAGGCATCACTATTCAATCTGCAGCCATAACTTTCCACTGGCCTCCACTACCACCAAGTAATCAAACATCGCCATCTCTACCGCAGTTGCCGGTATCTTTTGACGATGTTTTGAGGTCTTCTACTCCCCACAACATTAATCTGATTGATACCCCGGGTCACGCTGATTTTACATTCGAGGTACTCCGTTCGCTGCGTGTCTTGGATGGCGCAGTCTGTATCTTGGACGGGGTAGCAGGAGTCGAAGCCCAAACAGAAAAGGTGTGGACGCAAGCCGGACACTACCATATTCCCAGGATCATCTTTGTCAACAAATTGGACCGCGTAGGCGCTGCCTTTTCAAGAACAGTCAAAGAGATTGGTTCCAGACTGCGGGGATGGCCTGCAGTTTGCCAGATTCCTTGGTGGCAGGGAGGCAATGGTGACTTTGTTGGAGTTGGAGATGTTATTAATCTTCGTGGTATGCTCTGGAAGGCAGGCGGAGATGGCCGAGATATCAAGGCCGTTGAGCTTGAAGAGTTGGACAAAACTGATAAGAACTTTGCCGCAGAGATTAAAAAGGCCAGGATAGCTCTTGTCGAGACATTGAGCGAGCACGACGATGTAATGGTTGAACACTTCCTGGAAAATGACGAAGACCATCTCGCCATTTCGGGCATTCAAATCACGCAGTCTCTTCGCCGAGTCGTTTTACAAGCTCCCCAATCGGTTATACCAGTGTTTGCTGGGGCGTCGTTCCGCAACATTGGTGTTCAACCACTGCTTGACAGTGTAGTCGATCTTCTCCCATCACCTCTCGAACGCCCCGACCCTGAGATAGCTATTACAAACCAGAGTAGCACCCTTGCCGCTCTTCTGAGCTCAGCATCTACAGCACCCACCAAGTCATCCAAGCCGGCAAAGAAGCAAGAAAAGCGAACGGACGAGCTCGCTATTGCCGAAGTGAAAAATCTACAAGCCTGTGCTCTGGCTTTCAAGGTTGTCAATGACCCCAAAAGAGGCGTTCTGGTCTACGTGCGCGTCTACTCTGGCTCAATTGATCGCGGCGCCACGCTGTACAATACCAACCTGGCCATTGCGGAACGTGCACCTCGTCTTCTAAAGATGTATGCCAATGATGCAGTGGAAGTAGACAGCATCGGTCCCGGCCAAATTGGTGTCATCACCGGACTCAAGCATGCTAGGACTGGCGATACGCTGATCGTATACCGTGGGCTGCAGATGAAGGGCACACCATCTGGCGGGTTGAACACACTGCAACTCCGACCTATTGCCGTTCCGCCGCCCGTATTCTTTACCAGCATCGAACCTCACAGTTTGAGCGAGCAGAAGCACGTACAAGAAAGCCTTGCCATCTTACTACGCGAAGACCCTAGTCTGCACCTCTCAGTCGATGAAGAGTCAGGACAAACGCATCTAGCAGGAATGGGTGACTTACATCTCGAAATCGCCCGAGACCGACTTTTGAACGACTTCAAGGCCAAGGCGAGAATCGGCAAGATCGAGATTGGATACAGAGAGACAATCACGACTTCGACCGAGCCATTCACATATACTCTTGACAAGCCAATTGCAGGCAAGCAAGCCAAAGCCATCACCACCGCCTCCGTCGAATCCATCGACGAAGCCACCATCAGCAACGCCTTAGCCCAAGATACCCAAGAAGTCCAAGACAGCCCCTTCGAAACAACATACAAACTCCCGGACAACAACACCCTCTACATCTCCCACCCCCACCTCTCCTCCCACGACTCCGCAAGCCACAAATCCCACATCCCACCACACCTCTCCCTCCCGGGTATCCTGCACTCTCTCCAAGCCGGCGCGTCCGCAGCCCTCGCCCGCGGCCCCTTCAACGGCTTCCCCGTCGCCAACACGCGCGTCACAATCGCCCTAGACGCAGCCACCCATCTCTTCCCCGAGACAACCACCACCGCGCTCTCCATGGCTGCCCGCGCTGCCGTAGGAGCCAGTCTACGCACAGCTTGTAGTACCGCACCCGCCGCCCTCCTCGAACCCGTTATGAACGTTACCATTTTCGTAAACGAAACTTCGCTCGGGGCCGTCGTGCAAGACATATCCTCCTCCCGCGGCGGTCAGGTGCTCTCGCTTGATGGCACCGAATCCTCGCAAACACCAGGTGTTGACGACGACGACCTTCCGCGTATCGATCCTGCCCTTATTTACACGCCTCCTGACCCTTTTAGCTCGGGTATGGGCGAGGTAGGGAGTGGTGTTGCGGATCATCAGCGCCAGATTGTAGCGAGGGTGCCGTTGAAGGAGATGGTGGGGTATTTGAATCATCTGCGGGCGCTGACAGGGGGGAGGGGCACGTTTGTTATGAGTGTGGATGGGTTTGAGAAGATGGCGGCGCAGAGGCAGAAGGAGGTGCTTGATGCGTTGAGGGAGTTTTGAAGAGTAGGGGGAAGGATCTTGTAAGAGTAGATGGTTGTAAAATGTAACAGTAGTATGAAATGACAGTGATTTGGATTTTGTAGTTGGCTCGTAGGGGCATAATGCCTGTGTGCATGGAATTCGTGAGACGTGCTATTGTAGATGAAGAAGATTGAATTGATATCGATCCGAAAGAAGAAAGAGAGGGAACTACTACAAGCCCAATGCTAGGTCATAGTCTGCCAGTGAAGGTGAGAGTGAAAGTGAACGTAACCCGCACTCGAAGCTCTACAAACAGATACCACAGTAAACATCAACACTGACCCTCTACCCATCAACATCCTAAACCCTCCTTCAACAGACACTTTCAAACTACAACACCATCACAACCAAAATCCATCCTATCCCCCCAACAAACCCCGTACTCGAGTCCCACCGCTCGACTTCAACCTCCCCAAATCTTTCACCTCAAGCCAACGCCAAGCATGAACTATGCACACACGATAATCCTAGCAATAATTCTGGTAACCCTCTTCTGTTGCTTCTTCGGGTGGTGCCTGATGCGAAGTTGCCGGCGCGTCATCGACGCCGAGATGCACGAATTGGAGTGTCAACGGGAGGAGTGCTCGACTGTGAAGAGTGCTCGTGGGGCGAGCAGTAAAGTGAATAGCAAAGCGGGCAGCAAGGCGAGCAGCAAAGCGAATAAAGCGAGCAAGGCGGGTGGGAGTGGGGCAAAGTAGAAAGGAGGGAGGGGATTGGCAGTCGAGAGTTTGGGACTGTGCAGCGTACAAGACGTTGTGGAATGTGGGGGGGATGGCAAGTATGTTGGCGTGTGCGGGAGTTACAACATGTTTGTTTCTCGGGCATGTGTATGTGTTACAACATTGGGTCATGGGGATTTACCGAGCGCGTAGCTGTGTGTAAGGCCGGGTTGGATGGATTTTCGTGGGTTTGAGTGTGTGGCTGGTGATTTGGGGGCTGACGGGAAAAGACTGACAAGAGAGAAGTTACACAACAGATGGGTTATTTGCTGTATACTGCGGGGTTTTGACAGTTCGAATGTAACTGTACGACGAAGGAGCTGTGAATACCGGTTCGTTAAATGACAACTCTTTTTCCCCTTGCCTATACGTATGGTATCTAATCGTTTGTCAAAATCTCCTATCTTGACCTTGTAATTCGTTCTACCGACTAGACTGCCATGACGAATACCAATCTCATTATTGCCATCATTTTTGCTGGTTTATTTGGCTTAGCCCTCATGTTCATTGCCTTGTGGTGTCTCAGCCGTTACATTCACAGTTGTTGTCTCAATATTGGGCAGTGGCTCCACGCTTTGTCACCTCAGCCGCCTAAGGACCCACCAGTCGTGTATGTTGAGAATCATCGGTCTAGATCCAGGAAAAGCGAGCGGGGAAGAAATCTCGATCCCCTAAGAACAAAAAGAGATCACGAAAGCGGGAATTTTGAATACGAACAGACAGGGGATGGGAGTGTGGATACGAGGCCAACGGTTCAGCTTTGCGCTCCTGTGCAAGTTCAGCAGCAACCGTATAACCCAAGATATTATCCTTTGCTGTGGCAAGACCAAACTCAAAATATACAATCAGTGATGCGGCACCAGACATCAATGCATTGGCAAGCACAGGGTACTCCTCGAGTACCAACATACGCTACGCAAACAACAATACCTCAGCAGCCGAATCCACAGATGACAATGGAGATTTCGGAACCTTTCCAGGGTCCGTCTCGGTACCAGCCCCACATGTTGTCCCAACCGCAAAAATGTCTCTCGGCAAAAGCCAGGTCGCCGGAGAAATATGCGCGCAAGGCAAGGAAGGTTGACTACATTCACATTTGTGATGAGTATCCGCCTTTTGTGCTGGAAGCACTCAATAAGGCAGCTCCATCATCACCACCCACTTCCTCTTCATCTTCCTCATCATCCAGCTTGAGCGATGGATCTGGAACGACGCAAGAGGTACCGCGGGCTACTATACCATGCGCCACGGCTGCTTGCATCAAAACCAAACAATGCCCACATATAGTAGCACGCGGAAGGGATACCTCGGGGACGTAGCCACGACAATGCGTGGGCAGAAACGGCCAAGGAAATGTGCCGGATAGCCAAGTCAGGTACGCATTGTTGACGGCGTTTCGCGACCATGGAGACGAAAAACGGTGGATACAGAGTATAATGGTCGCCTTGTCCTGCCATTGGTCCGTTGATCCAAGGCCTGACGGCTGCTAATTACAACTTAATGCAGAATATTGCTGACGATTTTCATCATGCTAGGATCTGACGCAGGAGACTCCCGAGGGTGCCAGGTGTGGATAGCCTAGAGGACGAGCCGGACGGTCGGCATGGTTGGTGCAGATCGCCGAAGAGAACGGGATGAGAAACGGGCAAAGGAGAACAAAAGAAACCCGAACAAGGACACGGACGACGAAAAAGGAAATGAAACAGATTGTAGAAGGGTTTTTTGGCTTCTGGAATTTGCAACCGGAGGACGAGTGGTTCCGAGCTGGAAGCAGGACGGGGCCGTTTGTCCGCTGGACAGGAAACCCCACGCTACTTAGCAGTGCCGGTTTCGGTGGTGGGTAAGGGTCGGAGGCTGGGGACCAGTAAAAGGGCAGGTTACGGGTAAGAGAGGCCGGGCAGGTGTGGCAGTGGCGCTCGGCCCATGGATTCTTCCGCGCCGGCCTCCATGTGGCTGACGCTAGACAATGCGCAAGTAATGGAAGCACATGCAGGGTGACCCGTGAGATGACAGTAGTAAACGACTATTGCGGGTAGCCTTGCGACTACCGCTCAACCGTACATATCTGCGAACTTATACGCCTGCGCTACTGCTGTTGTACGCGTGGCTTGACGTGGCTGTGCAATTGGCTTGTGAGGCGCTGTCGAGGGTGAAGGACGACGACGACGACAGGCGTGCAGAATAAGCGCCTACAGTGCATATCTATATGTGTGTGTGGTACTGTACTTAGTCACTGTGCTATATGCATCGTGTCAGCGCCAGAGCTTTGTCCTATCTCGTACATATTTTAAGTTTTGGGCATTGAAAGTCTGGGTATATTACATATAACCACATGATGCGCCAAAATTCAAGTCGTGTCGCAAGATGCGGGAGTCGGGATGGCTAGCCAAAGCTTGTCACCAATAGCTGCTAGTGAATAAGCAGGCAGAGTGGGTTCGCACGAAGGATACGGTTTTGTGGCGGTCTTGTTAGGGGGGCATCGAGGAACAATAGGCGTCGAGTCTGGAAGCGCGTGTTTGTGTGATTAGCTCTGACATCGGCCCTTTGGAAACGGCCGAGCATCATTCCCCCTCCCTCGCAAGCGCACCCAAGGTCACACACCCATGGACAGATTCATAGGCCATTAAACGCTAACCGTGCCCGCCCATTCAACTCCAGAAAAGGGGCGGGTTGCGATGATTATTGTTGGCGCTGTTGTTGGCGTCAGCAACTCGACGGTGCAGTGCTTGATTGCGACAACCACACGCAGCGTGTCCGACTAAGTATGGGGGTGCTCCGCCCTGTCCAAGGGATGGCAAGTGTAACGTAGCGCAATCCATGCTGATGCAGTTGCAATTGTACGCGTTGCCATGTCGGCGTTGTGGGGTGACAGGTCGCTCGTCGCATCACCCCGGCATGGTCACCCCCATGCCTCTACACGGCTGTGCTCGGCATCGGTGCGCTTCATCCGTTGGTTCACGGGTGACCAGGCCAGGTCTGCTGCGTCTCCTGGACAAGCATGCATTCGTGTTCTTCTAATACTTTACTGTCTTGGGGGCCCTTGCCTAAGGCATGTGAATTGCGCGTCGCATTCGGACCCTTGCGAACCTTGGGCCACGCACTTGACTCTGGTTACCTTTTTCTTAACACAACTTGTAATCCCCCCCAGCCAGTCCACTGGTACTGCGCCGACGCCATACTTTATCACTTCTCTCGCCCTCGCCCCGCCCCTACCCTACCCACCTGCTCGTTTGATGGCGCATCCGACTCGCTGCTAGGCCCCTTTCACCACAGAGCCCACCCTCTCGATGCTGAAATCCTCCCGCCAGCCCATACATCAGTATGAGCTGGTCCCCCGAGACTCTGTCGACGAAGAGCAGCACGATGCTGGTCGCGATCGTTTGGACACCACCACCACCTTTTCCAGGCCATCATGGCTTGACCGTTTGCCCTGGCCCTTGACCAATGTCAACAAACTCTCAGACCGAGCCGTATACGTCCACTACGTCACCCCGCGCCGACGCAAGCGATCCCTCCTGCGCCTCATATACTGGTCCATATTCTCTATTCCTTACCTTTTAATCCTTCTCGTCCTCGTCACTGGCGCTTTCTTTCCGAGTTACACTATCCGACCACTCCACTATGACGAACTACGCAAGCGCGCAATTACTACTGGCCGCGCAAACCCATACAATGAAACTGTGTTTATAGTGGCATCGCTCGCTGAGCACAAAGGCGACTTGACTTCCGGGGCCTGGGGAAAGGAAGTGCTTCAGCTCATTGATCTCCTAGGTCCGGAGAATGTGCATTTGAGCATATATGAAGATAATCCAGACCCGGTCACCAAGCAATCTTTGAAGGCATTTCGAAAAAAAGTCAAGTGTAAGTGTATTCTTCGACGTTGCGACGGACCCCACTGACTGACCCGTTAAGGCAATTCTACTATCGTAGCCGAAGATCTCGACCTCGCTTCTCTGCCCCATATTACACTACCGAACGGTGAGGAACGCCTTAAAAGGATTGCGTTCCTTGCCGAGGTTCGCAATCGCGCGCTGGCTCCAATCGACACGCATGGAGTGAAATTCGACAAACTCCTCTACCTCAACGATGTCAACTTCGACCCCATCGAAGCCGCCCAGCTCCTCTTTGCAACAAATATCGACTCCAACGGACGCGCAGACTATGCTGCAGCATGTGCCGTCGATCACATCATGCCCTTCAAATTCTACGACCGCTTCGCAACCCGAGATTACGACGGCATGGTGACCGGCTTGCCCTTCTTTCCGTGGTTCACCAGCGCAGGTACGGCAACAAGCAGGAACGATGTGCTCGAGGGCAGGGACGCTGTACGGGTACGAAGCTGCTGGAGCGGCATGGTGGCTTTTGAAGCGAAGTGGTTCCAGGCCCGAGCCGGAGCACCAGCAGAGGCTGCGGACCCACAGGCCCAGTCGCCTAATCGCGATTTATCCCCTCTCCGGTTCCGATACGACAAAGAGCAATTCTGGGAGGCATCCGAGTGCTGCCTGATCAACGCGGATCTCCAGTACCGGATGTCGGGCAAAGGTAGACCTACACAGTCTAGGATTTACATGAATCCATTTGTCCGGGTGGCCTACGACGAGAAAACCTTGAGCTGGCTCTCGTTGATCCGTCGACCAGAACGCCTCTACGCCCCGATCCACGACATTCTCAACTACTTTGTTGGGTTCCCCGAGACGCAGGAACGCTTCGCTGAGGAGCCTGGCGAGGTTGTCACAGACAAGGTCTGGGTTTTTGATAACCCAGCTGCAGCCTTTGCACAGAATGCGACAGAGGTGCAGCTCGCCGGACATTATGTTGAACGCACGCGAAAGGTAGAGCCCGGTGGCTACTGTTCCTCGCCTAATCTGCTGGTGATCAACGAGAAGCCCGAGCATGGCCCCGGTTCGTGGAGCAAGATTCCTCTTCCCAGGATACCGGGACAATAAGCATTTCAACTACCGCCCCTAGATTACGATTTTCCTTTCTCCTCTGTATCTTAACATTTAGCGTTCTTCTTTTCTTTGTCATGCATAGCGTAACGGTGGGAAGGCGTTTGTGGCCTTTCCGGGCTGATCATTGCCATCATTCAAATGAATACATGTCCTCCGACTGGCACAAAGCAGGTCGTTTGAGGACTTTTGAAGATGTTGTTTCGCCGTTGGTAATTTCATGCGTATCTACCTAGAGTGTGGGCGCTAGACTTTTCTTTCTGTGTGTCTCGCCGCACCCTTAGTTCAATGATATCTGTGCCGGTGTGGAAATCCATCCAAAGCTAGCTCCATGCTACTATGATATGTCACTGAGTTACCCCACGTCATGAGCATTGCGGTCACACACACCGCCACCATGTGCCTACTCCGCAGTGTCACATGCTCCGTACTCTTCTCCCTGTTCTCCCATTGGAAACAACGCAATGTAAGCATCTTGTTTTCTCTACACCACCCCTAGACTCTTCATTACTGCATGGGTGCCCAAACCAGCATTCCCTTGACGTCTCAGAACTGTCAATGATGAGTTTCGCGACAAGTCGAGTCTGGCCAATGACGCCACGCGTTATTCAGCCCTTTCGCCAAGCCGCTAGTCCCAAGTCTCACATCTGCAAGATGGCGCGCTAGGAGGCCAACACGGTGCGAAGAAACACGGCTCATCTGACCCAGGGTCTCTTTCTTTGTATATACTCCAATCTACATCCTCTTATCGCTCTGCCGCGTCTGCTCCGATAGACAGGGCCTTTTGGCGACTATTCCGCTACAATCCATTCAAACAATACCCACCGGGGACTCGGGATACCGACGTCATTCCGCTCAGTGCCTGCAGGAACATCATGGGACTCGACAATGACACCCGCGGGTGGATCATGACCGCGGTCAGTGGTATTGGTATGTTTCTACACAGTCGTACAGCAGCTGCTTGCCGATCTGCTTTACACTCTAATAAGAATTCGGGCTAACGCGTGAATAGCGTGTACATTCGGCGGTAAGAACAGACCCGTCCTCCGTAGCTTGATTCTTGGGTCAGGCAGCTCTGGCGACGAATCTTCAGACTGACATTGACCAGCCTCGATAATATGTGTTGATGTTATTATTCGTCAGTTTCCGGGCAAGAAGAACTTCAAAATTGAGCAAAGTAATGCTTTTCTGTCGACGGGACTGAGTCTTTCTTTTGGCGTTATGGTGAGTTTCCACGCCCATCTGCACTATGTTTTCCATCAATTAATCCGAGCTTTAGATCTTTTCATCATTGTATAGCATGCTTCCCTCAGCAAAGAAGTATTTAGTAGGTGGCGGTATGTCACCAAGGAATGCGATATTAACAATGATTGGATGCTTTCTAGTTGGTGCTCTTGGCATTTCCGTCCTCTCTGGGATACTACACAAGTATATTCCGCATTCAGTTGTAGACTGCAACGATGAGCACGGTGATGAAGAACACCTAAAAGACGAGGAAGAGCATGGCCATTCGCACGAACCGATGCAAGAGCAACAACCTGGATTGCCGCACACAGAAGCACACCACGAACACCGGGCATATGGAACCAGTAGCGAGACCTCGAATGCTGGCCAATCACAAAGACCATCACTGCACAAGTCTATCTCGTCCAAAATGTCTCAACTGGTAACTCGAGCCGAGAAAGCATGTGACAATAACCACAACGGGGAATGCTATGGCGATTTCTGCGAGATCCGGCCCACGCGTTTGCAGTCGAGGAAGTCCCTTGGCAGCCTGACAGCTATACGACCATCTGCTGTGAATAGGAACCAAAACTCACAAGGTCCGCACGACCGGAAGTTAGTATTGGAAGATGTAGATGAGACCACTCCTCTGATTCCCACGAGATCTGTTCCGGCCACTTTGGAAAGCTCTCTTGCTAGCCTACCGCCCGCAAATGGCCATGCAAGCACCAACACAAATCATATCACTCCAGCGCACAAACACAGTCGTAGTTCCTCGGTCTCCTCTCACTCGTCGCATGATTCTCACTTCCACGGACACAACCATAACCATAACCACAACCACGGCCACGGCCACGGCCACGGCCACGGCCACGGCCACGGCCACGATCTATCCCAATCTCAACACCACCATCACGTCCCTACCAACGTTTTCCTCTCTCTTGGCCTACAAACCAGTACCGCAATCGCACTTCACAAGATTCCAGAAGGCTTCATCACATATGCTACCAACCACGCAAACCCAACGCTCGGCTTCTCCATCTTCCTCGCACTCTTCGTCCACAACATCACCGAAGGCTTCGCCCTTGCCCTCCCCCTCTACCTAGCTATCAACTCCCGATGGAAAGCAATGCTCATCTCCACAATCCTCGGCGGCGTCAGTCAACCGCTGGGCGCCGGCGTGGCAGCGCTCTGGTTCAAAGTGCAAGGCCGCGGCCGAGGCAGCGGCACCGAAGACGGGGAGATGGACACGATTTACGGCTGCATGTTTGCCGTTACAGCGGGTATCATGGCCATGGTGAGCTTGCAGTTGCTAGGTGAGAGTTTGGACTTGACAAATAGCCGGCGACTGTGCTTTGTAAGTGCCTTTGCGGGCATGGGCATTCTGGGCTTGAGCAGTGCGCTTACAGCGTAAAGAGTATTGTTTTTGGAAAAACTTTGAATAAGGAGAAGACAGAATACAAAAAGACTGGGAAGAAGTTTTGACGATAAAGACCGCTTTTTTTCGGATGTAAAACATATGGGAGCATATACACATGTATAGGCGTTGTTTGTTGTTAGCAAATCAGTTGAGCATGATATACGCTCTATTCTGTGGATTTGGAAGAGTTTTGGACTCGAATTCTCTACAAGCTGTTTTGAGGCATTGCGGGTTTTTGCTTGTGAAAGAATCTACAAGACAAATCGATGCCGTCATCCCCCTTTCATTCATTACCCATTACTACTGCTCCCGTGCATCGAAATCGTCAGACGTTCGGGGGTATTCCTCGCCGGGCTGGGGCGCAATGTTCTCCACTTCGGCTCTTGCTTCTTCCCATGCTGCCTTGTTGCGTTTTGCCCAGTCAATGTGACATTGTGCGAACTCCATCTAGAAAAACTGGTTAGTATTTGGTATACAAGCTATCATCAAAGAAGTAAGTTGCTTACCATGTAGCGTCGCAAATCTTCTTCCTTTTCGTTCTGGAATCTCCGCAAGTCCTTCATCACGCCTGCACTTGCATCCTTGGTATCCTTCTCTGCAACACCTAGTGCTTGTTCGAGCTGTTCGTTGTTAGCATCTTTGTTATACTCACACTTCGTCTTGTGTATTTACCTGCACTAAACTGTCCCTCGTCTTGCCTATCTGATCCCGCCGTGTCTTCTCTGGATCAACGTCTGCCATGCCCCTGAAAGCATGCGTGATGGAGCCGAATAATTTGTTGGTTACAAAGTTCCCGCTAGCCGTCTTCTTATGCTGGTTAGAGGGAGGAGAGTAACTATCAGGGGCCCCTTGAGCGCTTGACGGCGGGTCGCTATGTGTTGGAGGAAAGTCGGAGTCTATCGATGCCCTATCGTCCTCTGACCGGCCTTGTTGATCGGGGTCACTACCACTGCGCTGTGAGCTGTATGAAGCCGCACGACTCCGTGAGGGCGCATGGCCGACTCCGCTCAGATGTTGTTCCAAGCGTTTTGACTCTGCCTCACTTCGTTCCAGCGATTCAAGCAAGTTGCGCTTCTTCTCCAGCTCGTCCTTTGTCATATCTTCCTGTATCCTCTTGAGTACTCGGTATCGAAGAATCGAACGCACGACTCCGGCGAATTGCGCGCTTTCGCGCATCGGTTCGGAAAAGCTTGCGCTAAGAGATGACGATAGTTCGGTGGTTGCGATATAAGTCGAATCAACTGCCTGTCCGACCTTTTCGATAGCGGCAGCAAGTGTTTGTGTTTGTTCGGAGAGCGAGAAGGCGTTGAATCGCGCACCCAGATCGGCCATGTCTTCTCCCCAGTTTCCAAGATGCATAAGTAACCGCCTGTTAACCTTCTCCATAGGGCCCTGCAGCAAGTTTTCGAGGTCTTTCGAGGAGTTCTCGAAACTGACAAAGTATGGATCCAATTCTTCTTCTGACATGTCTCTTGTCTCAGGAGGGAAACGGCCAAAGATGGCGGGGCCTGGCGTGGTATGCGCGGCTGCTGAAGGCAAAGCTGCATTGTTGGCAGGCGCTACTGGTGTGCCGGAGCTAGAGGTTGCGCCGCCAGACTTGAGTTTGGCGGATGATGAAGGAACAGGGAGGTAGCTATGCGCTTGCGTGGGGTTTGCGGGATCTAGTGGGGGTGCTTTGAGGATTTGCTTGGGGATGTTGGAGATGGGTGGACTGTTCAGAACGTCGGCCTAGCGCACATCAATTCCGCACATGCAAAGAGATTCCATGAGAGTAACGTACCCAACTCGTGTAGGGATCAAGGAACCTCCAGAAGACTCCATCTTCCAGGATGTCCTTCATTTTCCTACACCTATTCAAGAAGACAGCCAACATGCGCTTTCGCAGCTCAATAATCCCGGCGTCTTCCTTTGCTTTTGTCGGTTTTGCGGCGTAATCGGCCATGGTGTGTTTCTCCGGGATCGGCGGTACAACGAGTGTTGGGTGTAATCTGACCAGTTCAGCGCGCAGCGATGCGAACTCGGAATATCTGCGCTTGACCTCGAGACCCTATGCCCGTTAGCCTCTTGCCATGCGCGACGACATGTCCACCTACGCCACAATTGATGGTGTACTGTATGTAATTTACACCGTCTTTCCCCGCACCTGTTATCAGAATAAGCTGATCCCGCTGCTCATACAGCCATTGCTCTACGCGCGCGTCATAACCACCCTTCTTGGGCGCCTTTGCATCTAGATTATCGGCGCGATCTTCGTTGTAGTCGATATCGCTCAGGTCGCGCTGGCCGATGTACTCGGGCGAGCCATGTGCGGGGGAGGATGCCTCAGAGGGAGGAGTGGCGGGACGATACGGAACTTTGCTGCTGTCAGTTGACCATGCTGGCAGTTACTTGGCCGGGCATCAAGAAGCCTTACGGGCAGTAGGTGAAGCCAGGCCAGGGATATCTGAAGCGTTTGAATCGTGGCGGGCAAAGGATCCATATGGATTATTGTCCTCGTCGTCCCACATGGCGCCAATAGGATTGCGGTAATTTCAAGGGAAGGTGAGGTGGTCTTCTTTTTCTTTTTGCTGTTTCTGCCTGCGCGTGAGCAAGACCGGGCGGCAGCAGGTGTGGGTGTCGAGGATCTAGGGCTTGGAATGGAGTGGAGCTCCAGGCACTCACGGCAGTCAGGCAGGCGGCAGGGCAACGGTGACGTTGGTCGACTTGGCCCAAGCTCGTCCATGTCAGCCGCGCTGCCAGCCTCCGCATCGTACGCCTCCCCTCTTCTTCACACTCACACTACAAACTGTTTATATACTAATGCGCTATGTTCTGGTAGTATCGTAGGTATTTTTAAGCTAATATATGCCCCGTCACTTTCCATCCAATATATGTCTCCGGCGATACGAAATCACTCGATCTTTGGTGCTTTTGGTCATGCCTTTGAAAAGGCACACAATGTGAAAACCATGTGCGCAAGTTAGAGATTGTGGAAAAGCACTTCTGCATCTCAATATAAATCTGGTATTCACCCGAGTCTTAGGGAGCAGCCTCTATATTTATCTCCCCTCGTCAGCCGCATCTCTAGCAAACTCTCCTCGACTCCAGCGGGGTCTGGAGTATTCTCTCAACCACGGCCTCTTGAATCCTTTGACGACGGCAAAATATGTTGTTCATGTCGAATATTCATTGATCTCATCGGATTTAAGTCCAGGAGTAGTAAGGAAAATAATGTAAAGAAAAGGAAATTGGATTCACGAGTCAGCGCTGATCGCAAATACTGCGAAACTCTGATCGGAGCGGAAGTAAATTACATTCAGAAATGTCAAAAAGTACGGTGTATTCATGTCTTTACTTGTTTCAATTCAGTGGACTGAGACTATCGCAAAAAATAGTAGTACACTAGTCCCATATTCGAACCATATTTGGTATAAACTTCTAAATCGTAATCTATTTCCTCTACTTTGGAACTATGAGACTACAATTCGTAAAAAGACGCGCCACCATAGCTACGATCAGAAGCCCAACGTTCTCTTGAATGAAGCCACTCTGCATAAGGATACCCTACGCAACACGATACGATACCTTAGTCGTACCCTTTGACCTCGCAATCTTCTTAACCTCAATCCTACCCACCTGACTACAATCCTGCACATGCGTCCCACCACACGGATAACTCCCCAGCCCCTCCATCTCCACCACCCTGCCCATCGTTTCTCCCTCAGGCAACGCAAACCCCTCACTCGCATAGCACTTCTGCATCAGCTCCTCCATCGACCACCAATGAATCTTAATTGGCCGCGCAGACTTGACAAACTCGTCCGTCTTGGCTTGGATAACGTCCTTGTGCTTTGCTTCGAGGCTGCCGATGAAGACGACGGAAGCAGAGTCTGGGTAGTGCGATGCTTTTGATTCTTTGAGCGGGGGTAGAACACCTTCGCGGCAGAGCGCGTGGATGGCTAGACTCATGATGTGACCGGCGCTGTGGAGCCGCGAGTGCAGCAGGCGCTTCTCAGCATCTACGTGCTGCTGGAGTTCGGCTCCCGTGGTAAAGGGTGGGTTGGCAGTTCCGTTGGAGGGGTCGAAGCGGCCGAAATGCAGGATTTGGTTGCCCTGGGCGGGTTGCCGGACGGATTTTACTTGAAATGTAGGCGTGTCTTTGGTTGCTGCGTCATCTGAAGGGGCCATGGTTCCGATGTCTGAGGGTTGGCCGCCGCCCTGGACGTGGAAGATGGTTGAGTCGGTAATGATGGCGTGTTCTACATCTGATGCATCTTTCACCAGGTCCTTGTCTGGTGGCGGGAGTTCAGATACTGGGACGATGGAGACGACTTTGGCGCCGTGGAGCAGGCATTGGCCATCTCGCTGGTAGACGAGTTGCGTTGCTTCAGTCATTGTCTGCAATGAGAAAGTTAGTAAGCTGTTGCTACGTATATTTCCGGATATAAGGGGCCAGGTGGGCAGCTAGATACGTACGCTGAAGAAACGCTGGAATACTCTTCGCGACAGATTGGAATAGTAGGTAGATGAGGAGAGGTATTGTTGGTTGAATTGCAAACTTGAGAGAAGTGACTGAGCAGAGTGGCAGAGCCGTGGGCGACGAGTGGGCTATTTACGTGCATGTTACATGACTGCAACAACACCTACTGTACCTGGTAAGCGAGGGCGTGCAATACCCGCGCACCAGGCGCCACTCGTTCGTTACATTCTAGATTTTTGCCAAGACCGCAGGGCGCTGCCTTTTGCCGCTTTCGGGTGAGCAGCCCCAATACGACCCAGTGGGGTGGATTGCGTATTCAACCCACCCGCTTGTGCTACGCCGCACCTTTACTACCCTGCAATGCCGCGGCACTGGTTGGACCCATGCTATCATGCGGATATCCATATACTCAATGCATTGGTACAGGTGTCAGGAGCTGTATTTCTTCTCCACAAATTTATATTCAAAGCTAGTCTGTTATCCAGTCCTATGCTAGTCCCCATTCCCCTTCCTCCACATGTATCTCCTCGGCGACGCTTCTGGTAACGCAACCGAATATCACTTTGAATCCTTCGGACCCTCGAATCCTTCATGTCAGCCACGTGTCCCTAAATCTTGTAGAACAAAACTTTGCCAGTCACCGCAACCCTGGCACCGCATAGCAGAAGGAAGCCTGCAACCATTGATGCTGCAGCAAATGCTTGGGCGTAAACATAGTGGCCATCATTCTTCGTGATCAAAATACCCGCAATTGGTGGACCCGTCAAGACTGAGAAACTCACAATCGTCTGCAATTATAGTTAGTCGCTGTCCTCTTGCAACATGATTCTCGCGGTTTGGAAACTTACGAAGATCATGCCCATTCTCACTCCCGCTTTCTTTAAATCAGTCGTCAAGCTACTCAAAGTAGCTGGGAACATTGCTTGAAGACCGTTTCCTACAACACCGTAAACTACAGTCCATGCATAGAGCCCTCCGCGAGATGTGATGCCAATCATCGCCCAGGCGCAAACAATCGAAGCAGCAGTGACCATGAGAAGGATATTCATGGGTCCAGTATATCGGTCCGCTAGGTAAGCAGGGAGAGTGCGACCTATAATACCAACACCGTTAAGCACCAAAAACAAGTTGAAAGACTCGTTTTGAGGTATGCCGATGATATCGACACCGAATGAGCTCACATAGTAGAAAGCAAAGTAGACGCCCCAGAATGTCAAAAAGATACCGACCGCAAATAGGCTGTAGGAAGCCTCTTTGAACGCAGCGAGATCAACAATCGGTCCCGAGCTGTAAGGCGGAAGTCTTGGTTTGGCCAAAATGTTGGAGAGAACCAAGCAGGCTGTAGTGGTAAAACCCAAAGCCCTCATGGTCCAGCCATATCCAACTGCTGGGACTAGTTGCTGAAACATGGCCGGGTAGACCAATCCGCCCGTCGCACTGCCGCATGCGCAAATGCCAATGGCCAGCATCTTTCTCTTCGCAAAATACGTCGAGACGATTGCAAGAGCAGGGCAGAATAGACATCCCGCACCGACACCGACGCAGATTCCCTGAGCGAGAAACAAGTGCCAGTACTGCGTGGAAATAGAGGCCATGAAGATACCGAGCAAAGTCAATGCGGTTCCGAATGCTAGGATGAATGAGCGGTTCATTCTTTTCATAGTAGCGATATGACTTTTGAAGAATTTGTCACTCACAGAAGATTGCACGGAAATATCCTGCATCCGTCAAACGGCCTGAGAATGTGCCGATGAAGAATACTAGGAAGACCTGCACGCTCCCAATCCACGCTACATCGGCATGGGAGCGCTTCAGGAAATCCACGTAGTAGGTTTCATAGACACCGAATGAGTTGATATTGCCCCTGGACTGGTGTAAGAACGTTTTCGAGTCATTTCTGCTATGCAATCAAAGTAGGAGTTTAAGGTATCTCACCAGGTGTTCATGATGACCAAATGGCCCACTAGGACCTGGGTCCAGGCGCGAAGCCCACCATCTGGAGGCGGACCCGGGTCTTTCCAACTTGCCCTGCTTTTCTCTCGTTCTAGCTGTCCCCCGTTACCTTCTTCAATGGAATCGCTTTGAGAGTCATCTGCGACTTCCGAAGATACGGTGGGCACTTTAACCCCATTGGCAGAAGTGGCCATAATCTCGTATATGGTTTGATGACCCTACCTTATCTACTTTCCAATAGCCAGAGGTAAAAGAATCTTCTAAATCGAAATCAGATTCGCAGTTTCGTGTATTTGCGTGAGTAGTGAAGGGGGAGCCAGGCCAACCTGGTCAAACGGGCACGTTGGACAAACACGTGGGGCAACGGATGCAACTCGCCACTCGCACTCGGGGGCAAATAAGGTAAGAAGAAAGGGTAAGAGAAAAAAAAGGGTACTGGAGGCGACTTCCTACCAGGTAATAAGGCACTCAGGTGGGTTCAGTCACCAATATCTACGTTTAGTTACTACCCGTTCGTCCCCACTACAAAAACAAACGAGCATGATATTCCGCCAATGAAGCACAATGGCTCCTTTGGATGATTCACACATTGTACAAACGAATGTAACGTCCAGTCTTTTGGCATATGTTGGATGACTCGCTAAAGACTGTGAGGGGCTGCACGCGGCGGGTCCGGGGAGCAGGCTTTGTCTTGGCCTGTTATATGCAGGGACTTTGCACGCCCTTTCGCGCCCGATGCTGACTAGATCTTGTAGGATTGACCGCTATTTTGTTGTGAAACGTAAGGGATCTAGATAGCCCTGTGGCCGATATCGTCGTTCCTGTCTTTGCGGATTGGGCCAATGAGATTGCATATGTGGTGTGCGAGGTGGAGCGAAGGAATATAATTGACTGTTGGGTGGGACAGCTTGACCATTGTGAATTTCGGAAGCAGGTTTCCTGTTTCATCGAATTGATCTTTAGTCCTTGTTGGCAGTGGCAAAGCACAAGTCCACGACCCATTGTCAGCCGTGCTAGATGGGCTCCGATTTTCTTCGCTGGATGGGGGTCCACCATATGGGCCTCGCGTAAGTCTCCCATTCGTCTGGTGAAGCGGTAGGGATATCCAAAACGAGTTAATGGTGTTTTTTTTGGCGCTTACAAGTGCCGGTAGGGAAATCCATTCAGCCTCATGTGCGGCACATGCAGTGCGACCGGATTTCATCCAAAATCCACTAGCTTGATTTGGGGTTAGACCCGACCGCCTGCCCACAGGATTTCTGCTAAGGAAATGCTGCATGCGAGACACATGCAAGTAAGGCCTCCCGTTGCTTGCAGTCTGCCGGCGTGCGAGAAAGCTGTCTAATTTGTCCTCGAAATGACATGGAGGCGGTCCGCTCCGCCCGCGACCCGCAATTTTCTAAGAGCTCTGCAAGGCCCCTCTAGGCTTAGGGATGGTTCGGCGGGCGTACGTACGCTCCTGGCTACATGGAAACAGCTATTGTATTCACACGTTCACTCGAGTCATGGTATATGGTTCATGGCTGAATTGGTGGATCCTATCATTTCTTTGGAATACGACTATACTAGCAGCTACCGTCTCAGCAATGTCGCACAATTCGTAATCCATCATCCATGGTCTTTGTGCTGCCGCTGTGTTACACAAGCGGACCTCGGCGGAAGCTGGATTACTATTCCGATATTACCGACATGCTGCTCGCAAAGCCAGACAACCTTCAAAGTGGGGGGCTAATGTCGAGTCCCGTAACGCTCAGCTTGAACGAATCGTTTCTTTTGACTGCATTAGTAAAAGTACACCAAAAAGCCAAGCGTGAAAATAATCATACCTCGAGTAACTTCCAGCAACGTCCAGGTCCAGTCTGCCTCTCAGGCAATCATCAAAGTCGGCTGCGACCATCATCATGCCATCGTCATCCTCCCACAGAGGCCCTTTGAGCATCTCGCCTAGCGGGGATACAACGCACGAACCGCCTCGCGACACAAAGTCTTGGCTTTCGGACTTCTCTCCGTAAATCCAGGCTGGCTGGTTCTGTTTCTTCAAGCATTGGTTCGCACTCAAGACGTAGCACCTACCCTCACAAGCTACAGTTGTCATGAGGGCTGACCAAGTCTCACGCGCGTCCGCTGTCGGCGCCAGATAGAGGTTGACATTCTGACTGTAGAGGGAATGGCGCAATAGCGGCATGTAGTTCTCCCAGCAGATTGCGGCCGCGAGCGTGATATGCACACCCTTGATGTCCGTCGTGACAGCACGGAGCGAGGATGGCTGTCCCTGACCCCAGATCAGGCGCTCGCTTCCAGTCTGACCAACATAACTCAGCTTCCCAAGTCTGGAACGACCAACATGAATCTCAAAAGGGTAAACTTACTGGCATCACCTTTCGCCTCTTGCCAATCACTGGTACCATGTCAGCTCCTACTAAATACCCCTGTAACTTGAGTACGCGTAAGACCCACCTCCCAACTTGGGACAAACATAGACAACGGCACAGTACAGCGTACCGCCAGACCGCTCAACCAAACCCGTAACAATGAAGATCCCCGTCTCCTTTGCCACCTGCTCAAGCTTCTCTCGCGTCCCGTCGCCCCGTCGCACTCTGCCCGAACTCCCTTCCTCCTGCCCCTCCAATTCCCTCTTCACCCACTTTTCTCCAGCTCCCTCGGGTGTATCCCCTAGGTCAACGGCATCCTTGTAGTAGTTGAGATACTGCTCTCTGCCTTCAGCTGTACGGCCTCCCACGGCAGCACCGAACGTGGCGCCTCGCGGGTAACCACCAATGTAGGCCTCGGGGAAGAGAATCAAATCCGGCGAGGGATCTGCCTTCGAGGCCTTGCGGCACTGCTCCGTCAGCGCCTCGAGCGTCTCCGCAGTGGTTGATTGCGTGTGCTTTTGGCACACGGCGAGGTAGATGGGTTGGGATGGCGTGGTCATTTTTCCGTCAGCTGTTTGGAACCGATGAGCCCGGTTAATTTGGGTTTACTGTAGTAAGAATAATTCAAAGGAAATCCAGATACAAGATTGTCAATTCTCTTATTCGAATCGTGTATGTAGAAGGGGGGGGGGCAACATCCCAAAGTTTATACACCCATCATCAACCGTGCCACAAGAGAGCAGCCCCGCGGCTCGCATTTGATCATGGAGTCCCCCCAACCCCCAACCCCCAACCCCCAACCCGTAGGGCGCAAAATCAACAAAGACCCCGCTTAACCGCACCACCCGTCCCTTTGTCCCCCCCTCGACCTCACAAAATCCTCAGGGTACCGGCAACATTTCATATAAAGGGTTTAGCATGCACTTAGTTGGGATCCTTTAGG